GTATTGTTTATTAGATGTAGAATTCTAAGACAGTTACGACAATTACGACGAATACGACGATTATGACGAATACGACGATTACAACAATTACTTTTTTGTATTGTTTATTAGATTTAGAATTCTAACACAGTTACTACCACTGCAACAATTACGACCACTACGACGATTACGACGATTACGACGATTACGACGATTGCGACGATTGCGACGATTATGACGAATACGACGATTACAACAATTACTTTTTTGTATTGTTTATTAGATTTAGAATTCTAACACAGTTACTACCACTACAACAATTACGACCACTACAACAATTACGACCACTACGACGATTACGACGATTACGACGATTACGACGATTACGACCATAACTACGATTGCGACGATTACTTTTTTGTATTGTTTATTAAATTTAGAATTCTAACACAGTTACTACCACTACAACAGTTACAACAATTAAGACGATAAAGACGATTACAAAGATAACCACGATAACGACCTTACGACCCTACCACCATTACGACAATTACGACAATTACGACCAGTACTTTTCTGTATCGTTTACTAGATGTATAATTATAAGACAGTTAAGACCATTACGACCATCAGGACGAATACGACAAATACAACGAATACGACCATTAATGACCATTACGATCATTAATTTTCTGTATTGTTTATTTGATGCAGAATTCTAAGACAGTTATGAAGATTACGACGATTACGACGATTACGACCATCAAGACCATTACGACAATTAATTTGCTGTATTGTTTATTAGATGTAGAATTCTAGGACCGTTATGACGATTATAACCACTGCGACCACTACGACCACTTCGGCAATTAAGACGATTACGATCATTACGACCATTACGACCATTAAATTTCTGTATTGTTTATTACATGTAGAATTCTAAGACAGTTACGACGATTATGACTATTACAATTATTACAATTATTACAACCACTACGACTACTACGAGCATTACGAGCACTACGACCATTGCGGGCACTATGACCATCACGAGCACTATGACCATCACGACCATTACTTTTCTTTATTGTTTATTAGATGTAGAATTTGAAGACGATCAAGTCGATTAGGACGATTACGACGGTTAATATTATTGAGACGATTATGACGATAACGGTAAGAAACTGATACAAGACAATGTGGATAAGGCTTAAAATACTGGTGGTCATTGGTATCGGTAAATATAGACTCAGTTTTGGACATGGCTATACTAACATCACGCTTTTTATTTATGCTTGAGAAATCTCTGATATAAGTATAACTATCCGAATACCAAATTTAGCTGTAGTATTAAGCGAAAGTGTTTTTCTGAAGAATAAAATATACCTAGATGTGTATCTAGTTTGTAAATATCGATACTCAAAGTTAAAAAAGAACTACCATGAATATTAAAAGGATATTGTTACATAGTAATTCCTTTTTGAAGCCTTCATTAACTATTAAAAATTAAACCACTATGTTGAAAATACTTTTTTGTGCGGTCTTCTGTACCTTATGTTGTTCAATATTAAGAACTACACGCGGTTTTCAGTGTCATATGGAAAAGTTTAGATATTACCTTCCGAGTGATCAGAATTATCTTGTAGTGTGTTGTTCTTTGGATATAATTGTTCAGGAAAAAGAGGGATTATAGAAATAGAGATTTGGCAGAAAGACCAAGAGAGAGAAAGAGCGAGAAAGAGCGAGAAAGGGAAATTGCAAGGAAGAAATAGATTTTGTAAAAAAGGGAAAAGAACAGACTAATTTGTCTAAATACTAAATTCAACGATTCGTAGCTTAGAGAGCGAATGGAATTTTTCTTCAGAAGAAAGGTGTGTTTTTGACAAACAGAGTATCGTTTTTTTTGTAGTATGGTTTCAAAGTTGTCCTTCAGTTATGAATTGTTTGTAAATATTTATAAGTTTTTCTTAAAGAATGTTTTTCGGAAGAATGAGAACGAAAGAAGGTGTGGGGAAATAAAAGTAAAAAAAAGATAGGGTGAAGTTTTTGAAGTAAGTAATGGGAAAAAATTCAATATATAAAGAGTATTGTGACATCTTGCAATTGATGAGGTGAGGAGGGAATTAAGGGTGGTGTGCTTTTTAGATACACAGAAGATGGATAGACCCAAACACAGCGTGACAGAATCTTGTTATACTTTCAAAAATTCAATTAAATATCTTCTCTTTGTAAATATAATAATCAGGTTCATTAGCTTAATAGTTTTTAGGCGCTTGTGCATACTGTTTTTTTGACACTAAATACTCTCGTTTTTTTTTATCATAGATGGTTGATAAAAGGATATATGGATCAGAAATTAATGTTATTTTTTTACAGTAGTAATAAAAGAGTGATATTTTATACTCAATGTTCTGAAAAAATTATTTATAAAAAAAAGACTGTATTTAAACTCATGTGCTGTGCGCCTGAGCCAGATGGTAGTTTCTGATGGTAATAAGGGCTATGTTCGTTTATATGAAGAAGTGGCCCAAATGGTTAACAGAAAGAAAGGGATATATATTGGTCTCCTCTAACAACTCCTTGGCCCAAATATTGGCAATTGGCAGCTTGTTCTCTCAAGAAAGAGAAAAAGAAAATAAAAGTGATTTGTAAGGATGTTTCTTATTACTTTCCTCTTTTGATGCTTATATAGATATTTCAATAATTAATAAATAAGATAATGAGATAATAAGTAAGATATTGCTAATCTATTACTAAGATATTGGGGTAAACTATACTTCTTTGGATAAGTAATGATGAATAAGAGAAAGAAATAGAAATAGATCGATATTGTTGGCGTTGATTGTTGAAATTCTTGCACTTTTTAATTGATTTCTTTGCCAGCTATAAGAATTATATTCTTCTTGTCGCCACGACTTGAGCAATTTATTTACGTAATTGATACAAAGAAAAAGATTTAGAAAGATAAGATATGTTTGGGTCATATGGAAGTTCCAAGACACTAGAAATAAGCTAATGAGAATGAGGAATATTTTATTTATTTAAGCTCTCAATGAAGATAAAAATAGCGGATATATCTACTAAGAAGATAAAGCTTCCTGGCATATTTTTATAGTAATTGTTATATTTGTATGTGGAAAGGTGGAACGATAAGTACTTTGAGACTCTTTTTTATTGTGTTTATTAAAAGTTCAAGTCAAATCGAGTTATCTTAATAAAAGTTATTTTGTCTATGGTATTTATATTTATTGAGATATATCTAGTCACCCTGGATATGAGTCATCGTAACGGCTTTGCGATAATAGTTTAAGTACTTCTTGAAGATGATCCAATGGTGGATCAGACGCATTGCTATTATGTTTCAGATAGGACTTCATATTGGATAATCATTTATAACGACCTCTTTGACAGGTACTTCTGTCTGGGTTCGTATATGATATCGGATATTAAAGTATCTCAAATACAGCAGTAATACAGTGAGGGGAAAGAGTCTTGCAAGGTTTTTCATTTTCCACATCTCTACAGAAATATATATACTTTTCAAATTCAAAAAATATATCCAAAACGCCCTTTAACATTTTCGAACTACTAAAACATAAAGATAAAAGTAATTTGTTTTATAATGTATGAAAAAAATAACATCTTTATTATTTTGTACAGTTGCCCTTGGCACTGATCACAGCCTGACATCTTCTAGGCATACTGGAATCTAATTGCTGTAAATATCTTTTTTTTTTGGAATTGTACACTATTCTTTCTATACAGCGTGATGCAAATAATGAATATTATATAGTCTATATTTGTTTGTTCTAATTCTATGCTTTAGATAAGCCCAGATATGCTCAATAGGGTTGAGGTCTGGACTTTGTGGTGGCCAGCTATCCAAAAGTTGAAGACGATTCTTATTTTTCGAAGTCTTGCTCATTGCACTTGTATGGCAGCTGACATTGTCATCGTGCAATTTGAATCGTCTTCAGCTGTTTTTTTCTCTAAAAGTCTTGAGATATGCTGTGTTGGTTTGTGTGGTGTAAGGGTTGGTAAGAGAAGGTATATAGAAAGAAGAAAGGGATGGTAAGATCAACACTTGTAGCCTTCGCAGCAAATAAAGGCGCTCTTCAGATCAAGAATTAGAAATAAAAGAAAAGAAAATATAAGTGTATATAAGATGATCTTTATTGAATTCATTTGTTTAGGATTATATAGATTTTCTGAAATAAGTTGATAGCATGGTTATTGATATAATTGGATAGTTTGGATAGTAATAGTGTGGCTAATTGAATAGAGGTACTTGTGACGCTTAGAACTGGAAAATAAAAGTTATGGAAATAACTTCGATATGAACAAGTCATGAAAGAAGTAAAATAAGGAGAAACTTAGAGTAAATTTGACAGTTTTTTAGACCGTTACTCGCATTGACCAGGTATGGTCATGTCAAATGAGTGTGGCCGAAAACTGATCTCGTCCAAAACCGACTGTACCAGTCTTCATAGGTGGAAGGTATGACTTTTCGAAGATGACATGTACTTCTTAGAATCGATATTCCCCTTTACAGCATTTAAATATCCGACACTCTTGCCAAAGAAGAACCCCCAGACCATAATGGACTCACCTCCAAACTTCACTGTTGGTGAGACAAAGTCAGGCTGCAGACCAATCTTGTTACGCCTGAGAACGTTTTGGCGTCCATCACTACCGTGGAGTCGGAATTCCGACTCATCAGACCAGATGATGACATCCCAACCCGTCAATTTCCAACGCAGATGTTGTGGTGATCCAGACACTCGGATGTTGGATTTATCACATATAAGAACATATTCATATTGGGATAGCGTAGTAGCTATCATCTTGTCAGTATAAAATATATATAAACGATTAAGTAATCAGCCCAATAATTATTACAGTTAGTACTGTAGATAATATCTTAAAGATTGTTAAGATAATTATATCATACTGCCGGGTAAACTGTGTCAGATCGATATGGAGCTAATTTAGTAGGAAGTCCTAAAGCTCTAGTGTAAAAGAGAAAAGAATAGCTAAGAGCTAAAGAAGTACAATTTATGACTTGATGTCATAATTGTAACACCGACACTAGTTAAGCAGTAAATACACTCTAATAACCAAATATAGTAAAGGAAGAAAGCCTTAAGAAACTAAGACGTAATGACAAGAGCAGATTGTGTTTTCTTATAAAAAGGGACACTTTTTATTTATGAATAAAGACAACTTATATACAGTCTCAAAGTATTTCTATACGTCTCTATTATCAAATATTTTATTTTTCTATTGTTTCGTACCTGAAATACCACAGATGTTCTTTTGCCCATTGTAATCGCTTTTTCCGATTAATTTCATAGACCTTTGACTTTGAGATAATTTTTTGAGAGTGTATTCCAACACTACGCAAAACTTTTCGCATAGTTTTTACTGACACAGGTGTATATAAAGTTATGTAAATTGTGGTCATTGGTGTTGCTGCATCGTGATTAATCTCATGGAGGATCTCTCTCTTGTCTCTCTCATTCAACCTTTTCGGTCTACCAGATCATACACCAGCTTTGTACGAGTCAATTTCTTTGTAAACTTTGAGAACACGGTAAGCTACGTATCTGCTTACATCAGCTTTTCTGGAAATGTTAGCTTGACTAGTGCCATTCTTAACGCTCTCGTGCACAATTATTACACGAGTTGTATTATCAGTTTGCTTGTGTCCTTTAGTTGAAGGCTTCTTGAACTTTTCTGCGCGTTTAGGTTGTTGCATTCTTATTTAGAATTGTAATGTAAAAGTGAAAGAAAGAAATTGTCATTCAAAGAATGTAATCGTGTGTTGAATAACGTTGCAACACTTTTTCCCTTAACTATAGTTTTTAATGAGGTATTCGGGATTGTTTATGGGTTAGTATCTCGATAATAAGAAACGTAGATACTGTGAGAGTGTTATTTATTCAAGAGACAAATTAATATTGTTTTTATATGCTACTATTAAAATCCCAGTAATTCAAATCCCCTTTGTGTAATAGTTGGTTTACACTATATGAGTGTGTAGTGTACGTGTGCCTGGTGTGTAACAGTTCTGGAGATTGTTAACTTGCTAAATTCATTAGCAAGAAGGAACCAGTGTTTGGTTATGGAGTCCGTTCTTCACTCAACTGTGGTGAATATACCACATTTAATATTGAACAACATAAGGTACAGAAGACCGCACAAAAAAGTATTTTCAACATAGTGGTTTAATTTTTAATAGTTAATGAAGGCTTCAAAAAGGAATTACTATGTAACAATATCCTTTTAATATTCATGGTAGTTCTTTTTTAACTTTGAGTATCGATATTTACAAACTAGATACACATCTAGGTATATTTTATTCTTCAGAAAAACACTTTCGCTTAATACTACAGCTAAATTTGGTATTCGGATAGTTATACTTATATCAGAGATTTCTCAAGCATAAATAAAAAGCGTGATGTTAGTATAGCCATGTCCAAAACTGAGTCTATATTTACCGATACCAATGACCACCAGTATTTTAAGCCTTATCCACATTGTCTTGTATCAGTTTCTTACCGTTATCGTCATAATCGTCTCAATAATATTAACCGTCGTAATCGTCCTAATCGACTTGATCGTCTTCAAATTCTACATCTAATAAACAATAAAGAAAAGTAATGGTCGTGATGGTCATAGTGCTCGTGATGGTCATAGTGCCCGCAATGGTCGTAGTGCTCGTAATGCTCGTAGTAGTCGTAGTGGTTGTAATAATTGTAATAATTGTAATAGTCATAATCGTCGTAACTGTCTTAGAATTCTACATGTAATAAACAATACAGAAATTTAATGGTCGTAATGGTCGTAATGATCGTAATCGTCTTAATTGCCGAAGTGGTCGTAGTGGTCGCAGTGGTTATAATCGTCATAACGGTCCTAGAATTCTACATCTAATAAACAATACAGCAAATTAATTGTCGTAATGGTCTTGATGGTCGTAATCGTCGTAATCGTCGTAATCTTCATAACTGTCTTAGAATTCTGCATCAAATAAACAATACAGAAAATTAATGATCGTAATGGTCATTAATGGTCGTATTCGTTGTATTTGTCGTATTCGTCCTGATGGTCGTAATGGTCTTAACTGTCTTATAATTATACATCTAGTAAACGATACAGAAAAGTACTGGTCGTAATTGTCGTAATTGTCGTAATGGTGGTAGGGTCGTAAGGTCGTTATCGTGGTTATCTTTGTAATCGTCTTTATCGTCTTAATTGTTGTAACTGTTGTAGTGGTAGTAACTGTGTTAGAATTCTAAATTTAATAAACAATACAAAAAAGTAATCGTCGCAATCGTAGTTATGGTCGTAATCGTCGTAATCGTCGTAATCGTCGTAATCGTCGTAGTGGTCGTAATTGTTGTAGTGGTCGTAATTGTTGTAGTGGTAGTAACTGTGTTAGAATTCTAAATCTAATAAACAATACAAAAAAGTAATTGTTGTAATCGTCGTATTCGTCATAATCGTCGCAATCGTCGCAATCGTCGTAATCGTCGTAATCGTCGTAATCGTCGTAGTGGTCGTAATTGTTGCAGTGGTAGTAACTGTGTTAGAATTCTAAATCTAATAAACAATACAAAAAAGTAATTGTTGTAATCGTCGTATTCGTCATAATCGTCGTATTCGTCGTAATTGTCGTAACTGTCTTAGAATTCTACATCTAATAAACAATACAGAAATTTAATGGTCGTAATGGTCGTTATCGTCGTTATCGTCGTAAGCGTCGTAAGCGTCGTAATCGTCGTTATCGTCGTAATAATTGTAATGGTCGTAATGGTCGTAATGGTCGTAATAATCCCAATGTTCGTTTTAACCGTAATCGTCGTAATCGTCGTAGTCTTGGTAGTCGTTGTAGTCGTGGTAACAATATAGTAAGACTTGCTGTTCGGTTAGTCATACTCAGGTCACAGCTATCTGGTGTAGAAATAAAAACTGCTGCTAGCACAACTATGATTAATTCTCACTCTCCACTTATCGATATGGCTTACAATAAATGTCTGTAGTGTCTTTGGTGTATTGTCATATTCAACTGTATAGATATGCTGCTGGAATAACTATACCTGTATTAGAGCTGTAATATTTTTTATAATAAATTGGCTGGGTTAGTACCTGTCATATTAATATTTTATCCCACTGTTAGCCTTTTTTGCATGTATTTACCGCTTTACTACTTTGTTTTATGGGCGAGTGACTTTGAAATTAAACTTATAGTGGTTAAAATTTAACTGTAAGTTAAGCGTAACGTTTGGTATTCGAATAATAATCCTAATATCAAGGTTATGGTTTGGGCGGTAGGTATAATGTATCAATATTGTGTTTTGACTGCGTGTATATATTCCTAGCTACTATATATGTGCTGCTAGTTATTTTGAGAATGGAGAAATACTGATACCACAAACCTGCGCCCTTTGTATGTTCTATACTCGTATTGTAGACGGAATAATAATAATATATAAATATTAAAGAATATCGGATTTTTTTCTGGTGGTCTTCACTTTTTTTTTGATAAAGTCGTTTATGGAAGCCAAGTGTAAAATATAAGGCCACAGAGAAGAGTTTTGCTGTGAAACATGTAGCGTACTGTCTGGCGTGTTAAGGATAACAAGTTTTAATGGGTGAAGAATATAAAACGTGTAAAAATCCTTTGAGGTGTAAAGTACTTACGTTGCTGTAATAGTCTATAGAAAATACCCAATATATAGACAGCTATATTAAAGGGTATATAAAGATGTAACTTACCTTTGAGAGCAGAGTTTCAAGCTTACCATGTAAAAAGTGAAAAAAGAGAAAGAAAGAAAGAAGAATGAAAACAGAAAAAAAAAGAGTGAATTTATAGAAAATGGCAAGGGAATGTGGGCTGAGTAGTGGTAGAAACATAAATACCCTTGTATTTGTTTTTTTTTTCAATCAAATTCTTTGCTGATTACGTGAATATGCATATGATCGTCATGCTTTCTTTTTTTTTATTTTCTGTACTTACTACTTTTAGTATGAGTGACATACATATTAAATATACTCTTAAATACTTGATAGGCTTACTCTGTCTTTTCTTTTTAATATGGCTATCACTACCACTACTTATTTGATGGCAAAAGTATGCACTAGCTATTTGGTTTTTATTATTTTATTTTGACTTAGATATTTATAATTTTCTTTAGACTTCACAAAGCCATCATATAGGGTTTATTAGGGGCCATGCATTTGATAATATGCGGTGTAACTTTAGGAGCAGGAAACTTGGCTTTTTCTTTATTACATATGAGACATATGATGCATTAAGTGTTTGATAAGCCGCCTACAATTTATGACCTCTATTTTAGGGAAGGACAATGTATATTTATGGGTGAGTGAGTAAGCGTATGTGAGCATAAAAAACTAACAGACATAGTGACAGAGTATACTTATGTTGCAACTATCTCAACCATAATACACTAAAAAAGTATAGCTGGATTTTTGCAGGATATTTTTTTTTATTCTTGCACGTAATTATGTTCTCATATCTTCTGTTCTATTTCATCACTACCCTGTCTGCCAGCTTATTGGATAACTTTGCTTTTATAAGAATACCCCAGTCTAAAATAGGTAGAGAATAATGAGTAAATCAAATTATCAAAATCAAATTATCCATCTTTATTTTAGTATACTTATTTTCTGTACAGTTTCTAATCTTTTGGATAGCTATTAGTATTGATTTCGGAGACACTTATTTAGGATCATATCAAACATATATTACTTGCAGCCTTTTTTTTTCTATTACTAGAAAGACTTACATTTAATAAAATTACTTATGTCATTATATTACTGATAGTCATACAGTGAATTTTGATCACTTGTTGATATTAGGTAAGAGCAAAAAAAAACAATCACAGAGTTTTAGTTATGTTTATAATTCCACTTTTTATTTCTTGGTTTTCTTCTATAAACTTACTCTTGTACACTAGCTCAGTATTATTTAATATTAAAGCTTCTCAACTTATAAGAATTGGCTCATGTAGCCGACTTTAATTTGATTTATTTCTTCTACTGAAAAAGTTACAGTAAGCTTGAATGTCTAAGAGCATATCAGTTAGTCCCATTTTCTATTTTTTTTAATAAATCGACTTAAGCTGTATTGGCACTGAAAAAGTCAAAAATAAATAAATAAATAAATAAATAAAGGGTCAACTTTCAGTTACAATTAACAGAACTATTTTACTATTCTACTATTTAATAGTATTCTTCACTAGTAAATGTACTCATTTTTCCCCTAAAAGCACTTTATTATATGCTTTACTTTTATTTCTAATATCAAAAAATTAAGTTAAATATTTCCAAAATTATCAGCCTTGTAGTAGGCATAATCTCTTGGAGTTTCTGTTATCATCATTGTATACTATTGAGACGGAATGTATTGGTTTATATAAAGAAGTAGTCCAAATGGTTAACAGAAAAAGAGAATATGTATCAATCTCCTCTAACAACTCCTTAGCCCTAATATTGGCAATTGGCAGCTTGTTCTCTCGAGAAAGATAAAAAGAAAATAGAAGTGATATGTAAGGATGTTCTTTATTGCTTTCATCTTTCGATGTTTATATAGATATTTTGATAATAAATAAAATAATATAATTAGTTAGATATTACTAAGCTATTACTAAGAGGTTGGAATAAACTATGCTTCATAAAAAAATAAGAGAGAGAAATAGAGGTAGATAGTCATTGTTGGGGTTCATTGTTACAGTCCTTATGATTTTCAATTGATTGCTGCGCCAGTGGTAACAATCATGTTCTTCCCAAAATTATTACTTAATCGATTGGTTTACATAATTGATACAAAAAGATTTAGAGATATGTGATATGTTTGGGCCGGCCGAAAATGTGAATATACATGCAACATGTCAATGTCAATATTAATCAATATTGAATGAGGAATGGAGGTCACAGAAATATAATGTTAAAGGATTGCAGATAATCTGGTAGGAGAGTGGTGAGACGTGCTATATTGGTTTATGTGATGTAATGGTTGATGAAAAAAGTATAGATAAAAAGAGAAGAAGGGGTGGTCAGATCAACATTCACAGCTTTTGTAGAAAATAGTAGTGTTCTTATGATCGAGACCCAGAAAAAAGAAAGGAAAAGAAAATATAAGTGTAAAAACTGTTCTTTATGGGATTGATTTGTTTGGGACTATATAGTTTTCTTTGAGTTAAGCTGATATCACGTTATTGAGATAATTCGATAGTTTATATAATAATAATTGTGTTGGTAATTGAATATGGGTACTTGTCCAAAACCAACTGAGCCACCAGCTTGTCAATAGATACTTAGACTGTACTAGTATAAAATATAAAAATTAACGTAAAGGAAAGAATCTCTATAAGCCTTGAAATATTGTTCAAAAGTAATTAATACGCTACAAGTCTTAATATATTATAACTTGAAGTAAAAAGATTTCTGTAAAGAAGCTGCTGAAATTGCTCTTGCTAATTATCTTATTCTATTAGCTGCTGATATATATATATATAAGCATAAGAAAATAAATGTAATATAGATCACCCTAACATATCTCTCTTTTTATTTTCTCTATTACTTTTAAGAGAATAGACTGATATTGACAATATATATTCTCTTTTATTCTTAACCATTTGAGCAATCTATCATATAAACCACTCGTCTCTTTTGCAATAACATTTATACAGTTATTTATTTGTCTTTGAACATAATTCTGTAAATAATAAGCTGTGCTGGCTAACGTGTGTGAATATACACTATAATAGCAATATTTTGATCTATCAAGAGTAAGAAAAAATATTATACTTGTAGTTCAAAAGAAATATTGCATACATATATAGAATTGAATAGACTATTTTTTTTTAAAAAAAAAAGTATACTTGAGAACTGGTAGAATACCAACTGCTTTAATAAATATATGCCACTGTTTGCTTAATAGTAGTACTTTTCTACTTACATGTCTTTTAACATACTTTGTGAAATGAAAGTAAACAAATTGTGGTTAGAAGGTTAAGGAGGCTTTCTTTATTTGTATGGCGGATTTTTAAAAAACAGTATGATCATCAGTAGTGTGATTAGAAACATAGAAAAATATATTTCTCCAAAGACATAAAAAGGTTATATAAAGCATAGTAATACTCAAATTCACCCATTGGCTGTACTACTCAATGTATTTATTAGGCAATACCAAGAGGTTTTTGATAATAGTCTGGAACAAAAAGCATATAACTTTTACCTACAACGTAAAGCCCTTTAGTTTTTATATGAATTTGTTTTGATTTGCCCAAAATAGGCCTTTTACGCCTTCTGTGCTGCGCCAGCCCCATTTTTTTCATATAAAAATTGATACAATTCCCAATTTCTTGTAATCCCCCCTCTTCCTCCTGGTTTCCCTTTGGTGGTCCTTGGTTTCCGACACGGTAAGAAAATCGCCTTTAGATGCCTATATCTTTCCATTTGCATAAGGCTCATACTGATATTTACTATGGAAACGCACCCCAGACGCGGTCTCTAGCTAAGTTTCAAAAACAATGTCCAGTCTAATAGCAGGTAAGACAATATACAGACACACACACGCCTTGACACGGTCAGCGTACTAACTACAGCCCAGTGTCTCTTGTGCTTTTTTTGTCTTGTATGCCCAGCGTCCATTCCACTGTAGCTACGGAGAGGTCCTTCACGTCATGTTCATGTATCAGGTAAGTAAATATACAGATAGATACTTTGACACAATCAACACACTAACTATGGTTCGATGCTTTCATTTTTTATGACAGTGTCCAGTGTCCAGTGTCTAGTTCCGTTTTGCTTTCGAGCATAAGTACTGTTTAAGCCCTACGCGGTTATCTGCTAGGTAAGTAAACGCATACACACACACACACATACCCACACTTTGACACGATCAACACACTAACTATGATTTAATGTTTTATTTTATTTTATTACAGTGTCCAGTGTCCCGTTTCCAGTCCCGTTTTGCTTTTGAGCATCAGTACTTTTTAAGCTCTTTGCGATTATCGGTTAGGTAAGTAAACGCGCACACGCGCACATACTTTGACATGACAAGTATATTAACCTTTTACTCTATTTTTTTTCTATTTCTACATTTGCAGTGATCCCTGAATACCTCGTATTCTATTGGTCACGATATATCAAAAGGAATATACGTAAACATTTTCATGCAAGATGTGTATATCATGGTCTTTAACAATGAGTCTCCGGGCTCATTTCCAACTCGCTCATTGTAGACGCCTTATTTATAGGGCTTGTCTTAATATGAGATTCTGGTTTTTTATTGGAAGCATTGCGCTCTTTGGCTAGTCTGGCCATTGAGTTCGCTCAAGGTGCTATGGTCTGAAATCTGATCTGTGCCTTGCGCGATTCTACTTGCATTTACTGCAGGGGAGAAGAAACCAAAAGGGATTCTGTCTTGGACTTTATTGTTTGAGATGGAGAAGCTCCAATGTTTGAACCGGAGTGGTCTTTTGGCTGCTCTGGATTGTGAACTAGTGAACTGCTTTTCCAGACATACCAACAAGTCAGTAGCCTTCACTCCCTGGAAAAGGTTATTGGAGGGTGCAATCCCCTCACCTTGTCTTGAGTTCTTGTCTTTGTGTTAAGTAGCTTCCGATGAGTCGGGTTGTTTTTACAAACTCCCTAATCCCGGTGAAAAGTTTCATCGAAGGCTAAACTTATTTATAAAAAACCAACTGATCACAAGTACCGTCAGGGAAAGTAGCTCTTAGTGTAGAGCATAACTGGTGTTAAAGACCTTCCTGAGTCAGTCATATGAAGGCGAAAGCCGGATGAAATCCACGTCAGTTTTTTCTGTGTTGTGCGGCACATAACATGGAGAAGACTGAGGAACGCAGAGGTAGCTTTATGCTATTTTCTTAGGACGTTGGATATTGGCTCTCCAGATTTTGTCCTTTGGGACATGTCAAGATTGTCACAGAAAGGTGCAAGTATAAGGGTGTATCACCTGGATGCGTAGAGTTTTTTAAATTCGTTGAGCACCTGGACGTGAGGTAATACAGGTAGATTCCAGCAGAATCGACAGATTACCCAGTACAATCGCCTGTATTTTACTGCTTCCTGTTGAAATGATCCCTGTGCTTTTCAAGTCCCTCATTGCTTAGACTTTGATACTTGTAACCCACGCTCTGGTAAACAGAACTGGACATGAGGGACGAACCCGAAGCAAAGTTAAGGTGCCTAAGTAAATGCTATGCTGTTCACTTGGGTGTCTCAGACACCTGTCCCGAGCAGTTTGGCATTAAAGCATTTCACCGATACTTTGCCGTCATGGTAAATTTGATGCCATGCCGAGTAGGCAGGAATGAGGGTTGTTGAGAAGCTTGGGTGTAAACTTGAGTGGATCGGCCTTCAAGCGCAGGTCTTGACAAAAAAATCTTTATTTTTTACTTTTTGGGATAAATCGGATACACTTTAAAAACAGACGAACGAATATTTTAATACAATATTCAGTACTGAGATCTGTTTGAATTTTTTTATTTTCTTACAAGCAAGGTATGTATATGTATATATAGACTCGTACCAACAATAGTCATCATACTTATTAAACTCTAATATATTAATAATACAACTTCTTTAGCATTCTTGGCTTAGCCGATCTTCTTTCACTTGACAACTCATGCCTAAAAACATATAAATACAAAGGTACAGTTTTTCTTTTAAAAAAAATCAATAGTTTAATGACGTTTCATTAACTTTCTTCATCTCATGTATGCAATTAAGCATTCACATGCAATTAGGCATTGCCACGCAATTAGGCATTGACATGCACTTAATATTACAAACGCCAGCCCGAGTATTGTTTTATTACATATAGGTAATCACCGCCACCTCCTTAAAGGTTTTTGAATATTAAACTCTTTTTTTTTTCACTCTTCTGGTGGAGTATTCTTATTAGATCTCTATAGAGCTAAGATCTGGGCTACTTGACAGCCTTACTATTACTATAAAAATATGCTAGGAAGCTTTATCTTCATTGAGAGCTTAGATAAATAAAGTATTCCTCATTCTCATTAGCTCATTGCTAGTGTCTTGGAACTTCCATATGACCCAAACATATCTTATCTTTCTAAATCTTTTTCTTTGTATCAATTATGTAAATAAATTGCTCAAGTCTTGACCACAAGAAGAATATAATTCTTATAGCTGGCAAAGAAATCAATTAAAAAACGCAAGAATTGTAACAATCAATGCCAACAATATCGATCTATTTCTATTTCTTTCTCTTATTCATCATTAATTATCCAAAGAAGCATAGTTTATCCCAGCATATTTATTAATTATTGAAATATCTATATAAGCATCAAAAGAGAAAAGCAATAAGGAACACCCTTACACATCACTTTTATTTTCTTTTTATCTTTCTTGAGATAACAAGCTGTTAATTGCCAATATTTGGGCCAAGGAGTTGTTAAAGGAGACCAATATATATCCCTTTCTTTCTGTTAACCATTTGGGTCACTTCTTTACATAAACCAACACAGCCAGTATCACCTTTTCAAATGTAAAGAATAATGATTCAGAAATAAGGTGAAATAAGCCCAGATTGTAAAACTATGCTTTTCTCATAATATATTAGATTTTCAATGCAAAGAGCTTTACTTATAAGGGGTTTCACCAGTTCCGGATGCTTGACTGTTAGATGTAATGATAGCTTAACCACTATTCAATAATAATCAATATCGAAAAAAACTATTGAGTACCATTAATGTCTCTTGGTTGATATGTTTTCTCTCATATATGTCAAAATTCATAGGTACAATACGCTTGATTAGAATACTCATAAATATAGTGCCTATGCCCAAATTCCCCACAATTAAGTTAGACTTCTATAATTTGGTATCAATATAGCCACTCTTACATAGATTTCTTATGTTTTATTTTTGACTTTGCTTTTCTATGAACCTGGCCATCAATTGTACATAAAGTACAAATTTTTGTAAATTTTGGTCAAGTCACGACAACTAGAGTATCGAACAATTTTTTTTTTGGATACCTGGATGCTCAGTTTTCAATTTTTGAAGCTTCGTCACAGCCAATCGTTTTTTGAATTAAACTACCGCTACATCCAACAGTCAAGCATCCAGAGCTGGTGAAACCCCCTTTTTTATAGAATATTCATCCGTTAATCAAGCACAAGCAAAATAAGCTTCTCTTCTATTTTGTTTTACTTTAAGTTTATTAATAAAATGAAATACATTTGATTTCCAACAAGTATTAATATAACAATAGTAAAATTGTCTAAAGGGATGCTAAAGTACATCATTTGTATATGGTGCTTGCAAGACTTCTTTTGATTTTCAGGTAACATTTGGTGAGTTTCGGCCTCAAGTCCATGCTTAAGTCTTTTCCAAAAACATAACCAGGTTTGAAATGCATGATTTTTAGCAGTCCCAAAAATGCTTCAAGTTGTCCCTTTTTTTTCAATAAAGTAATATCTACCCCCCATCCCGTTCAAATTTTCTTATTAAGAAGCACACATATATGTATGTATCCAATTAACATAGAAAGGACATAGATATAAAAGAACAGGTTTTAAAAAAATTACTATCTTATACTTTTATTTTAGAATATATAATATATATATAAAATGTAAAAAAGAAAAAAAAATGGCTTTCAAGAACCAGATGCTTTATAAAAGAAAAAGAAGAAAAGGAAAGGAATAGAGAGAGAGAGATAGAAAGGTAGAGGTAGAGGTAGAGAGAGAGACTATCGATGTTTAGTGACTTGTGAGACATCGAGCCCTAATGCGCGTAAGAACAGATTTACATTGGCTATCATGTGTGTTGACTGATGTGCCGAAAGACGGTTACTGTGAGCCAGAACAATATTTTCCATTACACGGTCTCTGTTGATCATTAAACAAATTATATGGATAAAAACACGGTGTTAGGACAAGAAGCAACATTAAACATGTTTTATATATATATATTAAGTGAAACACATACCTGACTTCAGTAACAAGAATATGTTGTTGTTCCATTGAAGCGCCCACTGCCATGGCTGCCAAAAACTGCCAGACATAAACATCGTCGAGCTCATGCGATATTTGCATCAGGTTCATGCCAGGATGGATCGGAACAAGGTAATACAACGAAGGGAATATGGATGCATAACGACCCTGTAATGCGGAAAACAGCTTGGAGTACACTTCGTGCCACTGGGCTAATTCTTCAGCAGTTGGGGGAGCAGAGCCATTCGATGCCCCGCCTCCTTGCTTCAAAATCTCGGCGCGCGACAAAAGCATGGCCAAGAACACAAGTCCGGGCCTGCTTTGCGCAACAACCTCGACGTTGTTCTTTTCCATAAGCAACTGGAACAGTCCATTGATCACCCTGAGTGGGGCGTCACTGATGAAACCTAACAGGGCGGGTGCGGCCGAGTTCATAAAGAGTTCGACATCCTCATAGGTGACAAAATGCTGCTTCTTGGCTTCTTCGGCATTAGAGACCGTCATGCCGGGATATATGACATGACGGCAGACCTGGAGCTGTTCAAAGTTTGCAATGATTACGGTCACCATGGTCAGATTCTGATCACTGCTGAGGTAGCGCACAATACGAGCAACCAGCTTTTTGCCCTTGCCAGTAGAGAGAATTGAGATAATCAATGGAAGACTAAGAAAAAAAAATGAAAAAAAAAGTTTAGGTTACATATTGTCATTTGTCATTGACAAATTTTAAGATCCTTTAATACAAAATCATATATATATCTATATATCTATATATTCATTATCTTACCTGCCCTCAGGAGTATCTAATATTCTCAATGTGTTCCAGAGCTTCTGAATCTTTTCTGCATAGGCCTCATTCCTAAATTATTCACACACGCGCATACAAAGAAAGAAAGAACCAGTTAATTCACTGCAATAATAATAATAATAATAGTAGTAGTAGTATATAGTTTGTAACATCATAAGCTACTATTATTTTAAAAAAAAATTACCATTTCTCAACTGCCTCTTCATACTCGTCTTCGTGTCCAGGCTTAGACTGTGGAGCACCTTGTCTGCGCACCTGTTCGATCTGAAGTACAATAAGATAAATGTTTTCGATAATCTTAAGAATTCGTCTACGATCGTTCACAACAGATACGATTGGCTTGGCTCTCTAAATATATGTATATGTATATATTTAAAGCAGTAAAGAAAAAAAAAAGAAGGTTGATTAGAAAATTAAATACAAAAACTTGATTACATATGTATAGCAAAACAAAATTACATTGATAGTCTGAGTCTCTTGGGAACTTTGAGACCCATCTTGGTTACTGGTCGAAGAAGGTTTTTTGTCAGATACTTGTAAGACCTGGCGAGGGTTTCGAACTGTGAGAGAAGTAATCTTTCCAAGAGCACCTTCCAAAGAAACTGTTTTGTTGTTGTTGTTGTTGCGGATAATGATAAGATACGTGGTATGTGACATACGATATAAGTATATGTACACTTGAATAGATATATGTTTAAGATAAACATACCTTGACTTTGCTTTGGTCGTCTCTTGGTATCATTCACAATACGCTGCAATTGCTGTTGCACTCTCTGCGTTGATGATTCCTCTCTTCTTCCTCTACCTCTGCTCGTGGCATCATTGTTACTGTTGCCACTAGTGGCTGACCAGGTTGTAAGGCCAACGTGCTGATGAATAGATGAGTAGACTTGGTAATAGAAATCTTCAGCGAATGGATCGTCAGAAGCCAACTGTGAAAGATGGATACGGTTGATGAAATCCTTATCGTGCTGGGTCATAAGTCCGTTGTACTGAGACTATTATAGCCAATGTATCATTATCAACAGTGACAGCAATAAAAACAAATAAGAAACAAACCCAAATACAAATATATAAATAAAATTACCTTTCGCTGGATGTGTCTTCGGTTCAATTCACGTTCCAACAAAGTCTGTTCGAGAAACTCCTTTTGCTGCTGTTGCTGTTGCTGTTGCTGTTGTTGTTGCTGCTGTTGCTGTTGTTGTTGCTGTTGTTGCTGAGCTTGTTGAGCTTGCTGAGCTTGCTGAGCTTGTTGCATAGCCATCAAGTGCATAGGATCAGGATTTTGCACCCCACCAAAATGCATCACACCTTGATCTCTGTGCAGCTGTTGAGCATGATGCTGCTGAAGAGGAGAACCTCTGACACCATGGCCAGCTGCAAGCATAGAAGCCTCAACCTCTGCCAGACTGAGCATCTTCTTTCCGTTGTCAATGTCATTGGAAAGTCGTTGGTGTTCGTGTTGTCTGAATCGACCTGTGGTTGCCTGGCGTTGGAGCTCTGCTTCAATGTCTTCCAACAGCACAGGTTGGTTACGGAGCTGTTGCTGCTGTTGGTGGTGCTGTTGCTGTTGCTGCTGCTGCTGTTGGTGATGGTGTTGGTGCTCAAACGAGGACGAGGGTGATAGGCCAGGCGGAGGTGAAGGCGTGTACGACTGCGGAGGCTGTTGGCGGGATTGTGGTCGGCCTGCGAATGGTGAAAGTCCACCGGGACTTCCACCAAGAGAACCACCACCATACCCACGATCTACATATTAATATGTATATTTAAGTACCAAGTATAATGTATGTATTCTATGACGCTAATAATAATAATACTAATTAGTTGTATGTATGTGTCTTACCAGAAGCAAGAGTTCCTCCAAAACTTCCCCAGATTGATGCTGATGGAGTTACAGGAGAAGACTACAATATATGTATATATGTATTGCGTGTATATTGTCCAAAATAAATGAAAAGGAAAAGGTGAGCTCATGATCTTAATTCAAGCTGTATTTTTTTTTATGTGTGGAGTGTATGGTGTGGTTTTTCTATATTTGATATTCATAAAAACCCACCTCTCCGTACTTCCTTCCGTTGTCGTGATTATTTCCAGAGTTGCGCATGTCTCCAGAAAGTGGGCGACTACCGAGAGGACTACCGGTATGACCATTAGTGCCAGTCCATGGAGTACGTACATTCGAACGGCGGCCTAAAGATGAATAACACATGCACAGTAGATAATCAGGATAAGTGTTAGTATCAGTGTTGGCATTTTGTAAAGCCAAGCGAACGGCATTCTATGTGGGTCTATACTCTTTATCCCCAACCAGCACTTTTTCGCCTTTTCTCTGTATCTATCTATATATTTATTTATTCTTTTGCTTACTTTGATCCTCTTTTATCGGACGCTTGATAAAGAATGCCGCCTCTTCTTCAGTGAGGTTCGAGTTGAATCTTTCGGTATTAGCAGCAAAATCAAAGTCTTGACCTTTTGTTATAACGACCCAGAGAATAAGAAGAAGAAACATAATATAATGTAATGTAAGTTAATATCATACAATAAAGCGTTTAGTTATCATGTTTTTTATTGTTTTCTTTGTCTTTATGTCTCTACTTCTCTTCTCTTTTCTTTTCTGCTTTCCATTATATTATTTCCGTCCAGAACACATATACAAACACACACACACACGAACACATACACATACACATACACATACACATACACATACACATACATATATATAGGTGTGTGTAGATGCGTGGAAAATAATAAAATAGTAAATAAAATGATAAAATAAAATAAAAATTACCAGTAGAGTTTCCTCCAAAAGTCTCGTCATTGAAATTATCGCCTTCTTCGATCAGCTGGTCACCTAGCCCGTCGTCTTGTTCTTCGAGCTCACCCTCTAGTTCCTCCTGCATTGCTCCGAAATCATATACTTCTACATCTCCTACTGTGTTGCGGATTCCATGTCCGTAGTCTGTTTGACCTTGCGCGTTTCCTCCTTGTATGATATTACCATCATCGCCAAACTGTCGTCGCTCATCATTACTCAAGGGTGGCAGCTTCGTATTGAACCTATAAAAGTAAAGTAAAGTAAAGAAGATAGTAAAAGAAGAAGAAAAAAGCGAGGTTTATATATATATATATAATTATTAGTATATAATCCTTTTCTTCTTTTTCTTTCTTATATATGTATTGCAGCGGGATGGTCGTATTTGTACATATCCGGTTTCGATTCTTACCCGAAGAATGAATCACCCATTTAGTTCTTCTTTTTTTTATTTTAATTTTTTGAAGAAAATTGATGAAAACGATGAATATTTTTTTTGTGCTCGTCTGTCTGTTGGGTCTGTCTTTATATCAGTCTGCGGGTTGGTTCGACTGTTTGAAACGTAGTGTGGTTGTACAAGTTAGGATTGCGCTCTACTGTAGTGTACTGTGCTGTACCGTTCTGTACTTTGCTGTATGTTGCTGTATTGTATTGTATTGTATTTCATGTACTATAATATACTACACTATTATGTACTATGATATTATATGATATTTTATATATCGTCTTTGTACTTTATGGTTCGTGAATATCGATATACGTACTTAACTGCTCAGAATAATAATAATACTAGTATTATTTTTATTTTATTTTTTTATTTTATTTTTATTTTATTTTTATTTTTATTTTTATTTAATTATTTATTGTATTTCTGAATGAATAGCTTAAATAATAAAATAAAGTAAAATAAAATAAAATAAAATAATAAAATAAAATATAAAAGAAATAGAAATAAAGAATATATATATATATGTGTGTGTATTTAATATAAAGGGAAATCAAAAATTAAACCAGTTGATTTAAGATCACTCTTGATATTGTAGGCTGGGGCAAACTGGGGATAGAAAAGCAATACGCAGCAACCTTTAGATTCCCGCCTATGATTTGCGTCATTCAGTGACTGGCATGAAGAGGCTTATTGACCTTATTGGTCATATATCTGTAGGAGATAGAAGAAAGAGAGTGAGAGTGAGAGTGAGAGTGAGAGTGTGTGTAAGGCGTACGTAAATTGTGTGGGGTGCTTAACTTTTAGTATTTAATGTGTAATTAGGATTTGATTGGTTTATTTTTGAATTAATAGTGATATTGGGATGTAAGGTAGGTTATCGTATTTTACCTTATTTTACCTTTATTGTTATTTTATTTTTGGTGCTGTAAGCGAATATTTGTTACATTGGTTGTGATATGAGTTGCATCATAAATTCCTGCAAGGAGAACAATGCCCGTAACTGACAAATCAATTTATTCGTCATACTCCGTCAACTACAAATGCAGACTGACAGAACTTTAACAAGCACATACACATACATAAATATATATATATCATACACTCAAAGCAAAGCAAAGCAAAGCAAAATAATGAAAATAAAAAATAAATTCAATACAAGAAGTATATACTTAAAGTCTACAAAATTGATATAGACATTGATGTGTATGTATACGCAATATATAATATGATATTACTGTCATTGTTATTCTTAGCATTAATGTATTAAAAATCAAATCATCAAAATTAGTCATCAGCTGTGATACTGTTCTTTTGGCTTGGTTGGCCGTGCATATTTGGTGATAAATGGATGGTTAGGTATTTGCCTAAGTGGTAGTCGATCTGAAGGCTTGTACTGTAGCAACTATAAATTGAAAAGTTCAAGAAAGAGGGAGTTTTGAACATGTAAATATATACAATAAAAATGAGTGAGTGATTGATTTAGTTAATATACTTCGTCTTCTATCGTTCATTTTTTTTTGTATTATACACACGACATATAAGTTTATACTGCTACTCACCCTTTTGATCAAATCGGCGGCATCTTTGCTAACAAAGGCTGGCATCTGTATATCTACCTTTACAATCCGCCGGTAGGTCACATCGTGGCTCTGCTCGTCTTCAAAAGGTGGTTTCCCGCAGATCATTTCATATAGCAAGATCCCAAGCGACCAGAGATCAACATTCTCATTATGGCTACGACCTTCTACCATTTCTGGTGGAAGATAGTCTAATGTACCGCATAATGTACTTCGACGCGATCTACAGCCGTAACAATATCAAAGAATGATCATTTACAAAACGGTTCTTCCAAAGTCTTCTTTTTTTTTGGTTTTTTGATCCACAGTATTACACGTAAACCTATCTATATATATATATACATTGCTTTCTCTCTCTTTTTGTAGTTTTACTTACTCGGTTACTCCAGTTTTTACAGACCACCCAAAATCACCCATCTTTAATTCACCCTTGATACCGAGCATTAGGTTTTCAGGTTTTATATCCCTGTGTATAATTCGCTTGCTGTGCAAGTATATTAAAGCGTTGGCCATTTGAGATATGTACTATTAAGCATTTTCGACCAATATAGATATAGATATATAAAAGTTAATAAATAACAGTAAGGAATCAGATATTCGTAATGTGTACCTTTGATGCAACAGCTTCGGGGAACATTGTCTGACGTTGGAGTTCTTTGTATAATTCACCCTTTGCCGCCAGCTCAAGAATTAAAAATGCTCGGGTTTCATCATGAAAGTAACCATAAAGACGTAATATATTAGGGTGCCTATTATTTTCAAATATGTATATGTATATATATAATATTAAATCACATGGAATATATACCTATAATATGTTGGTAGGTACCCAGGTAATATAATCTTACCTCAGTGTACTCTGAATTTCAACCTCTCGCTGTAACTGTTTTTCAACTCCATTTTTCGCCAATTCTTTTTTGTACAAGACTTTGAGAGCAACAATGTATCCACTTCGTTTTTCTCTAGCCAAAAAGACATGTCCAAATTTGCCTTTTCCTAATGCTTTACCAATCTCAAAGTCATCAAGGCACCATTGTTTAAGTTCTGGAGGATTTCTGAAGACGGTAAGTAATACCGATTTTTTTTTTAAAAAAATAAATAAATAAAAGGTCAAGATGTCAAAAAATAAATCAGTAATAATCATAATAGTAATGATTATAATTAATTAAAAACCCCCCCCCCCCCCCAAAATTGGAGACAAAGACGATGTTTAATATATATATATATATATATATAGTCAGCTTACCGTGTAGTCTTGGGTTGGTCTGAAAGTGGTCGTTTTCGATAGGTACGTGGTGTTTCTGCTGGTTTGTTTAAAGTTGATGAAGATGAAGATGATGATGACGATGAGATTGATTCTTTACTGGTGCCGTCACTTGAGCGTTGAGTTGAGAGTTTTTTGGACTGTGGTTGATGAGTACGAGATCGGGTTAATTTTGTGTCCATTGGAGGTTGAGAGACTCTATTGAGAGGAAGAGGAGGAAGAGCAGGAGTAGAAAGAGGGGTCTTTAGGGTTGTTTTTGAGGATGAAAGATAAGAATTAGGGTTCTTTGTTGGACGAGAGGTTCTAGTTGGTATTGTAGTAGTAGTAGTTGTTGTTGTTGTTGCTTTGGTAGTTGATTGCCATGGTGAGCGTAATCTGTCAATTGTCATGGAGAATTTAAATAAAATAAAATAAAATAAAAAAAAGATATATATGCATGTATCTATGTGTGTGTGCGTGCGTGTGTAAAATATATTTTATACATATAAAAAAAAATGATATTTTGTGACTATATTATTTTCGGTTCAGCAACATGTAGTTTCTGCATCGTATACGGGGTCTTAATCCCGACTAAGCAACACGGACCATGTTTAATCATCAGGACCATTTTTTGTCACAGAAAATAGATAGCGTATTGAGCTCGCGATCTATCGCTGACGGCGCCGGCGATGTTGCGAGGTCAACCATACCTTCAATTCTATTTTTTAGGCCGCTTTATAATACTTATTCAAATAGTATAATTAATTAAAATGGGTCTGAATCGGTGATTCAACTATCAATACACGCGACTGATACTTAAAATTTGTTTATTTATTTTTTACAAAATAAGTATCATAAAGAAGTGTCTTTTATAGCTAGTATTACTATTTTTTTTCTTAGTTAGTGCTTTAAAGAGAGATAGATACAAGCTTTTATTTTATTTTATTTTTGATTAAAATTGAAATGAAAAGATCAAATTAATATATGTAAATTTATAGAAAATATTTCTAGTAAACCTGTTTTTATTTTCTTCTGTCTGTACATTAAATATCCCGGCTGAATCTAATTTTTATATATAAATAAACAAAATGGAAATATCAATTGATTATATTTTCCAAAAAAAAAAATGACTTCTTGATATACCCAATCTCGCCTATTATTTCTAATATATTCATATGCACTCTTTCTTTCTTTCACTATATTTTCTATAGCATTCGGTTATCAAAGATTAATATACACATAGCAAATATGGGGGCTGATAAAATACATTTATGAAAAAAAAATTTAAAATAAAAATTTAGTATCAAACTTATGTAGGTGTTTCCGATGCAAGCTATATATTTATATTATACATACACTGTAGGAAAAATCTATCCGACTTTAACGCTTTTATTTCATTTTACAAATCCCAATACAATTCACTGCAATATTCACCCTCCTTCGTTCCCTCCTTCTCCTTCTCCTCTTCCTCCTTGTCTTCCCTTCTGGTACATGTACAAATAATTTATATTCAGGATGAATCTTGGCATGTTTATTAAAATTACATCCACATCCATGTTCGACGCACATACACATAGACACACACATAAACAGACACAAACATTTCTTCTCTTTTTTTTTTCTTCTTTTTTTTCTAGTTCCACATAAGATACTATTGAAAATAAACAAAGACAAAGACAAATGATTGCAGTACATAAATATGTAGTGTAATATGTAAGTTGATTTTGACTCTGAAAATTTGTAATGATATAATTGTGGATGTGTATCCATATATTTACCTTTGGAGTACTGGAGAACTTTTGGTATCCCTTGATAACCTTGCTGACAGATTCCAAAAAGTCCTTTTCGTTTGCAACCTTTTTGAATTAAATAAATTAAATTAAATCAAATAAATGATATTATTTTTTTTCAAGAAAAAAAAAAAGTTAGATTTCACTCAAGATCCTCTTTGACTTTTCTCATCATAATATTATTATTTTTATTATTTTTACCTTTCTTCTTGCGCGAATAGCAAACATGCCTGCTTCTGTACAAACACTTCTTAATTCTGCACCTGTTGCATTGGGACACAGACGCGCAATAAGCTCGTATCTGATATCACGTTCAACACTCATACTCTTTGCGTGGATCTTCAAAATGTGAGCACGACCCTAATAGAAATAACAGCCAAGAAAAAAAAAGTACATTAGATATTGTAATGATTAATGTTTGGCTTAAATTCAATTCAATTCAATTTCAATTGGAGAAGATTGTTATTGAATTGTGTATAGAATCAATGTATGTATGTATATATTGATTCAATCAACTAATGTATTACTTTACTATCTTTTATTTCTATTACTCTTCTCTATTTTACCCACCTCCAGATCAGGAAGACCGAATTCAACACGTCTATCCAAACGACCAGGTCTCAAGAGAGCAGGATCAAGGGTATCAGGACGGTTAGTGGCCATGAGAACCTTAATGTTACCACGAGGATCAAAACCATCAAGCTGGTTGATCAGCTCCAACATGGTACGCTGAACCTCATTGTCACCACCTGCACCATCATCGAAACGTGCACCACCGATGGCATCGACCTCATCAAAGAAGATGATACAGGCCTTCTTTGTTCGTGCCATCTCAAACAACTCACGGATCATCCTTGCACCCTCACCGACGTACTTTTGTACGAGCTCGGAACCAATTACACGGATAAAGGTTGCGTCTGTGCGGTTGGCAACTGCTCGGGCACAGAGGGTTTTTCCGGTACCGGGGGGACCATACAGAAGCACACCCTTTGGAGGGTCAATACCAAGGTTGACAAATCTCTCGGGCTGCAACAGTGGTAATTCGACGACCTCACGTAATCTCTCGATCTGTTCTTTGCAACCACCAACATCACTGTATGTCACATCTGGTTTCTCTTCGACCTGCATCATTGTGACCGAAGGATCGATCTTGGGAGGAAGTGGGACCTGGATCTGATACTTTGTACGATCAACACTATTCATCCACCACAGCAAGTCATTAATTATTATTATTATTATTGAAAGCAACAAAGAGAAAAATAGTAATTACGTACCCAACTCGCATACCCTCTTCAATATCTGTTGGTGATACATGTCTAACAAGCTCAACCACGAATTTGGCAATTTGCTTGACATTAATGATATACTTTGCGTCTTCATTTTCACCACCTTCGATAATCTTTGTGCATCGGGCAACCTATTGCGTTTTTATGTATAGAAATAGTCATATTTTTTTTTGGAATAAGATTAAAAAAAAACTAAGTTAATCAAGACACACATACACACACAAATATATATACTCTTTCTTTGATATTCTTATCTCCCAATCTCATTAGTATATATATGCATTACCTGAAGTGGCTGTTCTTCCTGCATTCTTTGTTTATCAGCAGGAATATCCCACATGTTTGGCGCAGAGAGACCAGTGTCAGATTCCTTTACACCTGAGAAATATTATAGCATATACATTCACACACATTCATACATATATTGCGAATCAGTTACATGTCATTATGATTACAAAATCCTCATCACAAACTAACCAATCTTCTCATTGACACGTTTCTGTGCATCCTTAATGTCTTGTTCAAGTGTTTTTAGTTGTTTAGCGTACGGTCCTTGACCCTGTATGTAGAATATTGTTATTTACGAAATATATAAAAGTGTGAGTTATAGATACTTGTTAATTTATGCAGTAAGCATTAAAATTTCCCTTTCTTTTCTTCTTCTTATTCGACAAAAAGAGCAATAAAATTATTTTTTTTTTAAAAAAAAAGAAATAGATTTATGGTATTCTTACATAGGTTTTTAAAAGTTTGATATCTCCCTCATCAAGAGCTGTAAATAAGAACCATAATGCGTGGATGTGTGTTAATAATCGTATATATTTTTATATATTCTTTTCGTTTATGGTTGTTGGTGAGTGTAGAGTTTTGTAGGTGTGTCTAGAGTTTGTTCGTACCAACAATCTTCTTTTCTTCCTTTTCGTCAACGGACTTATCGTCTACAAGAAAAAAATAAAAAAGTATATGTTTTATAGGCGTTTGGTGTCAGTTTTATTTTCTTTTATATATATATATATATATATATAAATGGTTGTGAGAGAGGAGGGATGACTGCATACACTTTTCCCAGTCTTCTTTTGGTGGCATGATTGTGTGTAGATGTGAGACGGATCGTTTGAATGAGTATTGAAAAAAAAAAGTGGAGCAGTACTAGGAGTAGTAGGATGAGGAGACTCACGACAGACGGACGTGTGGAGGTTGTAGTGGAGTTCAAGTTGCCTGAACGACGTAAGTTCCAACTGACGCGTGTATTCGTGTCGTCACGGCCGTGACTGCATTCAGGGGCGCAGAAGCGAAGAGAAAGAATTAAATTAAAAAATTAAAATAAAATTTGGTAGACAACGTCCGTAATGGCCTTTTTTTTAAAAAAAAAAGGAAAAAGGATGGGCCCGATCAAAATTTTACTGCTATATTAATTTGGGGGTATTCAACACATTTTTTTTTAATTCTTATTTTTCTGAAAATGTTCAGGCTTTATTTTACTTTAAGGTTTAGACCATTGACCAATAAGAAGCCAGAGATATTTTTTTGAAGGACTTGGTGATATATACATATATATTTAAACTTTAAATAAATAAATAAATAAATGAAAGAAAGAAACGATTGTTGAATTACTCCCTATTAAAATGCTTATTATATTTAAAACAATATACTCAAGCCTTATTCATGTACCGTTGATAATATATATATATATATGTAATACGTTTTTTTCTCTTTATTTGTTGGCATTATTATTAAATAAAATAATAAAAGATCGATTAGATTGATTAAGTGAGTGAATTATTAAACAATTGTATAATTATTTCTTGGCCAAAGTTATGTTACGTTTGACACAATTGACACAATTAAAGCACGGATAAGATAATATAGGTATATATGTAACTATGGATACACATTTATATTCTTTTGATCATTGTAATCGTTAAGATAGACTTCTTTGATTGTATAAAGATAAGAAATGAACAGGATATATATATATATATATATATATATATGTAAAATAAAAAGTCGAGAATTAGATTTTTTTTTTAAAAAAAATATGGTACAATTTTATATCTTGATATATTACAGATTCAATCAGATCAAGTTAATTAAAGCAAGCCTTTTAAATCTTTAAAAGAACAATATGTTGGGGATACACACGCATTTGCTTACACAAGAATATGTATGTATATTTGTGCCTTGACTATCAAGAGAAAAAAAAAGAGGAGAAAGGAAATAATGAAAAGGTGAATAGAGAAAGAAAAGGTACACACCCCAAAAAAAAATATAAGAATTTGTTAAATCTACCATGGATCTTTTGTTCTTTTTGGTCCAGATTAAATCCAATGCAATACAGTACAGTACAGGGCAGTACAGTGCAGTACAATGCAGTGCAGTACAGTAATTACACAGCACAACATAGTACAATATAATTCTTACAAGTTGGGTTTTTTGTGTGTGTGTTTGTTTAGACCAGCAAAATAATAATATAATATAGTATAAATTGATATCTAGACTGAAAATTTGCCGTTTTCTCAACATCTGTTTCAATTTCCATTTTCCTTTTTGTGGGTGTATACGTGCGTGCGTGTGTCAATTAACTTTGTGTGTCAAAGTCTATAGCCAATTATATATATATATATATTTTATGTATATAATAGACATTAAAGTACTATTATGTACTTATTTATATCTATAGTAATAATAATTAAATATAGATTAATGAAAAGCGTGGCGATTGGTTTAAATCACCAGAGTGTCAAGATATTTAGCCCTATTTTCTATCTCTCTTGTTTTCTCTCTATATTTCTCTGTCTCTGCTATTTTTATAGTACCCTCGGTTCATATGTATTAAAGGATCGTGGGGGAGATAGGAGATAGTGGAGTGATGTGAAGATATAGAAAGTCACCAAAAAAGAAAAGAAAAGAAAGAAGGGGGGGGGGGGGGATAAGGGCGTACATACATACATACATACATACATACATACATACATACCTACATACATCAGGTTCCTTTTTATATATATATATATATATTGGTGTGTGTATTTTTTGTGGGTGTATTTTAGCAAGTGGCGATATTTGTTATTTTGGAACCATGTTTCTCTGTACAACGACACCCGAAATAAGACACAAACACACACACACACAGAGAGAGATGAGTTGTGAAATCAAGTGCTACGCCGTGAGTAACCAAAGCAAAAGAAGAAGAAGAAGAAGAAAAAAATCAAGAGAAATAGTAGCACATTCTTTATTTCTCTGTCTAATTGCTTTGTTTTTTGTTTCGTTTTTGCGTGTTTGTTTGTTTGTTTGTTTGGTGATACTGGCTAGTGTACAATTCCAAGAAGCTTGTATAAAGCTAAACTAATATAAATATATAAATATATAAATCTATGTAAAGAATAGCACGACTAAATGGGTGGGTAGTAATCGTAAAAGTAACAGTAAAAAGACAAATCCTTGGTAATTGAGAGTACAGACAATCAAGAAAAAAAGAAAGAAAGAAAGAAATGAACACAGTATACAAATCTATCTCTCATGCTTTTTTTTTGTTTTTCTCTCTAGTCTATTTGACCAAATTGACCATTTTGTCTGTGGGTCTGTCTATTTGCTTCTATATATGTATCTTTCTTGTACATGAGCCCTCTCTTTTTTTTCTTTTTTTTTCTTAATAAAAATATATATATATTTATTGAAAGTTTTTATTGATTGAAAATAAAATGAATGCAAACAGACAAAATGAAAATAAAAAGAAAAAAGAAAAAAAAAAGAAAAAGAAAGGACAGGACAGCAATAAAACCAAAAAGAAGTTGAATTGCTTTTACCTGAAAAGAAAGGAATAAAAGGGGTGGAAGTGTGGTTCTGGGGCTATGTATATAAGATAAGTAAATATTATAGAATTTAAAAATTTAAGAATATTATGTATAGAAATAGGGAAAAAAGGGTAAAGGGTAAAGGGTAATTGATATGAAATGCTAATTATAATGGTAATGATAATGATAATTATAGTGATAATGATAAGTATAATAGTAAAGAAAAAAAAAGTGTAAAGATGAAGATGAAAATGATAGATAAAGAATGAAAGGAAATCTATGTGCATGACGAGAGAAACGTGCAACATGTCGCTCGAGGTGAAATGCGTATATATGGTTTATGTGATGGGAGAGAAAGGAAGAGATTTGCCAAAAAGGCAAACGATGAGCCAGGAGGAAGAGGAGGTAGGTAAATGGGAGGAATGTGTTTCTTTAGTTATTGAATTCGAGTGCAATAGATGACCAAAGCATCACACATCGAAACAAAGAAGAAGAAAAAAAAAAAAGAAAACACAATATATAAGAGAAAAATCATAATGAGTTTTTCTTTTTTTCTCTCTTCTTTTGGTTGTTGTTGGGAGTGAAGATGTATGAGGATTAAGAGGAGAAGTGCTTAGGAAAGAATAGGTAACCTTGGAAACAAGAGAGACCACAGCTTAAATGATGTATGAGTGAGTGAGTGAGGGGAAAAAAAGAGAGAGAGGGGGGGGGCATATATAGTAAAGAGAAGGGAAAAAAAACAATATAAAGAAAAAGAAAAAAAAAGGGTATAAATGTAAAAGATATGTACGACATTAGGCAGCAGCGGCCATACTCTGAGAGACCAAGACGATTGGAGTGGGCCGAGGATTGTTGGCATATTGGCTGTACCATACGGGTTGCTCAGAAAATCGGCAGACTTTTGATGCCGGTTGTTGTGCTGCTGATAATGTTGCTGTTAATGGTGCTGTCTTGCGCTTGCTAAAGAATTTCAGAGCTCGTGAAATCCAAGTTGGGCTTTCGGGCTCGCACGGATCACTGGTGCTGCTGTTGCTGTCACTGGTGTTGTTACTGCTCGTGTCTAGAGAAGGGGCCATTTGGACGGTAGTACCTGCAGGTGCTGATTTCCGCTTAGAAGTACGATTCTTTTTTGTGAATGCAATTCTGGCCTTATTGAATGACCCTGGTGCACTCGACTGTCTACGCGGAGCTTGTGGGACTTGTACAGGACGTCTGTGGTCTGTAGCGCTCGAGCGCCTGGAAGGTGCGGGTGTGGAACCATCGGCAGGTTTGTATTGATATTGAAACTGGTTTTGTTGGGAGGGTGGGATAGAGATGTCGAGAAGAGATGAATTTGGCGAATTGGTTGTGGAGGGACGATGGCTCTGTTCTGCAGTTGGCAGAAATAGTGAATCGTTGTGGTATGGGAAGGGGAGTAACCGAGGAGATTGCATGACAGCATCCATACTAGATGGTCTGCGCTCACGACGGCGGACGGGAATATGTGATGTTGAGAATTTCTCTGATTTTGATAAAGAAGATGAAGAAAAGGATGTGGATGATGTTGAGGTTGATGAGGTTGATGTAGAGACGGTAGCCATGCCATTGTAGTAACGTATCAGAACATTTGCTGGCTGCTCTGTTTCGTCTGTGACAAGCATGAGATTTTCTTTTGTAAGGGGCAGAGGCCGTGATGATGGTGCTGAATGTGTTGCTGAAGATGTGAATGAAAATGATGTTGAGGGTGTTGACTTTAGAGTTTTAAGGCTGCGTCTGTGAAGATTGGGTAATGATGTTTTGTGGGCAGAAGAAACTGCAGTGGTCGAGTGAGAAACGCGATCCATTGGAGACTAGAAGAGGGACGGGATAGAAGGGGTGGAGCAAAGGAGGTGTAGGATTGAAGAGTGATGTGGGTGAAAGAAGTAGAGATGAAAGTGGGGATAGTGATAGAGAGACTTTATATTATATTTTTTTTTATAAAAAAAAAGGGCGTGCCTATTTAGACAGATAATAATTATAAAAATTAGAGTGAGCCGAATTTATATAATAAAATAAAAAATCATAATCATAATCATAATCAAAATTTAAAATTTAAAATTTCATAATTATAAAATCTCTTTCTATTAAATAAAATATAATATAAAATAATATATATACATATAAATAAAAATAAAAAAAAAAAGGGGGGGGGGGGGGGGAGTCAGAGGTGGGAGATTATAGATATTATAGAGAGGGCAAAAGGAAATACCGGAAAATATTATACTTTTTTCTTGTTCCTGTTGAGGCACACTATATAATGGACTATTTGAAATCAGTAGTAGCACAATTTCCAAGTTCCCTCCAAATAGTCGCTTGATATTGTGAACGTCCGTCTGGTGGTGTAACTAGATTGTGAGACCAGAGATTATATATTATGTATATAAAAAGAACCAAAATATAGATAGATAGAAGACAAAAGTGTGTTTGTCGGCTCAGACAGTCAGAATCGATCTAATCAACCTTGGGATAGGTGATCGATGGTCTTTGTCATTGGTTGCTGATCAATCATCCTATAAGTTCACGCAAAAAATTGACTGAACAAGCAATAAGAGTAATTTTACTATTATATTATATTATATTAAAATGTAATATATGATTTGATTTTATTATTAAAGATCACCTTATAATTATCCCCTCTCTCTCTCTCTCTCTTCTTTCTTTCTTTTTTCTATGTGTTCATCTGTCTGTGTCTTGTTAATTATTCGTCCTTCTCTCTCTCTCTGATCGGTAGCTTGACACGCTGGCAACAGAACAAGGAGATTGCACAAGGGGTATTTCCAAAAATTTTCACAAGTTTACAAATATATATATATATATAATATATTTAGCTTGACTATTATTTTCCTCACAACTGAAAGTCTCCTGTACATCTTTATTTTTTTATCTTATTCCTTTTACTTCGGCAAAAGTGGCTTGTTAAGTAAAGTAGGAGTATAATAGGCTATCTATCAATATTAATTGAACCAACTGTATATAAAGCCAAAATGCCCAGAAATGTTTCAAAATCCACTACAATTCAATTCAATTCAATAAGAAAGAAAGACTAAATCTACAGCTAACATGGCTACATTTGCACTCATCTACACATGCTTTTCGGATTATTCTATAGATATTTATATACATATGCATACATACATACACCAAAAAAAAAACCTAAAATAAAAAGGTGTGACTTTTTATGACACACCACTATTAAAGTGCGGCAACACTACCGAGACTCGACCGAGGCATTAGGTCCGTGCGTCGGAAAAAAAAGAAATATTGTGATATTTAAGTAGTGTATCTAGTACGTCTGTTTCAGCAAAAACGCACAAACCGACACAGAAAGAGTCCAAAAGAGAGAAAAGGTCTCGACCATTTGGTATCAATTCTTTTGCCACCAGATAAAGAAAATCAATAATTTTTTTTTAAAAAAAAAAGTATTCTGATTAGAAAATATAGATGTTTTAGACCACTTCATTGGTTCCATTGTATCATAGAAATAAAATGCAGTATGCAGTATGCAGTATAACATAAAGGGTCCTCTTCCCTCACCCTTTCCGACCCCTGTAAAGTATTCATTAATGATGGAGATCATGGTCTCTTGTTTCTGTTTTCATCTATTTCTCCTATTATACTATATTAATATGAATATGAATATATGTATATATGTAAGTAGTAAAGTAGTTAGCCAAGTAAACAGGTAAAAAAAGAAAGAAAGAAATGAAAGAAAGGTAGACAACTAGAGCAAAATTTAATGCCTCGATCATTTTACTGCTAATTGGTGATTATTGAAGTTTGTTTTTTTTTGTCTCTTTTCTTGACAAGGCCCAACTGATTCGAGTGCCTTTAATGACTAACTAAGTTTGTCACATCAGTTGGTTGGCTGGTTGGCTGGTTGGCTGGTTGGCTGGCTGGTTGGTTGAACAATGCCAATACGCCCGGATATATTGACACCAGAGTTGACAAGACATGGCCCCCAACACTGCGTTCCACATTGTGTCTTTGTGTACCTAATATCAGTGCAACTCAACAACTCGGTCGTAGCCCTCGACACTAGACCAGCCCGGGATTAAATGCCACCCACGTCAAAAACAAATTTTTATTTTTATTATTATTATAATCATAAAAAAATCATTTTCAATTATAAATTTTCCCTTTTACTCACCCCCCCAAAATAAGAAGAAAAGAACCAGGACCAGGGTTAGAATTATTAGTGCTAGTGCTAATGGTAGTGTTAGTGTTAGCTTTAGTGCTGGCATCAGTATCAGCATCAGATCCCACGTCAAATACACAGCCAGTCTTGAAATGATCGTGAAAATAGTGTGCTTTGTGTGAGTACTTTTTATATATATATATATAACACTCTAAAAAAGGATATTGTTCTTATTACCTAATACAACCACATCATCAAGGTTTTTGGCCAGTTATTGTACAAGGACAAACAGCACTAGAGTTTGTTCTGTTGTGCTTTTGTGCGATATTCTTTGTGTATTTATGTATTGGTGGAGCAACACTTTCTGTTCAAACGATTAAGATTATACTTCTTTTCATTCTTACAATTATTTCTGATCAAGTCAACAAGGTTCTTTTTTTTTTATCTCCTGTTTCCTTTTTCTATGCTATCCCCTCTCTCTCTCTCTCTTTATTTATCCAGTTCACCCCCTTTATACCATTTCCCTTGACTCTTTCTTGGCCCCTTTGATCTTCTTCTCCTGCTTCCTGCTTTAACTGAAGATGGAGTGTGATGGCAATAAAGACAAAAAAGAAAAAAAAAGAAAGTGTGGGGAGATGTGCATTTCTATTGATCGATCCGAATAACTACTGCATTACTGCACAACTTCTTTGTTTTTTCTTTTTAGTTTTTTTTTTGGAAATCTAATCTAGATCTTGGTAGATCAAGCACCTGCCTAGTTACCTTTCTATCCTTCTCCTCTAATATCCTATTTTCTCCCTTCTTCTTCTTCTTTACATAAATAAATAGATAAAAAAGGCTTTTTTTTTGGTTTTTTGTTTGTTTGTTTGTTTGTATATTTTGTGTATGCGTGCGTGGGGGGGTTAGATGAGCCTCTACTGGATCTGGAAAGGTCACCTATATATAGTATGCACCTTCAACGCATGTCGACCACACTCTTGCCTTTTTGTGCCCCAGAGATCCCGGAACCATTTCGGCATTTCTACTGATGAAGTATGTGATACAATTTTATTTTTTATTTCTATAGTATACTATATTGCATTGTCCTGGCTTGTCCTGGCTTGTCCTGGCTTGGTTTGGTTTGAGTTGAATTGAGTTGAATTGAGTTGAATACCTTTTTTTTTTAATACCAAAATAAAATCATATTAAGCATAGGCTTTTCTCAAGTGATTTAGAATACAATTGGGCGTTAAAATCACATATGTAATTAGGTACATATTTGTAAGAAACAGAAGAATTATTTCTGTTTTGGAAACAATACAAAAGCAACACACCATCTAAAGCAAAACGTCAATTACTTGACGTGCCTTTTACATATCTATCTATCTATCTATTTGTCTATTGCCCCCAATTTTTACCCTTCTCTCTTTCTCTTGACTTGTTTTTATTTTATTTTATTTTGGTTTGGTTTGTTTGTTACAATAAAATCAAAATTCATCTCAGTTGTACTCCCTCTCTCTCTCTCTCTTTCTTTCACACACACATATATATCTATTCGGAATCTGTTATTTGATTATGATTTATGATGCTTTATGGTGGTAATGCAATTATTATTATTTTTGCGAAATGTTACTGCTTCTGTATTTGATACTGTATTTGATGATGATGCTGTTGCTGTATGTGCGTTAATTAGCATATATCTATGTATATATACACTTCCTCTCCTCTCCTCTCCTTTCCTTTCTTTCTTGCTTTATTTTATTTTATACTTTTTTTATATGTATATTTATAATTGTAATTGTAATTGTAATTGTAATTATTCTTCCATGGCGTCAATTGTAGACTTTGTTGTGGTGGCGTTATTTGCATCTGCATCTGCATCTGCAGTTGTCTTTGCATTTACACTTGAAGTTACACCTTCCATAGTTGCATCGGCAATAATTGGGTTTGTCGGGGCACTGATTCGGATAGAATGCATTCTTGCCATACTGTTATTATCGCCGTCCCAATCTCTCAAAAGCTTGAGTGTCTTTCCATTTGTCATATCAGGAACCTCTAAATAATAATAATAACAATAATTAGATATGCAAACAAATAAGATTCTTCATTAGTCCGACCAGCCAATCTTCATATATTTATATTTATATTTATATCTCTTTATCTTTATCAGCTGAAAAAAGTAAATAATAATATCATCATAGTAACTTACCAAATCCTGACTTATATTCTGCACGTTCACTCTCAATTAGAGCTAATAACAACAATTCACGCTTTGTCTTTGGTCTACGTCCACCAATCTGTCTATCCTTGACCAACTTGGCCAATTCATCATTGTTACGTTCCAGGTACCTTAATATTCCATAATTAATTAAAAATTAATATATAAATTTTTATATATTTATATATTTCTGTAACTTACATCTCAACAAGATCGTGCATTTCTTTCATCGTTGCAAGCGGTAACGATTCATCCAATGCATAACGAAACCACATCCATCTTTCAGCTAAAATAATAATGCCAATAATGTTAATTACAAGTCACTGTTGGTAATCGTTAACATTAACAGTAAATGTGTTTTATACCTTTGGGATTACTGTTTGATCTTTCTGTAGATCTCTGATCTAAACGTTCTTTTCTCAGAAAAACTCGGGTAAGTTGACGTGCTTTGCGAGAACTAGGATGGCATTCCTCTCTGTTCTTGATGGTTTTTAACGTATGTCTTTTGTTGTTTGGCTAAATAAATAAATAAATAATTAACAATTTGAAATTAGAATATTATTATATTATACATAATTTTTATTATTATTATTATAGTTGTGAATTCAATGTAAAATCTCGAAATGTTATAGATCTCAAGGATCATTTTTTGCTGTTCTTCTTCTTCTTTTATTTACCATTGTGTATTGTAATGTGTGGGTCTAAAGTATATCACAGTGTATTATAGTATAATGTAATATATAATGGTATCTTATACTATATTGAATTGTATTATAAATAGAGAAAATAGAGACAAGGAAAAGCTCGTTTTGGAAATTATTCTATAAGAAACTAAAATGTCATTTTTCTTTCATATACATATATATATTTCATTTTTATTATTTTTGGTGGCTTTTTGTCAAACATATAAGATTTTTGACAGAAAAAAGCGATTCTTTTTTTTTTTTTTAAAAAAATTAAAAATTAAAAAAAAAATTAGAGAAATCTACATCAAATTAACTCACCATGAGGGGAAAAAAGGAGAGAGGGGGGTACTCAAGCATTTAAATATCTTTGTTGATTATCATTGGCTAATCATTAAATCTCAGAAGAATAAAATAAAAACTTGAAACCAACTCTAGATAAATTATTTTGAATATTTAACATTTACTACATGACTGTAAATATATACCGACTGTTAATAGAGATTTATCCAAAACTGGTCTTGCTGCCTTTGAGGATAAGGGTAAACCTGACAAAATCGACCCAAATCTCGTCCGCCGTATTGTCGGTGCGTTCAAGAAGAATGAATTTATAATAACTGGAGATAACAAGACAATTGTCTAGTGAGGGATCCCTTGCCTTGTACAGTCTCTAGCAATATGTACATTGTTGAAAGCATCATGCTTCATTTACAAACAGGAGTAACCTTCTCTAAAGAAAAAAAAAAGTAAGGATGGTTCCCCAACTGTCCATGCTGGAGGACACATCATGGTGCGGGGATTTTTTCTTCTTCTTCCAAAGGACATAAGAAGATTGGGAAGATCGATGAGAACACGGACAGTACAAAATATATGACCGTTCTTCAGCAGGGTCTTCTGGAAGCGTTAGAAAAGCAAAATATGAACAAGTATGAAATCAAATTTTTGCATAATAACGCAAAATCCCACGCGGCAGCCAGCACCAAGCAGGGACCAAAGAAAAGCTAGGAATCTTTCACCTTCAAAAAAAAAGATGCTGATATCAATATGATGACTACTTGGAACCATGCAACAGCAAAAGTATTAGGCTCTATTGAAAAAAAAAACATGACGTAGAACTTGATTAAAGCCAGGAACAACTACCAGAGTCACTAGAGACCGAGCAGAACAGAAAAGTAGTATCTTTATTGGGAGATATTACAGGATTTGAAGCACTGGCTCTGCAATATTTTCAGCCAATAGAGTTATAGTATTTGAAGGAGAATCAGCAGAGACAACCAAAAGTTTAGTGTTTGGGTGTTTTTGTGTGTGTGTGTGTGTATATACAAAATAAGAAAGAGTCTGTCCGTGTGCACTGACCCAATATATATATATATATTTAATTATAAAATAAGAGTCTTTATTAGATACGTGATGTTTAAATAAGTATGTAGATGACAATGATAATCAAGAGCTAATAAAAACGTGCATTGTCTTTGTGTACAGCATATGAGATTAAATTAACGTGGGTTATTTTACTCTATTTTACTTTGTTGTTTTTGGATATAAAGTCAACCTATAGTCTAAACAGGTGATGTCTATAGATTAGCTATAAAACAAAACCCCCCAAAAAAAAGTTCATTATAAAAATGATTATCAGTTTTAATAGTAAATTACAAACAAGGTGATAATTTTCATTTTGTAATATAAATTTTACAATTAGAAATTTCACACGACTGAAGGAAAAAATATATGTATGTATGTATATATTCAATGTTCTTTTTCTGGACACCTAGAGAAAATGACAAATGACATGAGACATTAAAGCAGCCCAAGAAAAAACAGTAATTGAAAATAAAGACCAAGTGCAATCACAAGACCAACTACAAGTACAAACATTCATTTAGCCTTCAAATTCACGCTATTATTATTATTATTATATACATTTGTACATAGAATCTGTCAATTTATTTCGTTTCTATTCAAGAACACCATAAAAACCAATATATAGAATCGTATATACAGAGAGACAGAGCGAAATTATCTTTAGGCTGACTTATTTAACAAGTTAGTAAAGTTAATTCAGCAAAATAATATACCGCATTACAAGCTACACTACACTACACTACACTACACTACACTATAATAATATTACTAGAGACTTGCTCAGGTCCCTTATATTATTACAAGCTATTTTATTTATATAAATATTATTATTTTTTTTGAGTGGCAGACCAAACAAACAAAAAATTAAAAAAAAAATTATTATTTTTTATTATTTTATTTCAACCAAATTTCTTACAAATGACAGCTTGGCTTGAAGAAAGTATTGATGAACCCGGATTGAGACAGGCTCTGCAGGATGTCCTGACAAAATATCCATCAACAATCAACACAATCAAAGGTCTCATCGACCACTACACCGCAAAACTTGCCCTTGTCGAACAAGCCGAACCAGACTCCAAGAAACGCAAGACAAACCATCACAACACTTTAGAAATCACAGCACCACCAACACACACAATCATCGCATCAATAATCGATGTCTCCTTTAATATCCCAGCTCGTAAAAAATTCAACATCGTAATCACTAATTTCAATCTACAATTGGTCAATTCAAAAACACAAATCCCAGAATACGAATATCTTTTGGACGATGTCGAAATTGCCTCATGTACACCAACGCCCGACAAAGCACAGAAAAACTACACAATCGCTCTCTTTTTCAAAAACAAGGCACACCAAAAAGAAGAAGGAGAGAATACACCGGCAGCGATAACAGCAACAGAATCTGTCGTTTTTAATATACAGGACAAGGCAGATCTTGTGGTCACACGTCCAGGCCACCAAACCGACCAAATTCTTGGTCAAGACAAACACCTCGCATTGATCGAAATTCTGCAAAAGGACGCTCGCCTTTCTGTCACCCAACCATCTGGCCAGCTGTTTACTTCAACTGTCACATCCCCAACTACAGGCAAGCGCGAACACGACAGACTCTATGTAAATGTGTTCCTGAGAAGCAAACAAGGCAGCCTGTTCTTTTTACCCGAAGGTGTTCTTTACGGATTTAAGAAGCCCACATTTATCATACCCGTCAAGAGCATTTCATCTATTGTAGTCAGTACAATCACTCAGCACACATTTGATCTATCTTTAATACTCAAAAAAGGCGCCAATGTGTTGGGCGCACCTCTGTCATCTATTTCCACTACATCAACATCATCATCATCATCATCATCAAACTCAAACTCAAATTCAAATCCAAGTTCAGGCGTAAAGAATAAGGATGAAAAAGAACAAACTACAACAATCGAGTTTTCAATGATCGAACGATCGGAATATGATGGTATTGATGAATATATCAAGAGATCTAAAATCCACGACAAAAGCATGAGCGAGGAAACAAAGGCTCCCGAGCCAAAACAAAAGGCAGTAGGATCCAAAGAGAACTCAGCAACAATAGCAGAAAAAGATATTCAGAATAACAACAAAACAATATCAAGCAACAACTATGATGACGACGATGATGATGAAGAAGATGAAGATTATGATCCAAGTAACTATGAAAAAGATCTAAATTATGGTTCGGATTCAAGATCAGAGGGAGACTCTGATGATTTTAGTGAAGACGATGACATTGAAGATGAAATTGAAGACCAAGATCAAGCTCAAGATCAAGATCAAGACGGAAATAATTCTGGAGATCAGCTTGAAGACAGTGACTAAATCATCTCATCAGAAAATAATAACAACAATAATAGAGAAAATGAATTGAAAAAATGAATCGATACATAATACACATTTACACATGCACATATACACTTATGATAATAAACGCTCCAACTCCCGCAAAAAAAAAATCAAAATAAAAGCATTGGTTTTCAATTTTATTAACCCAATCCAACTTTAAGACAGATCTTCATCACAAAACACCCACAGGTCTAATGAGAAAGACAACTTCTATAGATATAGATGAACCGTGTACATGTATTCAGCAGATTTCGGGGGCGATCTAGATTTACTTTGTAGTTGGCATGAGTCTATCGACTGTCAAGTACATCATTAAGAAAGTGGATTAAACAGGATCTCCAGAGCAAGAAGAGGATCAGGCGGCCTAAAAAGATCGATAAGAAGACATAAAGTCATCTTATCCAAGTGGTTTGGGAGGATCTATCTGCCTCATATTCTATGCCAAGAACCTTTTAAAAAATACAGGAGTGTTTGTCCGTAAAAGAACAATGATTAGCTGTCTCGAACGCTTGAGATTTGGAGCATAGATTGCAGTCTATAAGCCAGTTTTAACAGAAAGCCATAAGAAAAGAGGATCGAATTAGAGTCGTGAGCATGTAAATTGGGTTGATAACCAGTGAAAAGGTAATTATGGAGAAACCAGAGCTATTAGAAGAGTTGTGAAAAGGCTCAAAAGATATCATTGCGGGGACCAAGTGGAGGTGGGAGGGCGAGGGAGACTGAACAAGGAATAGGAAAGTAAATAAATACATAAAAGATTATGAAGGAGCTTAACATTGAGCTTGCCCCTATAAAAATACAAAACATACGCAATTAGATCCACACGACAAAACAATAACCAAGTCAAATAAAACTTTTATTTGTATATAGAGTATCTGTTAAACCTTCAATGTCGGATATTCAAACTAGCAATCTGTTAGACCGGACCCTACTTTAGGTTGATATAGGCCAAGGGTATAAAACACCCATTTCATTAGAAAAACTTGAGCTACTTACTTACTTTTCTTTATTAATTAATTATTTACATGAACACCATTGAATAAAATATTGTGCCTATGTAAGAGATATCATTTTTTTGCTGCATAACATTGTTGAGGGCGTTCAAGTATTTATTCTCATAGCAATTGACCACCTAAAACTCAATCAAGTGTTTTAATTTACACTCAACATATGCTAGATAAGAGAGATTTTAATTATAATGTCCATCTAGTACAGCTTTCTTTTGTTCATTAATCCTATACAAGCTTATTAAAAGAAAATCAACAAAACAGGAGGTTTAACGATGTGACCTTCTTCTGGACTCAGCGTCGGACCTCAAATATATACATTTGTTTTTTATGGCTTCAATCTGATTAAGGAATCATTTACTCTTTCTCTTCTCATGCTTCAACATCCACAACAACCTCGAACAGCAACGCGCGGACGTGGGCGGGGGCGTGGTAGCTCTTCGCCAAACAACAGAAACTCACCACGCAACAATCCTAATGGACAAAACTCTCAGACCCAGCGAAATCCACAGCATGATGTCACCAATTCGCGTGGCTATAAAGTCTGGGAACGTAATGCACCAAAAGATGAACTACCAATTTTCGAGGCAAACAACAATTTCGGTGCTCCCCCGCCGGCATTAAGCGGAAACACCGTAACAGCTGCAGATCGTGCCAAACGTTTTGGCACGACATCTAAAGGCGCTCTTTACGACGAGGTTAGCTTCTGGGTGTCTCCTTTTCCTTTATGACGCTGAAGTCAAGCCGATCTCCTCCTTGGAGCATTTGACAACGGTCACGCAAGTGTAAGAAGACGGTAAAGTATTGTGTAGTAATACTGAGTTGTTTGTCCATTTTTATTATATCGATGCGTATCCTCCATCGTATCGTCAGCTCAAGCACAACCGAATACTAGAACGAAAACAAGCTATTGAAAATAATCTTATTGCCGACCCAAATATCCCCAGAAGATTAGAAGATGCAATTGAATTTCGAGGAACTTGCCAGACTATGTGTCCTGAATTCGAATTAGTAGAAAGAGAATACCAAAATGGTCTGGATTCTATTGAAATGGTAAACAGCTCAACTCTGTGGATAAAAAATATACTCGTTGTTAATATCATTTCCATAACCTTAGGATGAAGATGGTCATGCTGATCCATACAAAACTGTAAAAGCCTACCGGCGATCAGCCGCTGGTAACGACCAACCACTACCATCAGATGTGAGACCACCTCCTGTTTTAAAGGTACATATACTATAACCCAGATACTTGAAAAAAGAAGAGTAGATTTCTTACTGTTATATGTTTACATATATATATATATAGGAAACTCTTGACTATTTAGTAGACAATGTTCTTTCCGAGTATCCACTTGTTAAATGCCATGCATTCCTTCGTGACCGTACACGGTCTATCCGCCAAGACTTCACTCTACAAAATATTCGAGATATTACAGCAGTCCAAGTGCATGAACGTATCGCACGATTTCACATTCTTTGTCTTCATGAAATGTGTGAGCTGGAAGAAGAAAAATTCAGTGAACAACAAGAAACAGAACAATTACGCAAAGGTAGCTTATAGAATAAGCATTAATTCGCACTAGCTCTGATAGTACATGCTTTGTAGTGCTATTGAGTTTGACAGAGTTTTATGATGATCTCCGTGATGAGGGTATCGAAACCCCTAATGAAGCCGAGTTTAGGGCATATTATATTATTACACATTTGCGTGATAATGATATTACACGCCAAGCCATGGCGCTCCCACCCCATATTTTCCTTGACTTTCATGTAAAGCGTGCTCTTCAATTCTACGGATTAGCACAGCGCAACAATGAAATAGGAGAATCATCATCCCGTCGTAACAAGCCTGCAAATATTGAAGCATGCCAAAACTACTACTCGAAGTTTTTCAAATTGATTGCAGCCCCAGACACACCATTCTTGATGTCATGTCTTCTCGAGTGGCACTTTCCTGAGGTGCGCAAAGGAGCTCTCAAAGCAATGAACAAAGCCTATTTGATAGCAAATCCAGGAGTCGAAGCTGAATATGTTCGCCAAGTGCTTGCTTATGATACAGTAAAGCAGCTCATAGAAGAAGTCGAGTTATATGGCTTACAGATTGACATGTCTCTGGGCCAGCCTACTATCAGGTTCGGGCAAAAGTATCACGCAGATACCAAATCATTCTTCTTTGCGGGTAAGGAATACATTGAGTGTGATACACTGTTAATATGTGTGCTCAAACATATCTCTGGGTCTTAGAGCCATTATCTACACCTCGTCCTCGACGTTCTATGATGCTAGTCGAACCAAAAAAGTCCGGGATTAGTTTCCGTGATATTGTTAATGGAACAACCTCATCTATGGAAAACAATCCTATGATGCAAGCCCAACTACAAAACAGCCAGTTAGAGCGGGCACACTCCATGGCAGCAATTAATCAGGCCAAGAGAGCGGCCATGGAAGCTCAAATTAAGCATGCCCAGTTGAAACTTCACCAAGAAAAGCAAGCTTATACGAAAGCAATAGCCCAGGCTGAGATTCAAGCAAAGTTACAAGCAGAATTAAAGGCAAAGGAAATCGCGGCACAGAAAAAAGCAGCTGAAATACAACGCACTATTGAAGAGCACAGACGACAGGAAGAGATTAAAGCAACATTAAAAGAAGAAGCACGAATTGCTGAAGAATCTCGAAGGAGAGAAGAAGAAGAAATGACTATGAGAGCAGCACTGGCCGCTGAAGAAGAACGTCGTCGTGCGGAGAAGGCTGCTGCTGAGGCTGCTGAGCAAGAAAGGCTACGACAAGAAGAGCAAGAGAGAGCAATTGCTCGTATGCATCGTCAAGCACTGATATCCCAACTATCTAACCGATGGATGAATCAACTAATGTCAACTGTTATCCGACAAGCATCATTTGAACTAACATCTAAAGCTATCCAACGAGTAAAAAACTTGCAGAAAAAATTGAAGCCGTGGATACAGCGCGCACGCAGTCGAGTCGAAAAGAGAGATGAGGTGGCAATAGCTCGCAACAAAAGGTGGCATTTCAATATGTATAAAGCAGGTGTTAAGCCATGGGAAGCAGGAAATGCAAATGTAAAAGGCCGAGCTTCAAATATACTATTAGAGGCGAGTGTTATTAGTCGAAAAGCGCAAGAAACTATAAAAGCAGAAGAAACTGCATTAGCCAAGGCCTCCTGGGTAAGGAAAAAAAAAGAATGTACCCCGCAATGCTCTTGTCTCAGTGGTATAACAAAAATAATATATTAGCCCTATAATGGTCCAAACGAAGCAATCTGGGAAACAGAAAACTTTGCAGAACGTATATACCCCATCATCAAAGCACCGATGTGTGAATTTGAACCAAGGAGAGAGGATAACTCTGCAAAATCCGAATGGCAGTTGTGGATTCATTTGGCAAATCGTCAAGAACAATCAGCCCAATGGATTCAAAAGAAGTTTGGGCTTGATGAAGAATTCTCCCGTCGAACTGAACGATACAAAGAATTTAACATTACTACAAGATCCATTACACCAAATGATAATATCTACAGAAAGGTAGACACACAAACAAAGAATTTTGGACAAGGGATAAGCGATTAAGTGTATGCAATATAGGCTGTGAATGAATTGGGAGCTGTTATATTCTCTCTATCCGAAATGAAAAGATTAGGCATTGATGATTGCGAAAAGTAAGTTATACAAAAAACTCATTATAGTACCTACAACTAACCTTATGTAACAGTAACGCTTATTGGACTCAAGAAAGAAACCGACTACATGAGTTTTTAGACTTATTATGCCGATACAACCCTGGAATACAAGTTCCTATTGTGTTTGCTTATTGGCCAACTACAAAAACGCTCGAGGATTCGTTAAATAATGTAAGTTTTTTTTTTGCAGTTCCAATGCAAGCAAATCAAAAGAAATAGATATATGTTAAGGATACGAGCAAGCATATTAACTATATTATACTTTGTTTGTATAGATTCCAAGAAAACTCGGTGTTTTGAACACATCTGTTATATCTGACTTCAAAATAATGATTATGAGTCCAATGACAATTGTTGATAGACTTGAAGAAGAGGTTGACTGGCTGGCCAAAAATATGGTTATTAACCAGCCAATATTATCTACTCTTTAATAAACCCATGATGTGTAATTTCTCCTTTCCTTTCCCTTTTTCTCTTTAAAAAAATTGATGTATATTAATGTATTGCTTAATTTCTACAGCCAGCGTATCAAAACATTTCTATTTAAATCATAGGCTAGTACATCAAATACAATTTGTAATATAAAGTTGTGTACAAGCTAAAGCGGGATCAAGGGGAAATGGAATTGAGAAAAAAAAAGAAATTTTAGGTGTTCTTGACCACTCGGACAACCAAGTCACCAGAAGATAATGAGTCGCCTTCTTGAACAGGAACCAGCTCAACGCGACCACCGACTGGAGAGGATACAATTGTTTCCATCTTCATTGCACTCAAAACACATACAGGGTCACCAGCTTTGATTATGGAGCCTTGTTTGCAATGGAGCTCAACCACTACACCTGACATTGGAGCAGCCACATCACCAGGGTTGGAAGAATCTGCCTTTTCACGTGTAATAGTCTCAATAGCTACACGATCAACGTTAAATTAGCTTACATAAAAAAAAGCTTATTCCTGTGTTAAGTTCTTACCGGAATTTTTGTCAGTAATACCCACAACACGCGCCTCTCCGTTAAGCTCAAAGTAGACATCGCGTTTTCCGTTGGAATCAATGGAACCAACAGCAAGTAGCTTAATGATTAGGGTCTTGCCTTCATCGATGTTGACATGGAACTCCTCACCAACTACTGGCTTTGCAAGGAAGTACCGTGTGGGGACAACTGATAAATCGCCGTACAAGTCGACCATATTACGGTACTCGGCAAACACCTTGGGGTATAGTGCAGCAGAAATGACGTCGTAGTCGCGAATTCCCTTTCCATATTTTTCGACCAATTCAGCCTTAAGCTTTTCGAGATCCAACGGAGGCATTGATGCACCAGGTCTGTTGTTGATACGCTTAAGATCACGAATGATATGCGATCTAAGAGGTTCAGGGAATCCACCATAAGGCTGACCGAGGTATCCTTGGAAGAATTCGACTACTGACGTAGGGAAAGACAAAGTAGATGCTTTGTCGACTACATCCTTACCGGAAAGGCTGTTAGAAACCATAAATTGAGCAAGATCGCCAACAACCTTGCTGGATGGGGTGACCTTGACGAGATCACCGCAGATATCGTTGGCTTCTTTGTATGCCTGCTTGATCTGGCGCCACTGAGCACCGAGTCCAAGCTGTTGCGACTGGAACATGAGGTTTGTGTATTGTCCTCCGGGCATTTCGTGATCATATACACCTGAATCGGCGGCTTTAACATTGGCCTCAAAACAAGAGTATAGCATACGGCATTGTTCCCAGTAAGAGTTCAAAGCTTGGATATTTTCCATGCTGATACCTGTGCCGAGATGAGTCTGTTCCAGAGCTGCAACAATAGCACCCATGGCAGGCTGTGAGGTCATACCAGACATGGAGTCAATAGCAACATCAACGACATCAGCACCTGCAGAAGCAGCAGCCATCATAGAAGCGACACCGGTACCGGCAGTGTCGTGAGTGTGAACATGAATCGGGAGATCAGGGAAACGCTTGCGAATAGCACCAACAAGCTGCTTAGCAGCCTTGGGTTTCAATAAACCAGCCATGTCTTTGATACCAAGAATGTGGATACCTTGGTCGACGAGCTGCTGGGTAAGCTTGAGATAGTAGTCGATATTATATTTGGTACGTGCAGGGTTGGATACATCTCCGGTGTAGCAGATACTGGCTTCAATTACACCACCGGCCTTCTTTACGGCATCAATACCAAGCTTCATGTTTTCAATATAGTTAAGAGAATCAAAGATACGGAAGATGTCCATGCCAGCTTTGACTGCTTTGTCACAGAAGTCATAAACAACATTATCGGGATATGATGTATAGCCAACAGCATTGGCACCACGCAACAGCATTTGGAAGGGGATATTGGGGACTGCAGCACGGAGTTGGATCAAACGGTCCCAGGGATCTTCGAATAGGAATCGCATAGCAACATCAAACGTGGCACCACCCCAGCACTCGAGTGCGAATGCATTGTTAAGGGCGTGGGAGGTTACGGGTGCAACCTTAAGAAGATCTACATCGGATGTTGTGTTAATTTTTTGTCTCTAAATAACTCAAGATACTTACCCATAGTACGAACACGGGTGGCTAACAGACTCTGATGAGCATCTCTCCATGTAGTGTCCATAATCAAGACTCCAGGATAAGCTCTTACAGCCTTGGCAAAGGCTTCGGGGCCTTGCTCGACTATAATCTTACGCCAGCCATCTTGGCAAGGAACAGTTGTATCGGCGGTAGTTTTGAGAACGGGAACTTCAATCTCCTCCTTCAATGAGGGTTCTCCTACTTGGCCCTTGATCTGGGAACCGTTGACGACAACATCACCAAGGTAACCCAATAATCTCTGTGCTCTGTTCTGAGACCTAACCAAACGGAAAAGGTCGGGTGTATCGTCGATGAATGTTGTCCAGCAGTTACCGGTCATGAAGGTTGAGTGAGTTAACAACCGTTGAAGGAAAGGAATATTGGTCTTGACGCCACGAATACGGAATTCGACAAGAGCACGAACAATCTTACGGCGGGCAACTTCGTAAGTAGAGCCGCTGCATGTGACTTTAACCAAGAGTGAATCATAGTGTGGGGTAATAATTGCACCGGCATAACCAGCGCCACCATCCAAACGAATACCATTACCACCGGTAGAGCGGTAAACCTCAATCTTTCCAGTATCTGGTTGGAAGCTCTTTTCTGGATCCTCTGTTGTAACACGGCACTGAATTGCGAACCCACGCTGGCGAATACGCTGCTGAGTTAGGCCAAGTTGAGGCAAAAGGGCACCGGCAGCAATTTGAATTTGGGCAGCAATGATATCAATACCAGTGATTTCTTCAGTAATAGTGTGCTCGACTTGGATGCGAGGGTTGATTTCGATAAAGTAGTGACGGTTTTGGGAATCGACCAAAAATTCTGCTGTACCTGCATTCTTATATTCAACAGCCTTGGCAATCTTGATAGCATCAAGCAAGATGGCTTCGCGCACACTAGCATCGAGGTTCTTAGCGGGTGCAATTTCGACCACCTTTTGGTGTCTACGTTGGACTGAACAATCACGCTCAAACAAATGAACAACATTGCCGGCACGATCTGCTAGTAGCTGAACTTCGATATGGCGGGGCTTGTCTACGAACCGCTCGATAAAAACTGTACCGTCACCAAAGGCAGCAAGAGCCTCAGACTTTGCACGCATAAATGCCTCTTCAAGCTCGCTCTGTTCACGAACAACGCGCATACCACGGCCACCGCCACCCATAGCAGCCTTAATAATTACTGGGAAGCCGTGCTGTTGAATAAAGGCTTTTGCGTCTGTGAACTTTTCGACTGGGCCTGGTGTACCTGGGACTACAGGGACCTTACAATCCATGGCTATACATTACACATTTACAACTATTAGTCTCTGAAAAAAAAACAGTCCATTATAGAATAAATTCCCCTTTAGGTTTACCAATCTTTCTAGCTTTGGTCTTGTCACCCAAGCTTTCAATGACATTGGCAGATGGACCAATGAATGTGATACCAGCAGCCTGCACTTTGCGAGCGAATTCGGCATTCTCGGCCAGGAAACCATAGCCAGGGTGGATCATTGCAACATCGTGTTCCTTTGCGATACGAATAATCTCATCTTGGGCAAGGTATGCACCTACTGGAGAGAATTGTCCCACGCTTCCGATTTGGTAAGATTCATCAGCCTGTCCGAGTCAATGAGAAAAAGAAATCAATATATAAACTTCTTATACACATATATATATATATCATAGTGTAAGTATGCACCTTATAACGATGCATAGAAAGTCTATCTTCGTGTGAAAATATGGCGACTGTGCTCATCGACAGCTCGTGAGCTGTGCGGAAGACACGGATGGCAATTTCCTAGAAAATATGTTGAATTAGACGTAGGAATATTTTAGAACAGATATGTAAAAATGTAAATATTTTGATAAAACTTACACCGCGGTTGACAACCATCAACTTTCTGAGAGTACCCATCACCTCACTGTTACGACGAATTGTCTCAACTGAGTGTTCTCGGGCATGTGGCATTGTATTCTACTTGGGGTATAAAAAGGCATGATTTTATTTTAATAATTCGTTTTTCAGTAAAGCTGGCCGGTATGTCCTCTTGTTTTTGGTCTGAATAGAAAAAGAAGAACTTACAGAAATATAACTGTAAGACTTGCTATGGAAAACGGTAGAATAACAAGAGAAAGTTAAAACTTGCAAACCGGCCGCTTTATATACTATACAGAGGGGCCGGTAGCTTGGTGTGGGTGTGGGGTGGACGGGGGAACATTATACTGATTCACCAAACTTCTTTAAGCCTGGGTCGGGTCCTGGTCCCAAAAATAAAAAAATTAAAAAAAAAATGTTGTACAGGAACATTCAGTAGGCGTACAAGGACACAGAAGTTAAGCAATGTGTTGTTTCTTCCTCAATAATAATTGGAATAACTCTGTGGCAGCACAGACCTTTTTGTCAAGCATGTGTTTGATTATAATAAGGACGAGTCTACAGACATGGTCCTATACATCACAAGCCGAATAGTTTAACAGCCAATTGGTTTAATTAAGGTATAAAATAGAACTCGAGAATAATTATAATTGGTATAGAAGATTGTATCTCTTTTATTGATTTATTTGATATTTTAAATGGCGTGCGAGGATGAGGTGTATATGAAAAAAACAAAAATGAATGATGAAGACAAGAAGAAGTAACAATGCAGGCGAGTATGACATGCGCTTTTTGGGAATTGGGGTAGAAAGAGTAATAGTGAGAATGAAGTACTTAATAATGTATGGCTTGATGGAGTAGAAAGAGCTCAAGGTCCTGCCACCCGCCACCAACACGCACAAGTACTTTGTTGCGCGGGCCCTTTTGTCCTCTTCCACGACGCGAGTCCCGCTCAGCGTAGTTCATGAGCTTACATGTATACATTTTCTTGCCACCAACAAGAGTAGGACTAAGCTCGTTACCAAAGTAGTATCGACCAACGCCTGGGGAAACACGCTCACACTGAATAGGTACAGGGTTAGCGTTGACAATGGCAGCGACTTCAATATCAAGAGGGTCTTTCTTGTTGGGCTTATATATTTGTTCTTTAAAACCAGGCTCATCGTCTGACGAGTCCTGACCGTAGCAGGACTGAGGCGGAGGTGTGCGAGGGGTGGGGATGTGGGTTGGACGAAGGGGAGAGTGGTGGGCGAGCATGGGCATTGATTGCTTTTTGAGAAGCTCTCGTGGGTAAGGAGGACTGCCTGACTTGCTGCTGGGTGGAGAGCTATGAGGCACGGATAAAAATGAGCTCGTTGTGGAAAGGTAATCATCGGAGGAATCATTGGACGATATTACTTGAGACATTGGAGTATATGAACGTAGATCACTACTATTCGGTAACTGAGGCACTGGTGGTAAGTGCAACATCGATGATCTTGGTCTTGTGAATACACTTGGTGAGTTTGCTCGGTAGCCAAACCCAAATCCACCCCGGTCACTACTCGAAGGAGTTTTGGGCCGGGGGATCATCGATGGCGTTGCAGCCCTTCGAATAGGGGAGGTTGGACGTCTGTTTGTCGGCGGAGAGAGCGAAGTAATCTCCGGTGGTGGCCGGCTCGGAGAAGGCCTACGGGCTGCCGGAGAGGCAGCTCGTTCACGATCAGACACTGGAGATAAGTAAGTATTATTTCTATGTAAGTCTTGTCGCCCCATACTACTCTTGGGTCTTGTCGGCACAGGCGTGGGGGTCTTTGCACGCATATACCCAGGGTTAGGTGTCTTTGCACGGGCCACTGGAGTCTTGGGCCGCAGATCGTTTACGGGTGCAGATGACTTGTCAATGCTCTGCGCTCGTTTGCGCATGATTGTGCTCTTTGTGGGCTTCATCCATGACGCTTCCTTTTTCTCGCCTGACGTAGTACCATTAGTAGCAGTTGCTGGTACACGACTTTTGCGAGCAGGAAGCACAATCGGAACTTCTTCAGCCACTGCTTTGTCTTCTCCCTTCCATAGTGGGTCAAGAGTTGAAAAGTCTTGTTTCTCTGTCTTGGTGCTAGAGCTCCAAGCAGGCCGAGCCCCGGGTGTCTTTGTGCGTCTAGATGCGGGTCTGTCAGGAATGGTTGAGGAGCCAACAGAAGATGTATCAGATGTGCTTGGTCTCAGTGTACTTCCCACATGGCTTTGATGTTGATTTGTTTGTCCAAACATCATAGGACTGGCTGTACGTTGTGAACGAGGACTGAGAGCAGAGACTGGGGTATTTGCTGCCTGACTCAAAGACCGCCATCCTGTGTTTGTGGTACTGGGAAAAGTGGAACCAGTGTAGGTACTACTAGCATAGCTACTAGCCTGACTACTGGCCCGACTACTGGCACGGCCACTAGGAGTGGCACTACGTGCTCTTTGGCCGTCGTCGATTGAAGTATAAGGACTAACACGCGGAGAAGACTTTAACTTTGTATTGGTCTTTGCTTTTGATGAAGGTGAGACAGTCGGTTTAGTCCCATAGGGGCTCCTGGAACGTGTTTCGATAGATTCCTGATCGGGACGGTAACGGATACCCTTCCAATTATTATGGTTTCTGTCCACCCTTTGTTCCGGACTAGCTTGCCGTTCAATTAGGAGTCGTTCCGTGTCAACGAGGTCGTGTGTTCGCAAGTCATCCATCACTGCTTTGAGCCCGTTCCAGCGCTGGAGCATACTTTGATGACGTTTTTGCGTAGTACTGTGTTGAGATGCTCGACTAGCTATACCACTAGCTAACATGGTCAACATACGATCGATATTTGGAGTGTAATATTTGTACTTGGCTTCAAATGAAACTGCAACAGCACGAAACTTTTCTCTATCCAAAGGAGGTGCTGCCACTGGAGTGGCTGTAGCTGCTGAGCGAGTGGTAGAACGTAATAGGGAGCGAGAAAATCTGTCAAACGAACCAGGACTGGGGTTTGTCTGACTCCCAAGTGTCGCATGCCAATCGCGCACTTGCTGAATAACATTGTGACACTGTATCGCGGCTTTATCAAGACCTTCAATCATAGTATCTACTTCGTTGGCCACCTGGCGAAAAATGGCTTGCCAGCGTTCTTCTTTAACATCATTTTTGAGTTCGGAGAGGTCGATACGGAAATATTCCCATTTTTCTTGAACCATAAGGTGCTTCTTGGCTAGTACACCCGACCGGTCCACCGGCAGAGTCCCGGACTTCATGCGCGCATGCACCCGTTCGATCTCATGAAACAGTGGTTCGACCTTGCTATCAATTTCGGCCAGAATGTCTTCACCCTTTTGCTGCAGCCATTTTTCGTTTTCAGATATTGCAGACTGTTGGGGGGTATCAGATGTGAAAGTAGAGGAAGATGTAGCCATTGCTACGGCATGGCGTCGTTCCTGGAATTGAAAGATCATCGTCGACATATCGTCCATCTCGAGTGACACCCGCTCCATCACCCGAATTAATTCTTTCTTTTCATTTGCGCAATCGACTTGCTTGATTACCGACGCCAGAAAATGCTGGAGCCCGGACCATTCATACTGAATTTTAGTGATTGCACTCTTTGCTGCTTCACGCCTTCTTTGGCTTGAAAGGCGGTTGGCCATGTCTTGGTCATCCTGGTCTTCGTATTTCTCCTCAAGGGCCTCGCCGATCTCGATCAGCATGCCAATATAGGGTTCCATGCGGTTAACAACTTCAGTTAAAGGTTGTGTCTCCTTGGGTTCCATTGTATCTTCTTTTACATTCTGTTCAAGGGTGAATACGGCAAGATGAGCTGATTCTAGCCAGTGCAATAATTTGCTGGTAATGGTATCAAAGCCGTCCATCAGCTCATAAAGCGTGAGGGACTCGTGAAGATTAAGAATTTCCCTAATCTCCCGGTCAGGAATTGGTGCTGCCATGAGTCTCTCATAAGCTGTCTCCTGAAGAGATATTGATTTAGTAGACTGAGCTGGTGAAGGGAAAGCACTCAGGGCAGACCCTGGGTGTGTGTTGGCCATCATTTGAGGGCAGTTCTACAGGAACAAAAGAATTATTGGTTATTATTTCTTGGTTTGATTGTCGATTTTCTTTGTGAATAATAATAAATATAAATTATATATATATGTATATGTATATTTGATCTTACCTCGAGGGGTTACGCTTTGGGTCAAAAGGAATATTTATACGCGTGAATGTATCTTAAGGACAGGAGGATTAAAGAGGCGTGTGATCCTAGACGGACACTGGGAGTGTTTTGCTGAATGAGTTGTATTGAAGTGGTGTGGTGTATGTTTGTGTTTGTGCGTTTGTGTGTGTGTATTTTTTGAATGTATTTTTTTATTTTTCGGTGCAGTGTTGGTTGCAGTAAAATACGATAAAATACAGTATAAATTATGGTGAGTTCCAGATGTTGTACGAGATGGTGATGAGAGATTAATTGAATGCAAGACGTGTGGGTATAATGGCGAACAATTCGCAGAGGATGAGTAAAAGACAAAACAATTTTATTCAAATGGTCATGGAATGAAGGAGAGAAGGAAGAGAAGAAATGGAAAGCAAGAGAGAGAGAGAGAGAGAGAAAGAGATGTATATGAAAGTGCAACTATTGTGGGTGCAAAAATAAAGAGCGGACAAGAAAAACCTAGGCAACTGTCGTACAACAGGTGGGCGCGTGGCTATTCTGCACTGCTGGAAACTACAGAGTGCTACACCAGTCGAATGACTCTCTTATTCCCTTTACTTGGATGTTTTTTGGCTTCACACACCCAGTCAGAGTATCTATGAAGAAGCTTAGTTTTATAGCTCAATATTCACTAGTATATACTTTATTCTCAAAAAGTTTTTTTGTTAAAAAAAAAGAGTAAAAATAAATAATTAAATATAAATGGCGGTCGCATTGGTTTTATTTTTTTGGGGGGGGGGGGGGGGGGGGGGGGGGGGGGTTTCCAGGGGAAAAAAAAAAAACCCCCCCCCCCCCCCCTTTTAGATCTCCTTTGAAGTCCATTATTTCTATAATTTTAATTATGTGGCCATTCACAAGAGACAGCTGTTTATTTTATTGGTGTTTTATGAATTGAAAAACATGTGTTGGACAATAACCAAGGGTTCGGAGTAGCCCAGGCTACTGTAACTTGGTAACCATATCCCTTTCTTTCCATTCCTTTTTGTTACAAGCTCCAGCGTTCTTACTCTATATTACCTAGGTGATGTAATCAAGACATAATCATGGGTTGTGTAAGTTGTCATGACAAAATGTATAATACAAAGACCCCAGATATACAAATGTATATATTGCATAGAACGATCTAATATCATAATACACCAATACGGAACAGTCTATCTCCGAGTTATATTACGTTGCACAGTGCATCAGGCGTGGCAATTGAGCCATGACTGTTCATAAGAGTCTTGTCCTTACTTTCATTAAACCCAATTAACAGTAGGGGAAACGATGTAAAGATGATCATGGGTGTACAAGGGGACTTACTTAAATAAAATGCCCTCCTTGACTACTACTATTATTATTGCATTACATTATTCTTCACAGCTTGAATAACATGCGCCACTCTACCTCTATCTAAACCAATTTCCATTCTTGTCTATTTTTGCTCGTGGTTGTATTAATTGTGCTACTAATGAAGTACAACTCATCACGGACCATCATTGTGTGTTCAGTCCATGGGTTCACTTTGAATCATGCGATATCAGGGCTCGAATTCAATGCATATCCTTGCAGATGATGTAAGCTGCAGGCTGTTGACGTATCTTTAAGATGCATGTAACCAATCTCACTTCTGTATCGCATCGTAGCACACTGCCTTTTATTGTACGGGCAGACACTTTTATATATATATATATATATTAATAATTTATTGAGTAAAATGAATTTCTTTAAAGCCTGTAGTACTTGATAAGGTTCCTAATTCAAATCTTCAGGGCTTACTGCCATGAATCAATCGGAAGCGAGTTGACGTCTGGTGGCTGGTGGTCTCATCAAATGCCTGTGTCATCGTAGCCTCGTACTCCTCTCCTGTTGCAGATGTCAATTCAGTTACCATAACCTTGATAGCCGGAAGAGCCATGCGCTGAATTGCCAAGAATCGATCTCCAAATTCACCTCCCCAGCGGCCTAATAAATAAATCGAGTTAATATATAAAATAAAATACATAAATAATTTCTTTGTTTTGAAGAAAATATTTACGTGATATTTAAAACGCAAACAAACAAAATCACTTTTTGGATGCTTACCAATTGGGATTGAGTAATTGATGTCCTTGATCTTAACAAGTCCTTCTTCTTGGAAATAGGTTGAGATATGATCGGCAATGAAACAGTCCAAGTTTCTTGCCTCCATTGCTTGAGTAACTACGAAAAGGTGAGATCTTCATGATTGGGAACACAAAAAGATTTCGTATCACATACTCCAAGTTCCAATTTGTTGGAATGCCGGTCCAGCGTCAATATAATCAATGACCAACTCCAAAACCTCGATAATGCCCTCTGGCTTCAGAATACGCTTGATTTCCTTAATTGATTGCTTGTACTGCTCTATTGTGAACCCCATCACAAGATAACGTTGGAATACAAAATCAAAAGTATTGTCTTCAAACATCAGTCCACTGGCAGCATTGGAGATCTGGAATGTAACGTTTGGGGGCTTATTATCCATCACAAAGACATCGGCCATGTCAATAGCAACAAACTCGGATTTTGGATACAAGCGAGCCATTTCCTAATGAGGTGAATTATAAAAGTTAAAATTTTGGTAACAATTCTTTTATATGTGTATAATAAAAAAAGAAAAGAAAAATAAACTCACCAAAGTCCACCATCCAGGGCCACATCCAATATCCAGCACCTTGATTCCCTTTTCTAGCTTGTCATGAATAGGCGACTTAAAGAGACTGTTGGACTATGTAAGAAAGGTATTTTCTTTTTATGATTACCTTAGAAACCACTTACCCTTTCAACATCATTCTAAAAAAAAATAGCAAAAAAAAGGCATCGAATTTTAGGGACAGTGTATTATTTCAAATGATTTATTAACTTACTTTGCTAGAATATGGTTCATCTGGAGACGGTCAACTTCCCCTTTGTCACTTGGCAATAAGTAGGCCACATCTTCTTGATCAGCCAATCGACGTCCACCTTCCCAACGGAAACCAACACGCTCGCTGTCATATTCAATTCCTTGAGTTTGCATTGTTTTTAAAAGGTTAAAGGTAAATATGTTTAAGATTGAGTAGAGAGATCTTGATATGATCAGAAAAACAAAAACAAAAATGCCAATGCGTTTTATACCTTTAGGAAAAAAAAAACATCTGTGCTTAACTCTTCGTTGTACTCAGGATGTGTGTTATCTTATTGGTCAATACTATCAATAGACTTATTCTCCTTTAATTTGATTTCAAACGGTATTACTGGACAATCTTGTCAATAGAGAACCAGCGTTTATGGTGTCGCGTTGTGTATAACAGCATGCCACTGTCATATCCAAATATATACACATATTTCATTGTCTTGTCCAAATCTTGTTCAACACTAATAGGTTTAGATGATTACGGAGTATGAAATCGAATGACGTCTGCAAGCGAGGTTGCTGGCGAAAGTACACCAAAACAAAAAAGGTCTCATTAGAGCCAACCGACATCTCTAATAATCCACATGTTCGCACGAGTCTTTACACGATCCACCCGCCTTACCCGTCCCACCGTCATGCGTCGTGGCGGTCACGGTACTCCTCAATGGAATGAGCCCGGAGGTTACTTCTTCAGCGAAAAGGCATGTAGAATTATACATTTTTCTTTTTTTGTGTTTTTTTTTGCTGGTTTTTGTAGTACCCAATCTTTGGATTATATACACTCGAAATTCAACATTCAATTTAGAATTTATAATGTGCATTTATCTAATTTTTTGCATATACATTTTTTATTACTATTTTTTTTAGAAACGTGTTAAGGAGGAATGGGAAGATATCTACTATTGGGGTATGGGTGGTGGTATGGCATTGATGGCCGTTGCTTTGGCATACAAGCCCGACACTAGGTAATAAGGAGCTGTTATAGGAATAGATATAGAGAGATATAAAGCATATAATGCAATTTTAAATGGGGTTTATTGAATTATTTTTTTTCTTCGTTTCTTTTTTTTTCGAATGTATCTAGTGTTGTTACTTGGGCTAAGAAGGAGGCTGAGAAGTCTCTCCAGGAGAAGGGTATCACTTTTGAACATCCTACTTCTGTTTAAGTAATTGGCACCTAGAAATGAACCTAATTCACCTTTACAAAATAAAATACAAATATACATAAAGAATAACTTCAATCAAAAAGCGTTTACAATTGATACAGAATGTGTGCTTTGAAAGTTGAGAAGTCTTTGCGGGGATTAAACAGACTCTTTAAGGACGTGTTTCCCTTTTTCTTCCTGCTTTTATTTATTTGTTTTTGTCTTTACCATGTATGCCAATCGAGGAACAGGCTCTACCGCCCTAAAGCGTCTTATGACAGAGTACAGGGGTAAATGAATATTGTCTTTAGGCTAGCATTACACTCATATTCTACTTTTTTTTTTCTTGATAGAATTAACATTGAATGCTCCCGAAGGCATCACTGCAGGTATAAAATCAAAATCACAATATTGCATGCTATCCTAACACTTTGTATTGATTAGGTCCTATTGATGAAAATAACTTCTTCGAATGGGAAGCCCTCATTGCGTATGTTCTCAATAATGAAAATCATAACCATGTCTATTTATGAATACATATATGTTTTATAGTGGACCTGAAGGCACGCCTTTTGAGGGTGGTTTGTTCCCAGCTACACTTGTTTTCCCCAAGGATTACCCTCTCAGTCCTCCTACGATGAAGTTTACTTGTGACTTTTTTCACCCTAATGTCTACTCCAATGGCACTGTATGCATCTCAATTCTTCATGCCCCTGGAGATGATCCGAATATGTATGAGAGTAGTTCTGAACGCTGGAGCCCAGTGCAGAGCGTGGAGAAAATTCTATTGAGTGTGGTAAGCATGCTGGCAGGTAAGAAAAAAGAACATATATCTGTGTATGTGATGCAAAGAGAAACTTATCGTTTAAACAGAGCCTAATGATGAGAGTGGTGCCAATATCGATGCTTGTGTAAGTTATTAGACGTAATGTGGGTGTGTGTGTGTGTGTGTGTTTATATAACTATATATGTATCTGTATCTGTATATTCATGTACATACAAAAGATAAGATGTTAACGCACGCATGCTTTATTTGGGGATTGATTAGAAAGTATGGCGGACAGACCGTGAACGCTACAACGAGATCGTGCGTGAGAACGCTAGAAAGACTCTGGGTCTCTAAAGTCTTTTTCGAACAATATTTTATGTTTATATTTGAAAAATATTTCTTCATTCCAAAACTTGCTTCGGTAATAAAAGATATCAATACAAAAGAATCGAAGAGACACACAAGAACGGAGAACACTGGACAATCTCAAGCATTTATATCTTCCATTACTATATCCATTTTGTTTAATATAATTCTGGGCACATTCTTTAATAGATGATAATTATGTGTTTTTTTTTCTGCTTAAAAACTCGATAATTAATCTCTGTACCATTAGAAGGTACATGTAGGGTAAACTACAACTCTTAATTCATCAAATAGACTTCTCTTCTTCTTGTAAATTGACTTTTATTATCGTTTGTATATATATTGGAGCGGGATGGGTAATGACCCAAATTTGAATCCAATTAAAGAAGCAATATATGTATAAAGGCTACCTCTACTTTTTTCGTATTTTTACTTGGAGATAACATTAATACGCATATCTCTTTTTTAACCAAATTCAAATTTGTGTTATAATCCAAACGGCCGGACTGAACTTTGATTTTTCTGTGAAGATATAAAGAAAACTTTATCAGGCTAAGCCTTATCGTTACACTCAACTTATGGTTGGAAGGGTTTACCTTGAACCCAATTAATATATATATATATTATAAAGGTAGAATAGTTAAATATGACTAAATTAACATTAAAAGCGGTTCAATCATGTGCTTAAGTGTAATGGAAGGGAAATTATTAGCGGTATACACGGGGAAAAAAGTTAAAAGTTCACAGAAGAATCAAAACGTAAACAGCAAAGCATGTGTAATGTATTGTAATAAAGGATACAGCTATAGATGTAACGAATGTATAGATAGGGAGGGAGCAGGGGGGGCCGGTTGGCCCCGATCTATTTCTCGTTAACTGATGAGGTGTCTGTTGAATATCATCAATTTTGCGGTACAGATGTTCTTCGGACTATTCACACACAAATCAACCGCCTTTAAACAATTTGATTCACATCGTTGTCCTACTTACTGCACTAAGCAAACTTCACACGGTCACTAAAAGAGTTCATTAAAACTAATTAATGAGGTATTGTTTATTATCTTTCTTTACGACGTACTAAGTAACTTTTATATTTTAATATATAATGTAGCTTAGTATGATAATACAGGTACATTTACAACTGTGATTATATTCGTCTAGAGCTATAAAGCTGTTGAAATTCTGGTCAATATTGACGACAAAAACACCAAATGTTTTCCAATGTATCCCAAGACTTTTGTCTTTATTCAGATCCAGCCTTTGAAAATATCACTTTTCCCGGGTGTGAAGTTATATTTTACATACAGCTTATTGATATCATTCTTGCATGACAGCTAGCAAAAATAAAAAGTTTATTCTACAACATGCAGACGTTTTTTGAATATAGGGTCAAGAGTTTTAAAGAAAACAGGTTTTTTTTCCTACCATAATATTACAATACCTTGAAATAATACACTCATAAATCTGTATTATCATTGTTACCAAGTAGCTACTACATGTATTATAAAAATATGTTACAGATTATGCCTCCTTTGTCTTGAAAGTTAGGCCTATAAAGCATCTATAGAGGTTTGTGTAAACTCGCTGAATATGCAAATTTAGATATAAAATTTAGTTTTTTTCTTTCATCCACAGTAGTTTGTCTAAATAAATGTTTTACCCAATTTTTTATAGGCAATTATTTAACGGATATCTAAATTCAGCGCTTCCCTAAACCATTCGAGCAATAAAACAATGTGACTTTAGGCTTAAATAAACCGCTGTGGATGCTCTAAGATAAGTCTAGAGTGCCCTAAACTTAGTATATGCCAGACATGTCAAAGTTACAAGTTCTTCAAACCAATCGTGGTTTTTTCCCTACAGTCTATTATGTTTGGAAATAATTTTATATTATTATTATTTATACCAAAAGAGACTTGAGCTGCTTATAAGAATCCCCAAGATTTTTGTAAATATGGGTAGTTTCAATATGAAATTCTTATCAGCTCGTCTATGGTGTAATTCGTACCTCTTTTATAACTAATAGTCATGATACAACTATACTAATTTTTTGATTATAAATATGTTTTATAATAAGAATCTGGTTTATATAAGATGCTATCTTTATGAAATAGGATGTAACCCGGATTCAGGGGGTTTGTTACTGAGTAGATAAACTATTACATTTGAATGATTTTATTATATTTATTTTTGTACTGGGTGAGGAAGCTGGGAAAAAGGTGTTTTATGCAGTCAATGCAAAAACATGGTGGGGTAAAAGTAGGATATATATAAAAGAGAGGGAAATCAGTGATCAAATAAAATTCCACAATAAAACACATTTCTAACCTTAGAAAGCTTGCAACAATCTCACTAATATCGTCTTTTTTTCTCTATAGTGTATTCAGATCTGTCAAAATTGATATTATTAGCTATCAGCTTGAGATGAAGGTGAACAATTGAATGTTGCGAATGTTTAATAAACTTTATAATTATGCTGTAAAATATTGGATTCTCGTAAAATCCGGACTTATTGATAATCTAACACTTTGAAATATCGTTCTAGATTATTTCTAACAATTATTTATATCATTATTATGTGTACCTTACAATGATGGTATTCTTACATTAGAGTAAGATAAATCCAGAAAATTTGCTTGTATTAAAGTAGAAGCTAATTAAAAGGCTATTGCAGTACAAGACAGTGTAGTTACCTGGTTTATTTCTATTAAAAGTTAATGGGCTTTTAGTTTAGAGTTTTATCTACTTTTACACGGGATTTGTAAAAAAAGAATAAAGTCTTTAAATGCGAGTAGAGCTAAACAGACAAGTTAAAGAAGTCATTTACAAATTAGCAGAAAAAGGCCGAGTGCATATTAAGTACAGTACAGAAATATATATACACTACTTAATATATCACTTATCGAATCTTCAAGATATTACGACAAAAAAAAATCCGTGAGCCGAAGCCTAAGAGTAAGTATAGTAGTAATATCTTCCAGAATTCGATATTTGAAAGTGGGAAGTTTTAGCCAGCATATCTCACTACCAAAGCCTTTCTAGTGTCCTGTTCTCTGATTTGGAAGAAGATAATGGAATTTTTCCTCGCTGGTTCGCTTGATCAACAAAAAAAAGATGATTTCGAGAGCTATTTCCAAGGCGATTTAAGGGGGTGTTTTTCGAAGTTTAACCTCAAAACAGCCTTTAAATCTCCCAAGAAATCTGCAAAACCTTCTTACTAAAGTTTTCTTTTTTTTTTATACCATAATGTAGGACCAAAACAAGCCTTTTTTTAACCACCATAATAAAAACTACAGTGCTATTAAATGAATTTCTTAAACGCATAAATAAATATTTGATATTCGAACTAACCTTTGTGCAAATATTTATATTACTAGCAAAGAACTACATGTCTTTGATGCTTGTGTGATAGTAATGTTGGTCAATGATTATTTTAAAGGCAATGTGATAAAATACAAATCTAATGCCATGACTACCAAGCATGTGTATCTATGCTATTTTACTTGCTACATTATATTCAATTGATCATTTAATACCACATTTCATTTTCTTGTCACTAATTTCTCGATTTTTACTATAATTTTCTTGATATGTTATCAGGTTACATTCATAAGCACAGTATATTACATGTACTCTGTAAAAAAAAGCCTAATTGTTTTCATAACCGAGAATTTAATAATTTTTTATTGTATTGTTCTTTTTGATACTGTATTCAAAGCTGCCGCCAATTCTCCTCTGTCATTCGTGGAATGCAAAATGTAATGTGAAAGTTTCTAGGAATAAAGCAAGCAGTCCTTGTCTGTCACAATTTCTTAGTTCTTTGTCCGCAATGAATTTGCTTTCAACCCCTCTCTTATTTTCCCTTTCTCTCTCTCTACTTCTTTATATATTTATATATATATATTGTCTTATAGTCTAATAATGCCTACGACAAATGCACCACAGTCTGTAAGGTCTTGACATGATATGCATCGCCATTTAAATTGTGGAATCGCTAATAACATTTATCTTATTTACACAATCTAAACACGCCGATCAAACTATCTTGTTATCTTTTTTTTTTTACTTCTTTTTCTTCCTCATTTATACATGCTCTTGTATATATACATGTATATATATATAGCTGGCACAAGTAGACACGAACTACGAAAGCGTAGAGGTAATGCATTTGTGTCAGTTGATTACGTTTATCTACCTACACATGTTTTCATTTTTTGGAGTCATAAAAATTCTCCATTGACATTTATAAATATATATTTTTTTCTAATAAAAACCTAAACACGATTTCTTTTTTATTTCTTTTCCCTTTGCTGGTATTAGAACACTCCTTTGAACAGCATCGGTAATGAGCAATTATCTTTAACCGAGTCGGTGAGTTTCGAATTCCAACCTATACTTTACTATGAATGTGCTATATTTCTTACATTTGCCTTGTTCTCGAAATCGCACACATAGGATGTGGAATCTCCAACGCGATCATTGCCTGTAAATGAACCAAAGGTCAAAAATAACCAAATGACAGACGTAAGTATATATATTCTTTCATTTGAGAGGATATCGGCCTATTTTTCTAACACACGTACATGTATATATGCACTGCTTTATTTTGTGTATTATATAGCATCAAGCACAATTGAAGAGATATCGTTATCTCTTAGGGCAAACCGAATTGTTTGCACATTTTTTGAACCTTAAACCTAAAAAGGACAATGCTCTTCAAGAAGTAATGGAAGAGAACGGTCATAACGAGTCTAAAGAAAGCGGGTAAGAATATATATATATATATATAACCAGACTTATTAATTTACTTTTTTTTGGTTGGCTGTATAGCGCTAGACGTCGTCGTAAGACTGAAAAGGAAGAGGATGAGGAAATCTTGAATGAAGATTTCAGTGAGGATGCTGAAGAAACCACTGTTTTCACTGAATCACCAGCATGTAAGTAAAGGATCTTGTTATATATACGTATATAGAAAATCAAGGGTGCAAAAGCAAAAAGAAGCAAGTCTCTGTGTGTATATATGCGTGTGTGTTTTTCTGTGGAAATGACTAACAAACACATATTTATATCCTTTCGTTTATTATATTATTATGCGCATATACCTCTGTATAGTTGTGACTGGAGGTGTTCTCCGAGATTATCAAGTTCAGGGATTGAATTGGATGATTTCTCTATTTGAGAATGGCATCAATGGTATCCTGGCAGATGAGATGGTAATTTTGCTCTAATAATCTTTTTTTTTTTAAAAAAAAAGAAATGTCAACATTAATTAGAAACATGATTGGATCTTCGTGCTAATTACCTTTGTGATTCAAGGGACTTGGAAAAACACTTCAAACAATCTCATTTTTGGGTTATCTTAAACATTTAAGAAACATCCCTGGTCCCCATCTTGTGGTTGTGCCAAAATCAACCTTACATAATTGGAAGAGTGAATTTGCAAAATGGATCCCTAGCTTTAATGCATTTATTTTTCACGGTAACAAGGAAACAAGAGTAAGTTAATACGCGAATAATAGCATGCAGAAACTGTAATTAATATTGTTTATTATATATATATATTAAAAAAAAGGCAGATCTCATAAAGACAAAGCTTGTACCACTCGATTTTGAAGTGTGCATCACGTCGTACGAAGTTTGTTTGTCAGAGAAATCACAGTTTAAGAAAATGGCATGGCAATATATTGTGATCGACGAAGCCCATCGTATCAAGAACGAAAATTCGATGCTTTCACAAATCGTTCGCGAGTTTAATTCACGTAACAGAATGTTGATTACAGGAACACCACTACAGAACAACTTGCATGAATTGTGGGTAAGTTTGTAAAAAGAAAATTAAATTAAATTAAATTAAATCAAATGTATTATACCTTGTTTGGATTTGAGTTTATTCTAAACAATTCAAATCAATTTAGGCTCTGTTGAATTTCCTTTTACCAGACGTATTCAGTTCTTCAGATGCATTTGATCAATGGTTTGAGAATCAGGGTACTGATCAAAAAAAGGTTGTCGAACAACTTCATAAAGTGCTGAGACCTTTCTTGCTCAGACGCATCAAGTCCGATGTGGAGAAATCCTTACTTCCAAAAAAAGAAATTAATATCTATGTAAAAATGAGCCCTATGCAGCGCAAATGGTACCAGAAGATTCTTGAAAAAGATATCGATGCTATTAATGGCAAGTATAAGTCTATACACACAATTAATTCCTGTTAGTATTGAAGAGAGAGAGAAATAACATTATTTTATAGGTGTTTTGGGTGGGGGTAAACGTGAAGGAAGAACGAGACTTCAGAATATTGTTATGCAGCTAAGAAAGTGCTGTAATCACCCCTACCTCTTTGATGGTGCTGTAAGTCATACTTTCTTCTTCTTATTGAGTCGAAATTTCTTTTTTGTGTACGCGCGTATTAATCTAACTTTCAAATGATTGTAGGAACCAGGGCCTCCATTTACTACTGATAAACATTTGGTTGATAATGCTGGAAAAATGGTAGTATTAGACAGACTTTTGACCCGTATGAAGGCACAGGGATCTCGTGTTCTTATCTTCAGTCAAATGAGCCGTGTGCTGGATATCCTTGAGGATTATTGCTGGTGGCGCAATTACAAATATTGCCGAATCGATGGCCAGACTAGCCACGAAGATCGAATAGATGCAATTGATGAATACAACAAGCCTGACAGCGAGAAATTCATCTTCTTGTTGACAACTCGTGCTGGCGGCTTGGGTATCAATCTCACCAGTGCCGACATCGTTATTATGTATGACAGTGATTGGAACCCACAAGTTGATCTGCAGGCTATGGATCGCGCTCATCGTATCGGCCAAACCAAACAGGTTTATGTTTTCCGTCTAGTGACAGAAAATGCAATCGAGGAAAAGGTTTTAGAAAGAGCAGCACAGAAATTGAGATTGGACCAACTTGTCATCCAGCAAGGGCGCATGCAGCACCATCAAAAGGCGGCTTCAAAAGAAGAACTGTTGACGATGATCCAACATGGAGCCGAAAGCATTTTTAAGGATGATACGAACAATACTCAAGAAGATGACGATATTGAAGATATTCTGCGTCGAGGAGAAGAAAAGACAGCCGAATTGACCAAAAAGTATTCAAATCTCAACATTGATGACCTAAAAAACTTTTCTTCCGAAAGTGCTTACAAATGGAATGGTGAAGATTGGAGTAGCAAACGCAAAGCAGACAACATTGGACTTTCATGGTTAGGACCTTCAAAAAGAGAACGTAAGGCCAATTATGCGGTTGATGACTATTACAAGGAAGCTCTCCGTACCTCTGCGAAATCTCAATCTACAAGAGCACCACGATCAAAACGTTTTGCAGTGTGAGTAAGCTAATAAAGGAAATGAATGAAATAACACTTTTCTAATTACTATTTTTTTTTTAAAAAAAAAACGAATAATATTATAATATTATAATTTAGGGAGGATTACCAGTTCTTTCCACCTCGTCTATCAGAACTTAATGAAAAGGATACCTTGTACCTTAAAGTATGTTCATATCTAGTTGTTGTGTTTAAATATACCCTGTTTATATGTGCTAAATAGAATATTTTAAAAAGAAATCTGTAGGATACAAAGTACCTCCAGTGAGTGAAGGATTGAGTCCAAAGGAAACCAAGGCATTAGAAAAAGAACGTGAAGAGGAGCAAAAGTTGATAGATCAAGGTAAGTTGTGCTGACCTTCTGCACGCTGTAGTTTAGTGTATAAGACCAAAGCGCTAACTCTATTTTGTGGTATTTAGCCCAGCCATTGACAGCAAAGGAAGAGGAAGAGTGTAAGAAACTTCATGCCAAGGTAAATAATATGGAGATTATTATCATAATATGAAGTCATGTTTTTCTTCTTCTAATATATGATATTATTATGTAGGGATTTTCTCAATGGACAAAGAAGGATTTCTACAATTTTGTCAATGCTTCTGCAAAGTATGGAAGGTAAGGTTTACTTATTTATTTTGCTTTACTTTGAATATATTTAGTTAACCGTCTAACAATATTGCTGTAAATATAAATTTATCTGAATATAATACAGAAAGAATATTGAAGCCATTGCAAATGAAGTTGAGGGAAAGACTTTGGACGAAGTAAAAAAATATTCCAAGGTATTCTGGTCAAGATACAAAGAAATTGCAGGTAAGAATTTTTATATATATATAATTGCTTTAATACTTGTTTTAACAAAAATAACTAAATCCTACTTTTATGATCATTATTATTATTACTTCATCTGTTTCTGTTTCGATAAAGACTATGAGCGCCATATTTCCAAGATCGAGAAGGGTGAAAGCGAAATGGAGAAGCAACTGGAAATTCAGAACCAAATTTCAGAAAAGGTTGCTCTTTATCGTCAACCTTTACAACAAATGACCTTCAACTACACCCAGACGACTCGAGGAAAGAGCTACAATGAGAATGAAGACAGGTTCTTGATTGTCATGTTGGATAAATATGGCTATGGTACCGAGAATGTTTATGATTACATCAGGGCAGAAATTAGACAGGCCCCTCAGTTCCGTTTCGATTGGTTCTTAAAGTCAAGAACATCGCAAGAAATCCAAAGACGTTGCAACACTCTTATCGGTCTTATCCAAAAGGAATTTGCCGAACGTGACGAACAAGCTCGTGAAGAAAAAAAAGTAAGCCTCAAGGATCGAAACTTTGGCTTGGGCTTTTATTGAAACTAACAAATGTTTTTTATTAACAGAAGAACAAGAAAAAGGCAGCAAGTAAGCCAGCTACTACAACCACCACACCTACAGTCACCACCGCCACTACTACTACAGCAACCACAGCAACAACCAAACCTAGACGCCGCTAATAAGGCAAAGAAAAAGATAAGCGTGAAAAACAAAGAACAACCTTCCTTTTACTATAATGCTATAAGAAGATCCGTCGATATGTCTTCTTCTTTTTTCAATCTTTGTTTCTCTCTATCTTTATATTTAATGTATAAAGTCGCCTCTTACTTTATTTAATTGCATATCATTGAAAGATAAGAGTAAACAAAAAATTAAGTTTCAATGACACCAAAAATAAAAATAAAAAGATACAAAGTACGAGAGTGTAAAGCAAATGAGATAAGCAAACCGTTTAACCTAGTGACAAAGAGAAGAAGAAAAGGTTGAGTTATTATCATATTAGATACCAGCTTATACCTTGACTTACATGCACAACCATTTGAGGAAGCTTGGTCAAGGTCGACGCCTCGATTGTTCAATGTTCTTCTACCTCTTGAAGTATCTGCTATTTGATCCAAGGGCAATCGTCTCGCTATATAATCAGACAAATAAAGTTAATTTTATATATTTATTAGCCAAGTTAATATGTACTATTTACCTATCGAATCAAACAAGGCATCGACATTTTCTCCACTCTTTGCAGAAGTCTCGTAGAACAGTAACCCCATTTCATTAGCGTACTCTTGGGCAGTCTGATAAAATAAATCATTTTATATTAAAATCACGTCTTCTATATGTATATAATTAGGGGAAATTGCCTGTTTTTCAATCACTCGTCTTGACTCTAAATCGATTTTGTTTCCTGCCAGAGCAATTACAATATTGGGATCAGCCTGACGTTGGAGTTCGTTTACCCAGGATTTTGCTTTTTCAAGAGAAGACTAGTGTATTTTAGGTAAGTAAGTAAGAGATCGAGAGGTTTATTGATAGGTTTATATACTTACTGCTTGGGTAACATCATAGACAATCACTGCACAGTTTGCGTTACGATAATACATGGGAGCCAGACTCTATATATATATATATATATATATGTTCTTTTTAAGTGTTTGATTGCTTACAAGGTTCACTACTGCTGCGCTTACCTTATATCTCTCCTGGCCAGCGGTATCCCTGATAATTACTATAAGTTTTAATCTTGTTTTTATATGTATATATTATGTATATAATATCTTCTGAGGTTTCATGCGCTTACCAGATCTCGAACTTTACTGTTACATTGTCTTCTAAAGAAACCTCTTTTGAAAGAAATGCGGCTAAAAACAAACAAGGGCAAAAATACACATTGACTCCTTTTGCTTAGAGATTTCTGTCGTTGTTGTCGTTGTTGTTGTTGTTGTTCGTTTGTATCCTTTACCTCCAATGGTGCTTTCTTTGTATTCATCAAAAAGTCCCTTTACAAATCTCATAACCAAACTAAACAAGAAATAAAATAAAGATAAATCCAATAATGGAAATCAGGTTATTATGAATTATATCTATATAGATATAGCATATTTTCTTTTCTTGATATACAATTTTTTTTTGTTTTCTAAGATTTAATTTCTTTTATATATATATTACCTGGATTTTCCTACTGCAGATTCGCCTACAAAATAATAAGTACAGTTGGTGAGCAAAAGAAATCGAATATATATATATATACTTCGGCTTTATTCGACTGGTTTATCTTGAATACCTAAAAGGACGAGTTTGAATTGATAAGTTTTGCCCTGGGTAGATTGTGGGTTGGATTGTTGTCTGGACATTGGAATGTAGAATGGAATAGGTGATTGTATGTGTGTATGTGTGTGTGTATTTTTCTTTTTTTTTTTTTAATTCAGCCAAATGTTTTATATATATATGACAAGAGAGATAAGGCCAACGATTAAATGGTAGAAATATTGCAAAGAAATGCAAAGATAAAGAAGAGGAGGAAGAAGAAGAAGAAAAGGGAAAAAGGAAAAGGTTGGTCAAATTGCCAGCTGATTTTTCTGTTATATATGTATATATGTGTATATATATATATATATGTGTGTGTATCCTTCTTTCGGTTGAACCATGAGGAAACGTCATCGTAGGGTGGATTTGGTATTTTGTACCGCCTTTTATGTTGATAAAGAACAGGTATTCGAAATAAAATACACATGTATTTGGTGTTATAATGGTAAAACAAGGGGTTGATAAAAGTTGTGTTGGTTGATTGATAAGAAATAAAGGTAGGTTATTTTATACTACAGGCTTTCTTTTTTACTTAAAAAAAAAGGTTGAATATTTGTAGTCTATTATCATCATTAGTATTGAAACTACAGTTGATTACCAGCTATTTGCTTATTTGTTTGCTTATTCATTTTCGAATATAAATTAAAAGTGTTAATGTAACAACTCACAAAGAAACTTGGTTATTCACCCAAAATATTTCATACTTCTTATTCTTATTCTTATTCTTATTTTTGTACTCACGAACTTGTCCTACATGAATTTATGCCAAGTACTACAAAACAGAAACATGAAATAGCGGAGAATACAAGCTTGGATTTGGCTCACAAAGCTTAGGTTAGCTTAGGTTAGGTTAGCTTATGTTCGCTTATCCTTCCTCCCTCTCCCATTCTTTATCGTCGAGCATTTAAAGCCAAACATCTTCCCTTTACATACATACACACAAACAGATAGAGTATAGATGGTTATATATATATATTTATATAGTTTTTATTGATACAACATATATAGAAAGAAATAAGATATTAAGTGTAAAATAAGAATAGATTCATTTTGTTTACAAGACTTAGTTCTCGAAGGTGAAAGCAAGACCGAGCTTGTGGGCGTTCTCGTTGAGACGGGAGGTGTCGATGGAGGCACCGAGGTTGACCTTGACACCGGGGCGGAGAGCCTGGGTGTAGGAGACACCAAGAACACCAGAGTTGGCGATCTTACCCTTGACAAAGGCAGAGCTGTCCAACTTGAGCTTGGCACCGACCTCAAGGGCAACGGCGTTGGTGGAGTTGGTGGCCCAGGAAGCCTTACCGGAGGCCTCGAGATCGCTGTTTACGCGGTGGTAGTAGGAAGCAGCAAAGTTAGACAGGTTGTTGGTGGCATGGACAGCGACACCATAGTCCTTGGCGGTGTAGCCGACAGCAGCGTTGTAGCGGCTGATCTTGCCATCCAAAACACTGTAGGCGACCTCACCACCAACAAGGAAACCATCACGGCCAACAACGGAGTTGACGCTGAAGTGGGTCTTGAAGACATCGAGGGTGGCAACGGTGTGGACGTTGGGCTGCTTGTAGGTGGCGTTGATCTTGGCGGCCTTCTCGTTGACGGAGGGGAGGAGGGAGGTCAAGAGCTCAAGCTTGAGACCCTCTGAGACAACAAACAAACAAACACGCAGTAAAAAAAATGTAAGAGAGCAGAACAGAAAATAAACCAACTATCTAGCTAGCTAGCTAGGTTGTGTATTATTGTTTTCTATTACTTACTAGCAAGGTTGTTCTCGAGCTCGATCTTGCCGTTGAGGTGGTTGGAGGTGGTCCAGGCCTCAGTGAAAGCAAGACCGTTGGCCTTGTCAGCGTACTTGGTCTCGAGATCACCGACGATGATACCGGTCTTGTTATCTCTCTGACCGTTAACCTTGAAGGTCTATTGTATCCATATTCACACAAAGGTCATTTTATCAGATCTTTTTGTTTCTTCCTTTTCTTTTCCTCTATATTTTTCTTCTTCTTCTTTTTTTCCTTCACATATGTGTGTGGTTATACTTACGACACCGTTGGGGGCGGTGGTCTTGACCTCGAGCTTGACACCACCGATGGGGTAGTCCTTGGACAAGAGATCCTTGGCAGACTTGCCGATATCGTTGAAAGCAACTATTTTTTAGATACAAAATACGCGTTATTATTTTGTCTAGGATTTAATAAAGGTAAACAGCTTGCTGTATTTTTGTATTACTTACCAGGGACAGACATTCTTTTATTTATATAGTGAGTAGAATCCAAGGCAAAAATATCGAGAATATTCAAGTAAGTACATAGAATATAGACATTTTATATGTAAAGCATATCTGCAAGGCATTTTCAACATACCTTTGTTAGAAAATTAAGAAAGGTAAAATGGGGTGAAACAAAGTCAAGAAGTTAAGCTTGGGGATGGATCGACTGTTTATTACCTATGAGCTGAGTTTAGATGAAAAATTTTACTGGGTACCCCCCCACGCAAAAAAAAGAAAAGAAAGCCATCCAATAAAGGCTCGGACCGGAACCTCAAATGTACCGGGATCGAGTGCCCTTTTTGTACCAATCCATTTTATTCCGTCATTAATGCTAAATTTTATGCACGAAATGCAGAATCAATAGAAAAGAAATATTGAATCTTGAAAGCCAATTCATCATTGTAAAGGCATTGCAATTAAGTCAAAACAAAAAAAATTCCAAAATCAAATACAAATTGTAAGAATGAAAGTAAAGAAGATTTTGGGTCGGTTCAATTGTTCTAGGCGGGCATTTCTTTTTTCTCTATGTATATTGGTAATTTTGATAAAAAAATTATGTACAGATAACGCAACGCCAAAGGGCGGTTTTTTTTATGAAAGGGCGGGACTAAAAAGATTTCGAAAGCCGGATTTTAAAAATTCAAAGGGCGGTTATTTATAACCCAATGGGCGGCGTTTCTCTTTCAAGAAAGTCAATGAATAGGCATTATGAAGATGAGTAGGAGAGAATTGTTAACGAGGAAAAGCGTGATGCAATGGAATGGGAAGAAGAAGTTAACCCACATCACCTAGAAACGCTAATCCTACCTAAGACTATATTGTAAAAAGCAGAGCCCAGAGCAAAACTTGGTTGATGAAGGTTTAGATGCTGAAATGGAGGAAGTTGCAAAAGTAGTAAAAACGCAGAAAAAGCATTACAATGGCTACTCCAGCGAACAAAAACTTCTTTTTGTCTATTCCAATAGGGTAAAACTATTCAATGTTGGTAAATCTGGTAGATTAGCTGGAAGAATTGCTGAACGAACAGTACATAGATGGGCCAAGAGACTCAAAGAAAACAAAGATTGGAACATCTTGGAAAAACAAACCAACAAAGTCAATAGGCCAAAGGCGCAGCTTGATGAAAGACATAATGTTCATCTACTCAAGCTTTATGATGATAACTCTCAATCCAGAATTGTTGATGCAGTTGTTCCGCTCATTTCTGTTCCATGCATTTGACACTGATACTGTAACCATTAGTGATATATACGCAAATCCGGTAGATGATTTTTAGTTGAGCCTAAAGCATTGACCCCATTCAACGCTTTCAAGATAGCTTGTTTACCTGTCAATTCACCTGTAACAATTGCAATCCCTCAATTGATTTCATTTGGTAATCTAGCGTATGCAACAACTTGATGTTCCCCAACAAAGCTCTCCTTATAGTTCCTTGGCCAGGGGGCATTAGATCCAAAAATCAAAAGTTTCATCTTGTACGTTAAAATATAATTATATATTGCGTAAAGAAAAGTAGTAGGATGGGGGAAAGGGGGCACAGCTTTGATGTGTAAAGCAAACATTAAACTAGGCTACAAATAATCCCCGTTACTGGCTCATATTGCAAGATCCTGTGCGCAATGGACAGTCTGTGGTGCTTAGCATTATCTATTGATATTATACCGCATAAACTTATATGAGTCGAATACGGAAAAATTAATACAATAAAATAAACGGGTTGAAGATGGAAACCATATTTCATCATACGTATTGGTATTACGCACTGTCTAGGAAATCTCTTATTTTAGCTTATAACGCTGCTTGAAGGAGAGTTAGTATAGAATTCTCTTTCATTGACAACACTTTGCAATGGCCAGCATTACTTTTCATACAAGTCGATGTTATCTTTGAAGGATCTTGCGTTGAAAAGTTATGTCACAGGAGATACCATTAAGCCCTCGTGAATGTCTCTTTGTCATTAACAATCTACATAGCAACAGCAACCTTTCCTTCGAATAAGGACCATATTATGGATTACATTACATGTATAAAATTTGCAACCATGTTTACTCATTTTTATTCAAATTTTCTTGATTGAATGAAATCAAAGAATATGTATCATATACATGAACCTATGCTGTTGTAGAACCAAAGTAATTCATTTCTGATCAAGAGGTACCAGCAAGAATACATTTTAAATTCAAAAGCGAGTTAGACAAGGCGATAAAAGATGTATATTTCTTTACCTTTGATAAGTTTAAAACGAACATGTTGCTTCTACTACATGTCATGCGTTTCCAGCAGAAGATTATAACCCTAGTGACGCTGCATATAGAACCCTTTGGCTTAAAGGGAGTTTGTTTCTGAGGGAAGAGAATGTATTAAAAAAATAGCACAAAAACAACCAATAATGGACTGATGATATCAGCATAGATTTATTAACCACGACGTTAATAAAAGGGGAACCTTACGGACAGCCTGTCAGAACAGCCTGAGCATATGTAACGTCACTCATAATTAGTATTTCATGGTTATACATTTTTTGGATTGGGGGTTAGACTTTTCAGTAATCTTACGGGAACGACATTTCTATCTAGCCGGACTAATCAATTGCGGCTACATGTCCGGAACTCGGTGTCTTTCTTTAATCCTTCAGGGCAAAATGGTGTCTATCGTTAGAAAAATGACGGATTTTTTCGAATTTCGGGCCAGCAACTCTTTTTTTATATGGCAGGAATAGAATCATATATAGCCTTTGACCTATTAGAGAAGTACTTGTACGTCTGCAAGTAAGGTTTGTGGTTGACCATTAATCATTTCACCTTATGAAAATCGCATTGCCTCTTAAATAGGAGACCTAAAAAAATTAATGCCTCCATACATGCCTTATAATTGGTTTAACAAATGCATATCGCTATCATTAAAAAAAAAGCGCGACTCTAAGGTGGCTTTTTGAAAATTGTTTTCCTTAATCCTTCAAAGGTGGTTTTAGGGTTGTGCTTTTTTATGTTTCAATTATAATTGTCCCACTTCTCGATAGACATGAACTTATTTATTGGGACAATATCTGTTCAATTAATCCTGGAGATTTAATTGAAAGTTATACCTGTCATAAATGGAGAAAAAAAGAAGCCTATATAACTCTAGTAGACCCTCAGTTTTTTCTACACCTTTGGACATCTGATGTGGACAGATCAAAACGATCAAAACTTTTAAGCAGTATTATTGGATTAGAGTTAAAGAAAAAATTGGCCTTTTAAAGCAAGAATCAAAAAGTTAAAAGAACTCTGATTGCCTACTTTTCATCCACTACCAATTACATTGAAAATAATATTATAATTGGTGAAATGAACGGCATCATGAGAACTTCTGTTCATTTTATTTGTATCTGAACTACATTTAACTGTTTTTCTTTTAAAAAAGAACAATACGGTGAAAACAAATAAAAATTAATTTGATTGGATAAGCTAATTTTGAGTGTTTTTTGGCCGCTTTTTTGACCTTTTTGATCTGTCCATACCAAGTTAACATAATACTTTTGCATTTACAGTCCCTGAAAGTATACACCTTCCTCCATTGCTACAAATATATAGCCAATTTGTGTCACTACCACGCAGCTAACAAGTAACCCCCTCTCAAATTTTCCAGTTTTCGACACAGAACCCACAATATTCACCAGATATATTAGATGAAAGTTTGAAGAAATATATGCTGCATTTAGTTTAATGTAGAAACGTACAAGCAAGAACCGGCTTGTATGGACGAGTTAATAAGAATATATCATAGGGAGAATATCAAAAAAGCTTTTTCCCGGAATTATATATATATACGAAGTAGACCGGTTGTCTCCATTGGGACAATTTAAGAAGCAATAACTATATTATTCTAAGAAAGAAAAATGCTTGTCTAAGTTTATTTAAATATCTTATGCTTATAAAGATTTGATACTAAAACAAAAACAAAAACAAACGTAACCCACGTAAAAATTGAAAACATTTGTTCAAATAAAATAGCAATAATTGTAATTGTGATGTTTAGTTTCTTTTACTTTATTTCAGACTTTGCGTACTCATATTCTAGCATTTACGATAATACTTCTTCCTAAAGAATCCTATATGCTTTTCATAATGTTATCAATTTAAGTATGCATTGCCTATTTGCACTACCCGTTTATCTAGATTTATGAGACTTTCAAATTTCTATAATTCTCTTGATAGCCAAAAATTTTCTTGTGTAAATTCAATTGCTATATGATGTGCCATTTGATCCCTAACTTTAGCTACTTTACTGTTTTTTTTTTCGATCTGGTACAAAATTACCATTAACGACAATATGTGTGAGATTCAGATATTCCCTTCAAAGTTAAATGTTTACTTGTCTCTATTGCTCATCTCAATTGGACACATAATTATATCCTGAGTTGCCTGTGCAAGAGTAATTCATGAACTTGTTTTAAAGATATAGAAGGGTCAAATGTAAATCATATACATAATATTTCCCTTTCTTTTTAAAGATATAGAAGAAGATAGAAGGTATATGAGTGTCTATAATCCGTTATAATAAGCAAAACTCAATGTACATGTATTTTCATTTCCATTTCTAATATTTAAGAAATTATGTTTTCTTCCAAGCTCTCATTTGATCGCATAAAATGTCATATTTGTGCCAATACTTAACACACTCACCAATATATATATATATATATATATACATATATATTTCATGCCTAAAATTGTTTTGTATATATGTATATATGTATGTACGTATTTGTGTTTTTTTTTTATTGTTAAAAGTAGGAAATATAATAGGAGACAGCAACAAACAAACGAAATAAGATATTATACATCCTTGGGGCAGACAAGTTCCTAAAGAGAAATAATAATAATAATAATAAAGACAATGTTAATAATTTGTAAAAAGAAACATCATGCATATCCACTCCATTTTTTTTTACCTTGTAATCCTTGATGGTTCCTGAGAACTTGCTCAGTACACCGTCAGCACAAATCCAGATTTCATTGCACACTTCGCTGATGAAACGTTCGTCGTGAGAAACAATAATGACACCACCCTTAAAGTTGCCAAGAGCAGTCTGTAATGCATCCATAGACTCCATATCCAAATGGTTAGTAGGCTATAGTTTTTTTTAAAAAAAAAAAAGAAGAAAAGAAATTCAAGTTTGTGTTAGTATTAACTTGATTCCAATATACCCCCAAACTTCCAAAATGCATTAATCTTACTTCATCAAGAACAAGGATATGAGGGTTTTGTGCACTCAATGCAGCAAAAGCTACACGCGATTTTTGACCACCAGACAAGGTCTTCATGATCTGAAGACCAACCATGCCAGTAATACCAAAGGCACCCAAATGACGACGGTAATCTTCTTCAGTTCTACCAGGGAAACGGTCTGACATGAAGCCGACAGCAGATCGGGTAAGATCAAGCTGATCAATATGATGCTGGGTAAAGTAAGCAATTCTCAGACGACCGTTACGGTGAACAAGACCACTCATCGGTTGGTTCTCTTCGGTCAATAGCTTGAGCATGGTGGATTTACCAGCACCGTTAGGACCAACGATAGCAATACGCGAGTCCATACGCAGATCTAAGTTGATGTCGCGAATAATGATCTTTTCGGGAGTGTAACCGAAAGTAACGTCGCTCATCTGAAGAATGGGAGGCGACAGCTGGTCGGGATTTGTGAATTGGAAAGTGACAATCTTCTCACTCTCGGGCTCTTCCAGTTGAGGCAACTTCTCAAGGATCTTAAGCTTTGATTGAGCCTGGGGGGCACGCTTGGCGTTGTATCTCCATCTGTCAATGAAGTCCTGGAGATGCTTACGGTACTGGATTTGGGCCTCATACTCTCTGTACTGGGCTTTGCGACGCTCCTCACGTGTGGCGTAGAAGTTGGTGTAGTTACCCTTGTAGTAATCCAGCTTCTCGGAGTGCTGATGCAGAATATCGGTAGCGACCTCGTCGAGGAATTCTCTGTCGTGAGAAACGACCAAGAGGGTATTAGGCCATGTCTTGAGATAATTCTCAAGCCAAACAATGGCAGGGATATCCAACATGTTATCAGGTTCATCAAGCATGAGTACATCGGGTTTACAGAACAAAGCACGAGCGAGGGAAATACGCATACGCCATCCACCAGAAAATTCCTTGGTGGGTCTCTTTTGGTCAGGAGCTGAGAAACCAAGACCAGCAAGAATAGCAGAAGCCCTTGAAAGTAGATATAGTTGAGTATCTCTACATCAAATCTACTCTTTTTTTTTCTTGAAGGAAAGTTAATAAACTTACTTTGATTCTGCCTTGTCACTTTCAATCTCCTGGAGCTTAGCAAACACATCCTTAAGATCACTCATCAATCTATCCTTCTTCTCTTCGAGAGCCTTCTTCTCTTCTTCAGAAAGTCCCTCCTCGGCCAATTCGTTTTCAAATTGGTTAATGTTGAATGAAAGTTCGCGTTCCTTCTCGAGCAAATGCTCACGCCAGACATCAGCACGCAACACCATTTCGATAGCAGGTGTCATATCACCAATAACCTAAATACATCATAGTTGTTTAGAAAATATGCACACACACACATATATATATACAAATATACGTATATTAAAAGCATTATCCTTTTGGCACATAAACTCTTTTGTATACTTGCCTCCTGTTCGACGTAAAGAACGGAAATATGGGTAGGAACATTGATTTCACGACGGGCCATGGCACGCAACAGAGTGGATTTACCAATACCGTTCTTACCAACCACACCGTAACGTCTTCCGAAAGCAATAGTCAAACTGGCGTCGGTCAAAATACGGCGACCAGCAAACGAGATATCGAAATTCTCGATCTTGATGTCCTTGTTTTTGCTCTTGGTAGAGGTATAATCCAGAATAGGATTGTACATCTTGTAGGCTTCCTGGAGAGCCTTTTGTTCGTCCTCCAACAGACGCGAGGCTTCGTACTCGACCTTGAGGTTGGTTTTTTCTTGACGCTTGACCATCTTGGCAGCAATCTTTGCCTCAGCCTTGCGCAATTTGTCTTGGTTGACCTGAGACTGGACACGACGACCGGAGACATGATCAAGATCGACATTGCTTTTGGTGAGTGAAGAGGTAGCCGAGATACCGGTTTGGTTTGCCATCGTAATAGTCTGCTCAAGTCTTGAAAGACCCTTTGCAGGACCGTTGGCATTGTTTTTGGTGTTCAGCATTTCAGTCAATTGCTCGCACAGACGATCGATTTTATCTTCATCGCCACCAGCATCAATCAAGAGTGGTTTGATGAATTCTGAAATGGCATCCTCATCGTCGTCAAACTCGGTTCCTTTGAGATATCCATCAATGTATTCGATAATAGTATCGTCTGCTTCAGGAACAGTGGTTTTAATCAGTGCAAGCGCCATCGTTCGTCTCTCTTTTCTTTTATTTTTTATAACTAGTTAAACTAAAGAAGTATAAAAAATTGAAAGAACAAGAACAAGAACAAGAAAAAAAGAAGGGGGGAGTGAAGAATAAATTCAAAAAAAAATGCTTTGTTCCTGCTTCCAAAACCTCTGGTTTTTTTCAGGGTCGGGTCATGAAAGCCATGAAAAAATAAAACACATATAACACACATATTAAGTCAGGTACCAATGCTTTTATTTTTCTTATTGTTATTATTATTATATATACATCTATATATGTTTTTATACATATATAGACACAAATATGCTTTATATAAATATTCACCCCTCAATATATTTATTTCTCGATAATAATCTTGTAAATATTATAGCTGAACCGCAGCACTATAACCACTAATAACGCTGCGCCCACCATAGTACAACAGCTAGCTAATAAAATAAAATATTTGAAAAAAAAAGTCTAAAACCGAAAGTGATAGAGAGAATAAGAGAATAGGTGGAGAGTGGCTCATTTTGTGACTGTATTTCCTTGATATTTCCAAAAAAAGTATGCTGAATGCACTTTGTAGTATCAAACTTTCCTGCTAGAGAAGAGCGGTCAGTTACAAAATGAAGATAGAGGGGGGGAGAAATAGGGGAAGAAGCGGGGAAGGATAGAGGGGGTGCAGTTTAGAGGGGCAAAGTTCCACACATTATTCAAAAATTACTGCTCTTTTGGTTCTTCACTACTTTTCTTTAATTTATTTATAATTTTTAAACTTTTTTATTTTTATTAAAAGATCACATATTATATAATGTACCAAGACAATTTTGAAGAAGACGATCTCATTGCCGAAGTTGAATTTGTCGAGCAAGAAGTATATGCAAAGAGAAGCCCTACCGATGACGGGTTTGACACCGAAGGTACAAGATCCCATATATAGCTTGCACAATAACTCAACACCACAAGTGTTTGTTGACTAGGTGCTTCGGTTCAATCTGCCAGCACAACCCAGATCCCAGATGGTGTACGCAACTTTATCCTCCACTTTTACCGCAATGTGATGGATAACAATGTCTATGAACTCCACAACATCTATGACCACTCATTCAACAAAGTAACCGATAAATACTACACCAAACAGGCATGGCCTGAGGCAGAAATTGTTTCACCTCTTGTGAATGATGGTAAGATCGTGTGTACATGTCTTTGTGTGATTGCTTTATTTATTTATTTTTTCTGATCATACCTTGGTTCTATGCATACAAACTATTTAGATCAAGTATTCTTGACTCTCTATCGCGAATTGTATTACCGTTATATCTATTCCCGTATGGCACCTACTCTTGAACAGCGTTTCAATTCTTACGAGAACTACTGTGACTTGTTCAACTACATCTTGAGTAAGTTTTAAATTTCCATTAGCTGCCAACAAATACAAGAAATCCACTTGTTATTTATTGTCTTTGTAATCCTGTTTTTTTTCTTATTGACTTTTACTGTCTTCTATTCCTTAAAACTTTATAGACTCTGAAGGCCCTGTTAACCTTGAATTGCCCAACCAGTGGTTATGGGACATCATTGATGAGTTCATTTTCCAATTCCAGTCCTTCAGCAACTACCGCGATCATTTCGCCAACAAGTCAGAGCAGGAACTCTCTCTTTTGAGCGAGAACCCTCAGATCTGGAGTTGCTACAGTGTCTTAAATGTCCTGTACTCATTCATCCAAAAGTCTCGTATCCAAGAACAGTTGTTGGTCAGCAAGAACGGTGGTGACATGATGTATGTAGAAAAACAAATTATCGCGTATTCACAAAGAAAGCCATTTAGTAAATGCAATATGTATGTGTATGTATTTGATACTAACCATATCAATGACGTTTTACAGGGAAGCTGCTGGTGAGTACGGATCCCGTCCTCTTTATAAGATGCTCGGATACTTCTCCATTGTTGGTTTGTTGCGTGTGCATTGTTTGTTGGGTGATTACATGCTTGCACTGAAAATGATGGACAACATCATCTTGAACAAAAAGGTTTGTAATCAAAGTTAATGAATGGAGTGGTGTTTATAAAAAAAATGTGTATATCTTTACTGATTTTTTTCTTGTAGGCTATGTTTGCTCGTGTAACTGCTTGTCATGTTACCACTTACTACTATGTTGGTTTTGCTTACATGATGATGCGTCGTTATGCCGACGCCGTAAAGTCATTCTCTACCATTCTTTCGTTCATGCAAAAGACAAAGCAGTACCATTCTCGCTCTTACCAGTCTGACCAAGTATGTTTGAGAAAAATAAATAAAAAAGCTAATGAGTTTGCGTAAGTATTAATGTATCTTTTTTTTTCTTCGTGGTGCATTGGTTGTAGGTCTCTTCCAAGGTTGACCAGATGTACGCCTTGTTGGCTATCTGCATTACCATGAGCCCCACTCGTCTGGATGAAGGAATTCACTCTAAGCTTCGCGAGAAATATGGTGAAAAATTGATCAAGATGCAAAAAGGGTATGTTGAAATATTGAAGTGCAAAGAAAGAAAGAAAAAAAAATCACAAGGTAATAATGATAATTAATCAAAAAAATCTCGGGTCGGGATTAGTGATGAGGCAATTCCCATCTTTGAAGAGTTTTTCAGCCGCTCTTGCCCCAAGTTTATTTCTGCTACCAACCCTGACTGCAAGGTTGTACCTGAACGTGTAAGTAGCCGATGCCAATAATATTTTTAAACACTCCCTTTTTAATTAATTGCTTAATTGATTGCTTAATTAATTAACAAAAATCTAATATATATCTGTTTTGTGCCTTTAGAAACTTCACCAATTGAACTTGAATGTATTCATGTCTGATATCCGCAATCAAATTATGCTGCCTACCATTCGTTCTTTCATGAAGCTTTATACTTCTATGGATGTCGATAAACTTGCCAAGTTCTTGGAAACGGATTCCGAAGAGCTCAAGATGCAGTTGTTGGTTTACAAGCAAAAGTCGCGTCAGTTCAAGTGGACCGAGGGCAACCTTATTGAAGGAGAGTACCAGTCAACTTCTGATCTCGACTTCTGCTTGAAGAAGGATATTATCCATATTGCCGAAGTCAAGATTGGTCGCCGATATGGCGATTGGTTTTTGCGAAACATTTCCAGATGCGAGGACTTGGTTGCTACATTGGAAAATAAGGCTTGATTATCTTTTCGCCCTTGACAGATAGCTATATATATACATATACATAATGTGTTCGTTCTTTTTTTTCATTACTTAAAAAACATTTACCAGCATACAAACGCACTTCTTTATTTTTATTATCATTATTATCATTTTATTGAACACACCAAGTGCTTGTAATATTGTAGATTTAATTGCATTGTTAATTCCCATTATACATTTCTAGTAATAACCAAGAAAAAAAATTATTAATCAAATAGACCTTTTGGCTAAAGCATTACTTTATTATTGATATGTTTGCCGCAAAACGTGGCTCATGGGCATGACATGCTAAGAAAGTTTAAATGAATAGAAGCATACAAAAATAGGCCCATGACGCCATGAGATTTAGGTCCACCAATCGGATGATGGCCCTGAAAATAGAAAAGTTGTTCCTTTTCTAGGCATCAAATCCTCATAACCAATAAAAGTGTAAAATGAAGATACGTGACTGCTATTGATCCCTTGCCAAAAGACTTAAATTTCCAGGGCAATACAAAAAATTGAATATAGACTACTTTTACATTCTACTTCATTCAACATGCCCCGCCAGGTAAAGAAAAAAGAAAAGAAGAGGAGCCTTCCCCTTCCCTACTATTATTAGTATTGCTACTATTAGTGGGAATTTATAATACTGTTAGAGAAGCACAAGCTAATTAGAAGGGATTTCACCGAGATCATGTCATTTACAAAAAGAAAATAGCTAAAATAACCTTAAAATGTATATCCCTTACTTGACATATAAACAACATAAAACAATGATAATTAATTATTATTAATTAATGACTATTGATTATTGATTAATGATTATTAATTCATTTTATACTCTTTTAGACTAGACGTGCAGCTCCCGCCCAGCAGACCCGCCAGGCACACACCATGCCTGTCCGTCAGGCTCCTCCCCCTGCTCCCGTTCAGCGCGCTCCTGCTCCCGTCCAGCGTGCTGCTGCTCCCGCTCCTGCTGCTCCTCAGCATGCCATGACCTCTGCTCCTGCTCCTAGCCCTCCTTCCCTTGCACAGGCCGCCCCCCAGCAGCCCGGCATGTTTGCTCAGAGTAAGTTGGTTGGGAGAGATATAACAATCGGAAAAAGTACAAATAACAATGACTCATGACCCATTTATTTATTTATTCAATTGCTGCTGTCATCGTTTTTCTCTCTTTATTAGTGGCAACAACTGCCGCTGGTGTCGCTGTTGGTTCTGCTGTCGGTCACACTATGGTAAGGATCTTTGTGTGTATATATAATAATAACTTGGCCCCCCTGTAAATACAATTAATGGGACGAAAATGAAAAGCAAATTTTTGATTTGATACGATTTATTCATTAACACTTTACCCTACCCACAGGCCAACGGTATCTCTTCTCTCTTCAGCGGATCCTCTGATGAACCCGCTCAGCAGCAGCAGCAGCAGCCTGCTCAACCCCAGTACCAGCAGCAGCCTTTCCAGACATTCCAGGCTCCTTCTTCCGGTCTTGCTTGCGATGCTGATGCCAAGGCTTTCACCAAGTGCCTTGAGTCGACCAACAACGACATGTCTGCCTGTCAGTGGTATCTGGATGCCTTGAAGCAGTGCCAGCAAATGTCCTCCAACTATTAGAGAAACGACCAAACAACCAAAGAGCATAAACACATATGATACAATAATAATAATAATAATAATAATAATAATAATAGCTAGAGAAATGCTTATATAAAAGCCTGGTTAAATTCATTTCATTTTGCTGTTTTTTTTTCAAAAAAAAATAACAATGAAAATAAATGTTAATATTCCCCAAAACCAAAAACATATAGTCTGGTAAATGATTAGACCCCAAGCTTATAATTATAGAATTATGATTCCGGTTTTTTGATTGCCATTTGTTTTTGAGTACATATAAAATCAGGATTACGAATATTCCCGGTTTCACTTCTTTAAAAGAACGATTCTTTTTTAGACAATAAAATTTGGCAATAGTTGCGAGAACATTCTATTAAGAAAAAAAGTGGAATGAATTTTGTTGTACAAAATGCAACAAAAGCCGGTAATTGAAAGTGAACTGAAGGTTAAGACTCTAGAATTTATTTGATATAATAAAAACACAATTAGTTTGCCTTTTTAACCACAAAATGTTGTGTTGAGCCAATATCCTTAATTATATATATATCTACAGAATTTACATCTTTTTCTTATTTTTTAGGCATTTCTAACATATTCAAGGTTATTTCTGCAAAGCTCCATAATAAAATTTAGTTATCTTTGAAGTCGATGAGTTGATTTCTATTGTTGCTATTCTTGTTTGTAAATAGATAGAAAGATGAGGGTCTACTTTGGGGCCATTCCAGCACATTGCAAATATTCCGTGCACCTAACTTCAGATGACCGTCTTTTTCAATTTCAAAAGCTACTATAAAGAGTAAAGAAAATTAAGGCGGTCGACTGGGAAAAACCGGTCAACAACTAGGTGAACGCTTGTTAGCAGAAGTTTGGTTTTTCTTTTACTTGAATAAATAACAAGTAACTTTGATTTATCGTGTTTTAAGAGGTATTTTATCACAGTCTTAAATATAAAAGAGGTTTGATTCAGACGCAATACTCTTTCTTGTTTCTGTCTTATTTTATTGTAAAGAAGAATAATGTACAAATGTAAAAAGAAAATAAGATACATATTTGAGTTTTTTGTTCAGCAAATCTGTCCATAATTTTTTTCTGATTTTTTTTTGAATTTTTAAAGGGCAAACTATAGGATCAATAAGGACTAGCGGTTTCACTTGGACTCTACCAGACTGGTCTACTTTGCCATCAATAGCTAACTACTATAGTCCGGTGTTTTGTATAGAAAACTACCGATGGCAAGTAACTATTATAAGCTACACAATAACCATATGCACATATATATATTAACATATTAACACAATTATCTTGTTTCTGTATTATTTAATAGGCGTATAAACGTAAGGAACATTAAACACCAATAACACCAATATTTTTTGAGACCAATTTTGCCTTTTTTCCTAATACCATGTAAATCTCAGTTTGCAAAGGGATCAAAAACATTTCCTGAGGTAAGAATGTTTTTATTTTATCCTTCATTTAATTAATTTATCTTTCCTACCGTATAATAGAACTGCGGTATTTCTCTTGAGCTTGTAGGAACTTATCCAGCTGGAGACATCACAGAGATAAGCATGACTGTGGATACCATTTTGACCATATTCAAGGAAAATGCGCTTAAGTTTAGTCCAAGTATGTTTAAAGATATTGTTAACAGTTATTGTCACTATTATTATAGGAAGCTAATAATGTCTTTAATTAACACACACGCTATGCTACAAATAGGTACACGCCACCAATTTAAACTTGGTGAGCTTAAAGTGTATAACATCGACTTTGTAATATTGAAAATATTGTGCTTATATAGAAAACGGGTCAACGAATCTGTGCGAGTACAGCTTTTACCCAACAAAGCGTGGAATCGGTGATTACATTGACAACAACCAACTTTCTATGAAGATCGACTTTTTAAACTTGAAGCAATCCGGAATTGATATTCCCATAAAAAATCTTGAAGAAAGAAGATTTGTAGAGCCTAAAAGTGTCCCAGAGTTCTGTGATACAATTATACATGTAATTGAAACAGAAGAAGATTCTGATTTTTCTGACATGCACTCAGGCGATTATGAAACTCCTAGAAGTAGGTTTACTTTCAAGTCTCGAAAGGCTATTCTGTCAAAAGCATCGCCATGGTTCCACAACCTATTTTTCTTGGGAATGAAAGAGTCCAGAGATTCTGAAGTGTCAATTCGGGGCATACATCCAGACACGTTCCAGCGACTCTTGAATTTTATCTATGGCTTTGAACTCGAAATTAATGGTATCAATGACGCCGTAAAGCTCATCAAGGCTGCTGATCGTATTCATTTAACCAAGGCTCTGGAGTTCATATTTGTCTACCTCAATATGCGAGTAAATAATAAAACAGTGCTAAGAATATGGAAAGCAGGAGGTATTCAAGGCTACTATTAAATGTATTGTCAATTATCGCTAAATATTTTTTAGATGATTTTGAGTGCAAAGAAACAATGGAATATTGCAAGAGTTATACTAAGAAACATTGGGAAAGTATTCTTGCAGACCCATCTTGGCTAGAGACAGATGGAAGGGATACTATTCAGATCCTAAGCATAGATTCTCTCCCTTTGGCTGCTGACGAGTCTATCTTCTACCAAGCTGTACTTAATTGGAGAGAGGCAAAGATAAAACAAGCGGTGGATGTTCCAGAAATGCTACAATCTAATGTTTTACAAATCTTCAATCATTTAAGAAATAATCGTTTTACAAAAGATTGTAAACTTTGGTCTAATGAAATTGGAAACGAATTGGAAGATGTTGAGAATCACTTTGTTCAAATGATCCCATTAATAAGATTTAACCAGCTTACTGCAAAATACTTAATGGATAACGTTGAAACCTCCGGAATTGTGATAGATATTCCAGGGATGAAAAAAAAGGTAAGCAGATATTGGTGTATTTATTCTTTAGTAAGAAATAAAAAACTTGGATACTTTTATATATAGGTACTGGAAGCTTTTCGAGCCATAGCAATCCGTACCGAAATTCCAGAAACAGTCAATACAGACAAAAGACACATCTAAGCAGTAAAAACAAAATACTTCATAAAATAAACCTACTTGAATACAATTCTATGTACTTATTCTTGTTCAGAATTAAACTAATCTATAGGAGATTGTTTCAAAAGAGGGCTAGCTATATATGAAATCAACCCAATTTGAATAAACCAATATATAGTAATAGAAAGATAGAGAAATAGAGAAATCTACACGCACTAATGAAAGCTTTATTTATATAATAGAATGTTATGCCAAGAAGTTTAATAAGAATATCATTTAATTAATTGATTATGCTTGTGTATCCTATCCATCTTTATGTTCATATTACAAGCAATCCTTTACTTCATTTTATTTTTATTTTATCTTTTAGGTAAAACGTCAATTGAATTATTTCCGTGGTAAGTATGAAGATGACGAAGAAGTACACATATCAATTTTTGTCCTCTGTTCCATAGCACCTGTCCCAATATTGCATGTAGAGGATCTTGACAAGTCCATTTCGCTAGGGTAGTCATCGGCATCAGGCATGCAGACAACATGCTCAATATGCTGCGCACTCCCTTGCTTAGGCAATTCTGTAGGATTGGCATGGCTATGCGACTGTTCATGTATGTCATATGTCTCGTTCCAACGTGCGACCCAGCACACGATCACTGTAATACTGGCTGACGCTATAATAGCCATATTCCTAAATATCATCCCACACACACACACATAAATAAATAAATTATAAACCTCCTTGAATCGGCTGTAACAAAGAAGTTTAAAAATAATAGTAAATGAAATAATAATAATAAAAATACCAATAAAAACCAAGGACATCTGATGTACAGCCTACTTCAGGAATACCAGGTTGGGCAGATCTATAATCAAATTTTGTGGGTTGTGGATGAGTAACGTGTAATTAAAAAGATTATAAACATAGACATTCTCTTACCTCAGGGCAGGAAGAGCAAACAGCATAGTTATCCCAATCATGCACGCGTGAGCATCTACTCTTCTTTTTTTTACTGCAACCTGGTACCCAAATAAACTCATGATTAGTGTAAGGGCCCACATCAGCGTACAGACAAATATGCTGAATCCAAGGGTAGTCGTCGATCGACCAGTGACAATCTTAAGACCGACTCTATCCGGCTCGTTTGGCAGTGATTCAAGAGTTGGCGTAAAACTAAACGAAGAAAGGCTTGCTTCAAGGTGAAAGGTGATTGGAATTCCCTGTATGGTGTCGTTTGCGTAAGAGGCATACAGCTCAAAGTAGCCTGAGTATTGATCGAATGGGTAGTCCATTTCAGTACCAAAATCATAGCTGAATTCCACTCTAATCGGATCAACCGTGTCTCCTGCTTCGAATCGATGACTTCCACCTGAAGGAAAAGATACAATGATAGGTTGACTACAATAAATACATGCAAATTTATTGATTCATTATCTTTTATATATATATATATAGATGTATATTTCTTTCTTCATTTCATTGTATTGTATTGTATTACCTTAATTGACCATAGGCGTTTGCTAGGGTTCCATTTGGTTGAATGAGGAAATGAACTTTGTAGGATTTTTCGTTAAAATTGACATCCATTACAGAAGCGGCCACATAAAGTGACTCGCCACGGATGTTTGGATCTCGGTAGCTGATCAAAGTTGACGTTCTAATGACTATGATGAGTGAAGGTTTATAAAGGTTTCTAATGTGATATATTCACGACATACTTTCCCTCCTCTGTATAAATCTGCCAAGTGGGGACTAATAATGAACGAACGTCAGATTTATGTAAGGATTACTTTTTCTTTATTTTATTTTATTTTATTTTATTTGGAAATAGGGGAAAACACTGCAGAAATGATAGAATCTGTCTATATACATATATTGAATTCATATATCCTTACTTATTACTGTTAGCAAGATGGCCAGCACAATAGCAACAGCAAAAAATCTTTGGAGAAATGTTCTACGAGTAGACTTATTATGAAATCCGCAGCAATATCGCATATTGTGTTATAAGAATGAAAGAAAGGGTGATTTACAGGAGACGACAAAAGAAAAGCGAAAAGTTAAATGATTCTGGTCAATTTCTCTTTTATATTTATTTATTTATACATTTATATATTTTTATTTGTATGCATGTCTGTCTGTATGGCTGGCTGGCTGACTGACTGACTGACTATCTGTCTGTTTGTCTGTCTGTCTGCACAAATGTACAAATGTGTGAGTATATGAGCCCTATTTCTCACCTGCTTTTGTTTCTGCTTCTTGTTCTTCTTGTTCTTCTTTGGTCTCCTTTGTCTTATCTCCCCTTTTTTTGGAGTGCTTGAAGGGGTAAAGGTTTATAATGAAAAGGAACATCATATCTTCTAATTCTAATAAATAAATAAAATAAGGGAGGGTATAAAACATACTAACATACTAACAAACTAACTGACTAACTAACTAACTTTTCAGCCTTAAACACAACTTTTTTTAGTATTATTATTCTTTCGTTTATTTATTATATCAGTGGAATGACGGGTAGATAATCTACTGTATAGCTCTTGACGGGACTGAAGAAATACGGTTTCATTAATTTAAGATCATAAGGAAACGCCCCTTCTTGATCAATTGCGTTACTGTTGTATTCAATCCAGGCTAATTTGTTGTGTCGCCCTCTATGGGTACTCTTGATTGTAAGCGACATTCGAAACTCTTCGCGAGGTAACGTCCGGTCTTGCATTTCAATATAGATTTTCTCCTTGTCAAGTTCAAAATGACCATTGAAGATTTGTTTTCGGACAAATTGGGGCGTCAAAAGTCTAACCACCTGTGCGGGTTTATCTGTCGAGACATGCTTGAGGATATCTCCATTGGGGAAAAACCTTAGGTAGCGATAATAAGTCACCATGTGGAAGGGTTGGCCCCAGGAGGAATCTGATATACCTGGCCTATGATATAATTATATAGATACATATATAGATAGATGTGTGTATTATGCCATTATTATCATTTGTACTTCAAAATAAAATATGTAATGTATATATATATATGATTCTTCAGCTTATTCTCCTTTTTTCTGCCTTTTCCTTCAACAGAAAATAATAATAGTAATAATGATAAAAATAAAATAAAGAAAAAAGGTTTATGTATATAAAATCCTAAGGTTGAATGGCAGAAAGAACGAGGCTTACCGTACATACTGACAGGTTGATATGTAAACACCGTCATAGCGAATTCTAGGTCGTTCGATAAACATTCTCATCCAATTTCCTTCGTAAACTTGGACATGTTTATGTTGCTGCCACTGTGAGTCTTCTAGCGACATCTCAGGTGTCCTGAATGCATGCTCACATGCAAATTTCCACAGTGAAGGAGATCGAGTAAACAAGAAAAAATTCTTGCAGACCAATGCAAATCTAGCGACAGAAGATACAGACCGCAGTACTAGGTGACGTAGAATATGTTGGATAACCTCATTAGGAAGCTTGGCGATCAGTACAGGCTTATACTCTATCGCAGGCTGATAATGAAGGTCTTGGCTCTGGAACAACTTGATAAGGTCTTCGAGAGGATCCTTTCTTGTGGAAAGTGCCTTGTATTCAGTACCGATGGGTACTGCATGTCTGAATTGTGGATCTTCTGGGTGGATATGTTCTGTACTTGAGTTGCCGACTTTGGGTTCGCTATGAACAACAGTTGCTTGATGGTGCTTATATTCATAATCGATTTCTGGATTCAGTTTGAATGCACGACGATAATGAATTATAGCTATTTTACAAAATCAGGATTCAAGTTATGAATGATGTATTATTATATGTATATGCAAGATAATATATTACTAATTATCCTATACACCTCTTTCTTACAGATATGCATATACAAAATAATCATTTGTGCCATCTAATAAAAGCTCACCCTTTTGAAGCTGTCCTTGTTTTTCGAGATCTGCCGCAGCAATATAAAAATCCATGGCGGTGACCATTGGCTCTTCTTCAATCTCGTCATCGGATGGTTCAAGTTTAAGAGATTCGGTTTGTTGAACAAGAGGCTCTTGAATTGGAGGTGTCGGTTCATGTGGTTGTGGTACTTTTTGACTTTCCACTTCTTTGCGCCATTGATCTCTAAACTCGTCAAGTTCGCTGGTAATAGAAGAAGAAGGGTTCATACTAAACTTTCTTTTTTCGTTATCTTTCTCTCTTTTCTTTAGGGGAGTTTAAATAGTTTATAAACAACTTGCTTTTAAAAAAAATCAAAGAATAATATAAGGATAGATCTATTACAAACAATTTGTGATTTTTTTTAAAATGAAAAGGGGATTAAATAGATCAATACAAAGTTATCTAAAGGACAATTCGAGAAAGAAGAGGAAGGAATGGATAATGTTTGGGTAATTGGTAAATGGAAGTTGTGACAAGTGAATCCAAGAAAGGCAATGCGTTTTACCATGCAATGCTTTTGAAAGACAGAAGGTGCTCTTCCTGTCCTCAGACCTCACAACTTGACGTTCCACCAGACCCATTCCCTAGACCTTACACAAAACAGTTTTAGAGCTATATGATACTCAAGATATTTTTGTTGGAGTACTTAATCTCTAAAATGTCATTATAGTGTGTGGATTTTTGTGTATTATTTCTTGCGTTCTTTATTTTGCAATATTTTTATTAAAAAAAAACAATGAACTACAACCACCTTATTGACACTGTTCTTGGAGAAGGAGGAGTCGAAGTATTTTTACAAGCATTGTCTAATGCTTGCCCTTAGATTTCCTAATCGACAAATGACTCGGAAGAGCAAACAGATTCATTTAAAAGACAATGAAACAGAAGTAAAGAAATAAAATAACACATTAACATAACTATTATTTCTATGAAAAGTAGCTATGTAAATATGACTGTTTAGTATGCTGTATATGGGACGTTATTTCCCATTTTACTTCCATGTCGAAGGTGAAAAGTACAAGGTGCTCACAGAGTTTTTATCGTTTTGCAAGTTTTACGTTACATAATTACTATATGTATCATGTATTTTTGTGTATAGTTTTGGGGGGGGGGGGGGGGGGGGGGGGCTGGTCTGGTAGAATGTCAAGTTTTAAGGTTTGAGGTCGTGAAGAGCACATAGAATTGAAAGCGTTTAACGTTTTGGTGATGTTTCTTGATAAGAAAATAAAAGTAAAATTAAGACTATGTTGGTTTAATTATATTCCATTAAAGAATTTGTACGCAATTGATGTGTGTGCATTTGACAAAAGAAAAGTAGTGAAAGTAAGATTCTAAAGTGATTAGGAAGAGGGGGTTTGGGAAAAATTACAGACAAGTTACCAGACTAATCTGGCATTTATAATTAATTAAGGATTTATAGACTTTCCGATGCAATGTGTATAGATAGATCTAAAGATGTTATTTCATAAAAGAAGATGACTAATACTACATTCCATGAGTCAAATGAGAGCTCATTAATGTGCAGATTAGTTTGGTTTCTACACAGGAGGATGAAGTGTGTGTGTGGTGTAAACAGTCCAAGACGTCGAATATACCTAAATCAGATTGAATATTTTTATTTTATAAATTTATAAATTTATATAAATAAAATTTAATAAATAAAAATAAAGTCAATTTCTGTATGTAATTTTTTTATGCTCTTATAATTATTATACATAGTCATAGTCATATCCATAAACAGATCTTAAACATTCAAGGGAAACATGGACAAATCTTCCATTAACGCCCAAAAGTCATTAGTCCAACTTCAGGCACAAGCCAATGAGTTGTACCAAATCATAAGCTCCGAATCGTCTCGACCTGCCCTGTCATTACTTGGGATTCTAAATAAACTCAATAGTTTTGATGGGCCCTGGAAAGAAGTACCAGATCAAGTAAAAGAATCCTTCGATAATTCTTTTTTTTTCTTTACAAACGAGCATATATTAAATAAATGTCTTAATCTTTTGGAATGCTTGATTAGCAAGTAATAGAATTTCTCTTCCTGGGTAGTAAATCATTACCTACAACTCATGAGGCATGCTCAGCGTTTTGCAAGTTTATGTTTAAGCAATGCTCTAAGCAGGTATAACGACAGAATAAATGAGAGAAAGACCTTTGGATTATGTGTTTTGATTCGATTGTATAATACTAAGCAATAATGATATGTATATATTATTTAATTTTCTTTTTGTTCAGATCCGATTGAGCAGCTTACGATCTTTTCAATTCGATTCATGTATCACATTTCTCTTGAACGGTCTCGAAACAACAGAAGCACCCGAACTTCGGGTTGATCTGTTGCGTGCATTAAGTGCTCTTGTATTTGAGAACACGTCAAATGTATCTAGGGTAAAATTACTTTGATTTTTTTTTGTTTCGCCTGAATTCTCGGTCTCATTAAATATAAACAGTTTTATCCTCGTCTTGCAACCAATTTACTTGTCCTGGCTAACCGATCCATCAAACCGTTGGAGGTCCGTCGAATGGCGATCAATTGTATCGGCAATACTTGCGCCGGCGCAGGGCCCAAACTAAATGCATATTACAAAGATTACTATGAAGTATTGCTCTCTAATTTGTGTGTCGTGGATCACACATCTCGAGGCACTATCATGGTAGCATCTTCCTCTCTTGATTTTACAGACCCTGGCGTTAGAAAGGTAACCAAACAAAAGAAATAAGCTTAGAACTATCAAAGAATCATAGTGTGTATATATCTATGTGTGTAGTGTGTGGGTACTTAGTTCAATTTAGATTGCAAGCAGCACATTACGAGCACTACAATTCTTGCTGTCTCAAGACAAGACCCTGGTGACAAACCCTTTGTGCGATATGATTGATATTGTGTACAACTTTGTCTTTGCCCATGTGTCTGTTCAAGCATACAATCCAATCCCACCAAAAATAGACAACCCAATGCCCATTCAACTTTCAGCATCTACTTCCAAGCAAAGACTTGGGCAAATTCGTACACAGCAACAACAGCAGCAGCAGCAACCCATCTCGCCATCTACTCGTACTCAATTCTCATGGAGACCATCCATGCTTTCTAGAACAATGGGTGCCCTCAGCTCAGATTCCGAATTATCGGATTCTGATTCACCGCTAAACAGTCTACGAAAACAGTAAGATAACTTTGAATATTATTATTATTATTTTAAAAAAAAATAGAGCTTTGGTATTGATGTATTGAGATAATAATAAGAACAACAATAACTTGTCTAGGCGAGACGATGCCAAAATTCGAATCAATGCTTTGTTGTGTCTTGCTGCAATTGCAAAGGTATCTATCTATATGTACTAATAAACTATTCATTAAATTGGCACATTATGTTTCTTCTTCTTTTTCTTATATTAGACATCCCCTCGCGCATTATACCCCAACTGGCACAAGTTTATTCCAGATTCGATGACTATATTTTTCAATAACAACACTGAAATTGGATCTAATTCTCAAAGGCTTTCTCCTACCCTCAGATCAGATAACCAGCCTTTTTCACTGTTCACATTGATAATATATGATCCAACAGTGACTGTACGTACAGCTGCGTGCAATGCTCTTATTGCAATGTTGGAAGGGTCTAAACAATATCTAAGTATTGCATCTGAGAGGTAAGTACTACTTGAATAAATAATTGTAATACGTATACATATGTAAATGTGTATGTATGTATGTGTATAAATGTATAGATATATAAATTGTATTTTTATAAATATCTTTAATAATAACAAAAATAATAAAAAATTGATTTTTTTTAATAATAAGAGATACCAAGTCTTCATTCACATCCTTGTCTGAGCGTGTGGCATCTATTCTGAGAGATCTCCATGCAGGTATTATGATTGCATTAAATAAGGAGCAAACCCCTCAAGTACAGGCACTCTTATTAAAGGTAACTCCTATATTGATAGCAACTATAAGTATAGTGATAGTTATAGTTTTTTACTACTGATATTCCTGTAATTTTACTGTTATTTTTTTTTTCCTAATTGTAATTTTGAATCTATTAAAACCTAATTTAAAGGCTGCAACCAACTTGGTTCAAAACTGCTCGTATGAGCGTCTGGCACTCGGCCATCTTACAAAACTTTATCGTTCTGTTCTTTCCAATTGGAATAAATCAAGTAAAGTATAATTTTAAAAAAAAGAATAGATACATAAGTACATAATGCAATGATTAATTCATAATATTATTATTACTATTATTATCTTAAAAAAATTGTAGGTATATCATTACGTATTGGCATCCTTCAGGTCTTGTCGGCAATTGTAGAGGCAAGACCTGGCAAAGGAGAAGTATCAGAATTGATCAAGAGCAACTTGGAGATTGAAGACAAGACTCTTCCGTGCCTTCCGAATCTTTTGTTAGAGATCCAGGGTAATCAGACTGATCCAGGATATACTGAACTTAAGGTCGAGAAGTGGCAGACGTTTGGAATGCTAGCCAAATCACAGTTTTCATTGATCTTGTAAATTATTATTGTATTTTATTATAAGGAAGATATATACTAACAATTGCTATATATTATTAATATTGTATTACGCATTAAATGTCTATTAGAAATTTGTGGCCTGATATTAAGCCAGACTTTGAAGAATCTCTTGGAGACAAAGATCCTCTGGTCCGTGCAGCTGCACTTAGATTTATTGAGTGTTATGCCAGCTCTATGGATAAATCGCTTGCAGAGGATCAAGATACAGAATTGGTAATAAGAATATATAAAATCTCGTGCTAGTATTATCAGTATTACTAATATATATATATGCCTCTTTTAGATGCAGGAATACATAGACTGGTGGATAGTTATGATAGGAGAGTATATACAACAGACATCATTGGATAGCGAAGGCATTGTACGTGCAATTAGTTGCGATTGCGTTGGCAGTATTTCCAAGTATATATTTGCGAGACTTAATGTAAGTTTATTCATATACAATAATAATAACAACAACGGTATTTTGCTTTGCTTTACTTTATTTTATCTTATGAATTAATAAAATAAAACAAAAACCTTAAATAATTTTAGCCTCGAATCCAAACTCTCTTGGTAACACTAATCCTCCCTCTTCCTCGAGATGAAGACCCAAATGTCAGAGCTGCGGCTTGTAGAACCTTGGGTGTCTTTGTACTCTTTCAAGACTTAAGAGAAGTAAGAGTGTAACAATAGGATAAATAGATGTACTTTTGTCTTTATTTTTTCTGTAAAAAATATCATACATACATACATACCTAGATACTTGTGTATATATTTTGCTCTTGGTATTATCCTTTGTCTTACTATCATTCTATTAACTTTTTTTTTAAAAAAAAGGATCCTCTGTTTGTTTCGGATATGGCCTCCGCTTTGATGGAACAAATGAACGACAAGGTGATCAATGTTCGTGTACGAGCCAGCTGGGCACAAGGCAATTTGTGCGATGCTCTTGTATTAGAAAGGTAAGAGTGCTTTATTATTATTCTTATTTTCAGTAAATGAACTGATGTTTTCTAAATCAACGGCTCTGTCTATTTTATTAGCGAAAAGCAAGGTTTTTGTATTGAGGAATGGGTCTCTACTTCTCTCTGGACTGATCTAATAAGCACTGCAACTACAGCTGCCCTTGATAATGACAAGGTAAGAAAGAGAGAGAGAGCGCGAGAGAGAGAAATGTAAAAGAAAGGGCTTTTACTTTTACGGACTTTCATACAACCATATATATTTATATACTTACATGTGTGTGCTCTTCTTCTTTTTTTTTATGTTTATTTTAGCTACGATCCAATGCTGTACGAGCCTTAGGAAGTTTGCTGCGTATCACACCTTGCTCCTATTTTGACCAAGGCCGTATCATGCTTCTACTAAAGAATGCAATGACTGCTCTGATCAAGAACATTGAAACCGGCACACTCAAAGTAAAATTTGTTTGTTTGTTTGTTTGTTTTTTTAATACTCTCTATCATAGCTTTATTTTGATTTTTTAGGTTAAACCAAAAGAAGAAGAAAAAAAAAGACTGATCTTTGTATTGTATTTTATTGTATTGTTCTATATTACTATTATTTTTTATAGACCAGATGGAATGCCTGTCATGCTGCTAATAATATGCTTCGCAATCCAGACTTTCCTGTCGGATATATGGACAAGGATCAAATGTATCCTTGGACAACCGGTTTTTATCGGGCCTTGTGTTCATCTCTGACCCAGTGCAAGAATTTTAAAGTGCGTATCAATGCCTGTCTCGCACTTACCAGACCTTCGTTACAAGCTCAGTACGGCAGCCCAGATCAATTTAAATCGATTGTGAATTCGGTTGTGGAGGCCTACAAGACATGTCTAGATGACAAAGAAACCGAATTCCAAGAACTAGGCTACAAAGATCAATTGAAATTAAAGGTGAAAAAAAAGACAATCAAGATAATGATATTGTGTATATATATACTCATAGCAATTTTTTTTGATTACTTAGACAATCGAAGCACTTGGCCACATGGAACCTTGGATCGGGCCAGGCAAAATAAAGGAAGATGTGGATTGTATATTGAAAAATAATGAACAATTAACGACTAACAATGAACAATAAACAATGATTAATGGAATACTTGTTGTCGAATACATTGCACAATTTCATTTTCTAATTCTGGAAAAACTCTACCTATTAATTTCTATTATCTTTTGTCTTGTAACCCGTACTACCAATGAAATTTGTCAGAAATGATGGTTTACAAGCCTATTATTATAAATACAAAACCATACAATCATCTTGGGTACACATCATGAGCGTATATAGCAAAGCATGTTTCTTTACTTATTTATCTTTACAAAGAAACCCCTTTCCAAGACATACACATTAATCTATAGCACCATTACAATTGACCAATTCTTTAAAGTTAAAGCAAACCCCGACGTCAAATCCAAAGCAGTTAAATACAATAAGACATGATACAGTTTGAAACTCAAATTTGACAACAATTTATATTTTACATAATCAAGTGTTCACAACAATGTATTTGGATACCCAGGTTGGCTTTGTGTTGAAACGGACAACATTTATAAAAAAAAATGTAAAGAAAACCAGATCAATGAACTATTAATCTCCATGTATTTCTTCTACTCATCACAACCTATGAGAGAAGAAGTCAAAATTACTATCACTACTCAAAGTGTGCCCATTATTGATGAGGGAAAACTCGTCTTGCAGGCAAGCCTTTCAGGACTTTTGATTACATGTATTGTTGAAGATGATCTACTAGGCCTTGAGTTAATGAAACAAAATCTCCCGATTGGAACTCACGCAAGCTTGGGAGGTAAATAAAAGAAGAAGAACAAATGAATATACATAAAAAAGATTAACATTGAAATGTTCCATGCACAAAGGCAAGTTTATCAACATAGGAAATCGTATTCCAGTGGGCGAGACACTCAACATGCTTGTCACTTCAGTCAAAATTTATACTAAAGTGTCTGGATCATCCTCCGAAACACCAAAGACTGGGAATAAGCGCCAACTTTCCCTATCTTTTGACAGAGAAGCTACTACTGAAGACTTGGGATCAGAAAACGATGATTTCGACTCCTCAGAATATATAGGATATGCGACCGAAAAAAGACGACGGATACAGACTAGAGAGCCAACGACCGGTCTTAGGTGGTCCCTAGACAAGTTTTCTGAATACCCTTCAAGCGTTACAAACTACTTTTTGTCTCTGTTTGGTCGGATCAGTCTTTTGAGAGGCCATCAGCTTATCAACGGTGATGAAGCAAATATCCTCTTGAACGCAATGCACACCATTCACTGCAAAGGAAATAATCAAAAAAAGGATGCCGTAGAGTTTGCAGACATAGCCAGAAAACTGACGAATATGCTTAATGATTGTGAGAGAGACGAGCATCTTCCAAGATATCCTTTTGACGACTCGGTCTGTTCTCTTCCTTCAGATATCTATAAGCTCTTGTGTGAATAATATGATATCAAGAGGTGCATTGTGTATATATATATATAATTAATAAAAATAAGAACAAACAACAAAGCGCAAAACAAAATAAAGGCGATTCGTTTGTGTGTCTGTGCGTAAGTATGTGAATGAGTGAGTGTAAAAAAAAAAAGGTACTTTCTATTTTTGGGAATCAAAAGAGAAAAAAAATGTCCGGACATTAGTCGAACAGAACACACTCCGGTAAATTGTTTCGATTCAGCACGTGATACATACCGAACCTGGCAGACAATGGATGTGGCCAACAAAACTACGTGCGTGCTGTAACAAGATATCCTTCTTTTCCTACATCCAAAGGTAAAAGGGATAGGAGATGAATAGAATACAAGATATGCTCAAACTCAAAACGAGACAAAATAAACATATTTGGATGGATGAACTGACAGACTGAAATATGTCCCTCAATTATATATTTTATGATTTTTATCTTCATTTTTTTTTGTATATACATGTTATTCACTTGATCACTACAACATTTACACCATAATCTGTCATGAATCCTACATTATTATGATTCCATAAAAAAAAACCAAATCGTTCTTACAGAGCATCATGGTCCAGCGCCTCACCTACAGACGTCGCCTTTCTTACAACACCCGCTCCAACAGAGTCCACGTTGTCAAGACTCCCGGTAAGATTATTATTACTTTTTTATTTTTATTTTTATTTTGTTATTGTTATTGGTTGCTATGTTTGGAGTGAGTGTGTTTCAGTTGAAATCACCAGAGTTACAATTTTTTTTCTTAAAAAAGATAAAGAAGGGGGAAATATATAGTAGAGAATTGGAACAAAACAACATTATATATATATATATATTCGTACCATCAGTTGTTTGTTTGTTTGTTTGATTGGATACTAAAACATTAAAAAAAATGTTTTCTCTTTAAAGGTGCCAACCTTGTCTACCACTACGAGAAGAAGCCTGTCAAGGCCCCTCGTTGCGGTGACTGCGGTGACGCTCTTGCTGGTATCAAGGCCCTCCGTGCCCGCCAGTTCGGTAACGTCTCCAAGACCCAGAAGAACGTCAGCCGTGCCTATGGTGGTTCCCGTTGCGCTCACTGCGTCAGAAGCCGCATTGTCCGTGCTTTCTTGATTGAGGAGCAGAAGATCGTCAAGCGTGTCCTCAAGACCCAGACTCAGAAGAAGTAAAAAAACCAAACCACCAAAAAACTCATTAAAATAAATGCAAAAGTAAAATACAAAAAGGAAGAAGAAGTAGTAGTTTAGTAAAAGATTGCTTTTCCCTTTCTCTTGCTCTCTTGCTCTCTTGCTCTCTTGCTCTCTTGCTCTCGCTATATTTTTTATCTTTTGGCTTTTTTTTTATTTCTTGTATCTTGGAGATGTATAATTTTTTTATATATAAAGTGTACATAATTCGTACATACAAGATATACTTTTTATGTATAATTTCTTTTTTTTTTTCTATTTTTTTTCAATGTTGCCTTAAATTAAAAAGTCTGCATTAAAAAAAAAGACACGTCACGTCACGATCGCGTCCCGGTTAATGAAAGCATTAAAGAAATGGCAAATGGGGAAGACATAGAGAGAAAGTTGGATATGGAGGAGAATATTTTATACAAGATAAAATGGGAAGAATTAGAGTCAATGCACAAGGATTTAATGGGGGGAGAGAAAGGTTTGTAATGAATGTAAGGGATTCAAGAATTGATTTGGTGTTAATTTAATTTACTTTACTTTATCGATTTTAATTGATTTTTATATCTTAACTCGTAAGCAAATCTTTATCTCTGTTCTTTTCTCTACCTTGCCTTTCTTTCGTGTGTGTATTTACATCTACAAACAGACCAACAAACAGACAGGCATATTGACTGGCTAGCTGGGCTGACTTGCACTGAGAAAGAGAGAGAGAGAAAGAGAGAAAGAGTCAAACACAAACACGTACCCTTCCTCTTACAAATACAGACACAGACACACATTGTAATTTGTATAAATATACATAAAAAATTATATACAACATAAATTACATACATACAAATATATATACATTTATACATTTATAATATTTTATCAACATTATCCTCAGTCTATTGTAATGGTACATCATCACTGTCTAGATTAATCCTTATTTCATTTCTGACAAATCCTATCACTATTTGTATTCTTTCTTTCTTTGCTTCTCTTTTTTTTTCTGTTAGAGTTTTCACACGATCCTTTTGGTACAGCCTACAAATGGTGCAAAGTAAGTTGATAAAAAATACTAATGATGTTTGTTTTTCTTAATAAAAAAAAATACTTCTTTTATTATTATTATTTGCCTATTTGGTTATTTGTTTGTGTTGTTTATATTATGCTTATTTATTTTTATTTATTCATTCTAGCCGAACATACTCGTAAGACACATTTGATCGAATTCGGTGTAGATTCCAAAAGAGATCACAAATACAATTATACTTACTTTATATATGATCATAATAATTCAGAGACTTTGAGACTATTGCCGCGACATTGGATCGTAAGTGACAAATCTAATTGCTGCTAATGTAATACATGATTTTAAAATAAAGGTTATAATATTTTGCTTGTTTGTTTAGATGTAGCAAGTTTGTTTGAACAGAAGCTTCAGAGAGAGAATCCTCGATCAGGCCAGATCCAGTACAGGTAAATGTTTATAAGATTAGTGGTAGTGGTGGTAGTGGTGGTAGTAACAAGTAAGCAAGCAAGTGGATGAGTATGTAAAGAGATGTACAAATGATATTTATTTGATCATTTATTTAGGGCAGAGGATCTGTTTAGATTCATTGATAGCTACAAGGAGTTTGTTGCTCTTGTATTCGATCAAACTACTCAGGTAAGGGATCTGTTTTAGACACATATATTATATTTTCAATTCTGGTTATTGAATGCCGTTGGATCTGTGTAGGCATATCTTCCTCGCGACAAGGAATGGATCAAAGATCGCCTCCTGGCTCATTTTAGCCAGCAAAACAGTGCTCCATCAAAGCACCACAACCAATCTCAGCAACGTCAGCAACAGAACAACCGTTCTCAAAGTGGTCGCCGTTGGTAGACTTTGGGGTTAAAGGGATTTATATCTTTGTCTCTCTTTTCAGATATATACATATTAGTAGTAGTGTTATCATTATAATCGTTTACTATTATTGCTATTTAAGAAAGTAAAAAACAAAATACATATATAAAAAAGAAACAAAACCAGGAATCATTTTACAATTGGATGTCATTTCCAATCTTCTTTGGCTGTTGTTGTACGACACGCTGTTGCTTGCCATTTTCAATCTCGGGTCGACCCTCGGCTCTCCTCTTTTTTTTTATATATATTTATTTATTTTATTTATATAATATATTTATTTATTTATATATAAAATATTTATATACTTGTCAGTATTCAATACATACACACACACAAAACATACATACAGCCAAAGACATATATATATATATATTTTATATAAAAAAAAAGTATTTCCTTATTCCTTCTTCTTCTTTTGCTTTCTTTTCTATTCCCCTTTATTTTTTATTTTATTTTCCTCTTTAAATAATAGTTGAATATTTTATTTCAATTTCTATATTCTTTGTTCCTGAATCACCTTCATCGCGCTCATTAGTAACTGTTCCTTAGCAACCTAGGCCCTTTTTTTTCTTTTTCTTTTTCTTCTCTTTCTTTCTCTTTTTATATATAAATTATATACATATATCCTTCAACAGGTATGTTTAAACTATTATCCAGGTCTAGTTCCTGAAACTATACCAAGAAGACAAAACAAAAAAAAAAGACTTCATATATATTAACTCTGCTTCTTTGTGTTTGGTGCTGGCGTACTTAGATTTGAACAATATACAATACAAATAAACTGTATTCAGAAATATGGCTGACACTTATAATTCTCATTCACTCGTCGTTCGTTTGCCAAAGAGCAAATCTGGCTCCACTCGGTCGAACGATCAGGACATTCATTACTTCTCAGAGTTGACAAACGAACTTTTTACGGACACACTATATTTTGAGGGCCTGATCACCTCAGCTAGTGAATCGGATTTTCGGATTTTATTGGACCATTATCACCCCATAGAGTAAGGCCACTTTTTTGTTTTATTTTGTTTTACTTTATTTTATTTTATTATCCATATAGATTAGACATAAATATGTATATATTTACAACAACAACAAAAAAGGGAAAACAGTATTAAGATAGAAGGGGTGGGGGGGG